TCTATATTATTAGTAAATAATTTATTAATAAAGATATATATTTTTATATAAGTAAAAGAAAAAAGTATATAGGTAAGTCCTCTCTCTAGGTTATCTATTTACTATTTAATTTATATATTTAGGTCTTTAATTACTTAAGAGGTATCTCCTTTAGTCTAAGTAGTAATTACTAGATTATATAATATCTTTAGTTAATAAATTAAGGTAATATATACTTCTTTTACTCTCTAAGAGATATATTACTAAAGAGAATTATCTAAAGTCTTATTAACTAACTATAGTTAATTTACTTAACTTTTCTAAGTAAAAGTAATATTTTTATTATTATATATATAGATATATTTACTATTAAAGTTAGCCTAAGTTCTTAAAGATAAAATAGTCTTTAGCTTTATATAAATCCTTTTCTTTAATAACTTCTCTTCTTCTTTAGTTAAGAATTATATAGTTATAAATAAAAGAGTATTATTAGTTTATATAACTATAATTCTAAAGTTATCTTTATCTATAGTATATAAAAAGTATAGATTATATATAGACTAGGTTATCCTTAACTTCTCTTTATAGTATTTAATATAGGTTTTATACTAGTATAGGCCTAACTTTATAAGGCTATATAATAGTAAAACTACCTAAAGAAGTATATTTTCTAGGTATTATTCTTTTAACTCTTTTAGTAGTTATATAAGAATTATTTTACTAAGGGGTCCTTAGATTAAGTATATACTTAGGTAATATCTCTTAACTTCCCTTAGCACTTATAGTCTTATATAAGGGTTAGGCCTAAAGCTAGTATAAGGCACTAGCTTATTCTTTAGATAGTTAGTACTTAAGTAAAAAGTAATTTCTTTTCCTTATTACTAAACCTTTATATAATAAGCCTAGATTTCTTATATAGCTTATTATTAAGGTTTTTTACCTTTTATACTATATATATTTTATAGATATAGATACTTTAGTAGTTCCTTAGGTTATATTATATAACCTTTAAAATACCTTATCTTATTAAAGAATTAATCTTAACCTTGTCTAACTCTTTATATAAAGCTCCTAGGTTATAATAATATTATTAAGATAAAGCTTAATAATAAGGTTATAGTAATTCTTTTCTTTTTAAGTAAAAATATCCTTTAGGATCTTTATATAGGCCTTTATTAACTTTTCTTTAGTCTTTTTTTATCTAGGTTACTTTTATAGAATAAGTTAAGTAATATTATTATTAAGGGTTATTAAAGGTTAGTTCTCTATAATAAGGCTTAATATATATTATATAAAACTAGGTAAGACTATTTACTATATTAATAGTAATTATATATTCTTTAATACCTTAGATTTTATATAGACCTATTTATCTTTTGTTTTTTTTTATACTAAGACTTTACTTTAGATAAAAAGTAATAGTATAGCCTAAAGGTTTAGGCTATTCCTAGTGTTAATTATATAGTTAATTTTTACCTTTATATAAATACTTTATAGTATTTTTATAGCCTTCTAAATTACTTTAGCCCTTTAGATAATATTATATAATAAAGGTAAGTCTTATTAATCCTTAGGTATATCCTAAAGATAAAAAAGGTTAGTATAATCTCTTGTAGGCTAGTAGTATTATTTAAGGCCTTTATAGCTATTTAAAGAATAACCTCTTTATCTATATTATAGCTAAGTTCCTTATAAAGTATATTATATATATATTATAAAAGTATATATACTTTTTTTACTTTACTAACTACTAGTAGGCTTCTACTAGTATTTCTTTATATAAGATACTTATAATCTTAGTATTATTCTTAAACTCTTCTAATATAAAATTTATACCTAGGTTATATATAATATAGTCTAGTAGACCTATATATATAGCTATCTAGTACTTTAGAGAGTATTCTAGGTGTCTTATATAGATAATAATTTAAGGAAAGTTATACCTTAAAAACTTATTTCTATATTAATAATATATAATATATTCTTATCTTTAAGTTATATAATATCTATAATTATCTTATAGTTAAAGTAGCTTTTATCTTTAATAAAGAACTTAAAATATTATAGTGCTAGGTTATATAATTAGTAATAATAATAAAACTTCTAGATCTTTTTAATATTAATATATTAATATTATTATATTAGTGTTCTTTAGGAGCTAGTAAAGTTAATTTATATAAGGATATCTAAATATTTATAAAGTCTTTATAGTTACTCTTTAGTAAAGAAAGTTAAAGCCTTTATATAACTAAGGTTAAAGAAAAAGTGTTCTTATTTTTATATAATAAGTATATATATACTATCTTTTATATAATAGTATTAGTAATATTATTAAAGTATACACTTAGTTAATTATATTATATAATAAAAATAAGAATAAGGTTAAGGTATTAAAGATATAATACTTAACTATTTTAGCTAGTTCTTTATTTTATAGTTCTTATTAACATTATAGAGTTATTTACTCTAAATTATATATAAGTAAAACCTAGGTTCTAAGAGATCTTTATATATAGGTTCTTTCTTAAGTATACTAGTACCTAGGGCTTTCTATAGTTAAAAACTTAGCTACTTTAGTATCTTATAGTTCTCTCTAGTATATTATATAATAAAGGTCTTTAAGTAAAAATTAACTTACTTTAATAGTCTTTAAAGCTAAGAATATATCTTTACTAGTTATATAATAAAAAAAGCTAAAGTTAGTAAATACTAAAGACTTCTTAGTTATCTAAGAATTATTTTTATTATATAAGTTATTATTTTCCTCTTTTTTTCTTATAAAGCTTTTTTCTTTACTTTAAGGAGATAGGCTATAAAGTCTTTATATAGGTCCTAGGTAAGTATATTATATACCTAAAGGTATTAAGTCTTTATATAATTATATTTTTTCTTTATATAGTTAGTTAACTAGTATTTTTCTTCTTATATATAAAATACTTCTTAGGTATATTTATATAAAAAGGTCTTAGTTAAAATAGTTTATTTTTTTTCTTTATTAAAGGATTAGTAAGGTAGTTAATTATATAAAGGTCTTTATTATAGTTTATTCTTATAGTTTAAAGTATACCTTTAGTCTATAAAGTTAATATTATATAATATAGTTCTCTTGTCTAAGGTAACTTATAAAGAAGCCCTAAGATTAAAAAGAACTCTTTATATAAATAGTATACCTTAAGATTACTAAGAGTAGTCTTTAGCTTTAGAATACCCTAGTAAGCCTAGGTAACTTATATATAAAGTATAATTTCTTCTTAGAAACCTAAACTAAGTGCTTATTATATAAAAGGTAACTTATCTAGTAATACTTTTAGTACTTCTATTAGTGTCTTATCTAGATTCTTTTATTTAACTTATATAAAAATATAGTAGTCTAATTAGTCTAATAAAGACTATAGTTAACACTAGTATTAAAGTATATATTTAGTATAGTATATATTTTATTTTACTTTTATATAGGTCTAATATAATAAAAATAAAACTTCTTTATATAATTAAATAGGATGTTTAAAAAACAGTATAGTATTAGTCTTTTATAATCTAGAGATAGTAGTAAAAACTAATAAATACTTTAGCCTTATTATAAAGTATATTATATAGCTTTCTTATATAGTTTTTCTTTTTTCTTTAGTCTTTTTAGAAGATAAAGATTATATAAGGTTTATATAGTCTATTATTAATTATTTACTTTAGTAAAAGGTTATAAATATTCTTTTAAAGTATAAGTATAGTTTAGCTTTAAGACCTTAGGAAACTTTTACCTCTTAGGTAAGTTATACTTTATATAAGGTTATTTATATAATAGGCTTTCTAGTCCTTTAAGCTACTAGTGTATCCTAGAGTTTAATTAACTCTATTAGTGTCTTAGCTAAGTCCTATTATATAGTAGCTTAAGGATCTTTAATAGTAGTTATTAGTATATTTATTATATAACTACTAGACTTCTTCTAATATTACTTTTAGAGTTATTATATAAGGTTAACTACTTACTTATTTTTAGGCTTTATTTTAGTATAAATAAAGATTCTTTTTTTTATAATTTACTTAATAAACTTCCTAAAGTATATATAATATATATACTTCTAGTAGTTAGTTATTTAGTCCTTAAAGTTAATTATAATTATTTCTTTAAGTTAGTGTTAGTCTAGGTTTATATAAATAATCTAGTATATCTTATACACTAGATATATTATAATCTTTTTTTAAGATAAATTATTAGTAAGGTCTTAATATTTAGTCTAGTATTAAGGTAGTATTTAAGATCTCTAGGTTATAATTATAATACTACTACTTTTTAATATATCTTTATATATAAAGATATATTCTTTTTAGGTAGGTTTCTCCTCTTAGCTTTAGGTATTCTATATTAATATATTAGTAGTTATTTTAAATTATATAATATCTAGTTAATAAAGGTAATATACTTATAGTAGTATACTACTTACTTCTTATATATATATAAAAAGGTTATAGTCTTTTTTATTCTATTATATATAAAGGAAAATAGTATAAGTAGTTATCCTAAAGAGTAGTTCTTTAGCCCTTTTATAGTTAAGTACTATATAAACTAGATCTTTATATAAATTATAACTTATCTTAGTATAAGGGGTTATAATAAAGAGTAGTTCTTTAGCCTTTCTATAGTTAAACACTATATAAACTAACTCTTTATATAATATAGCTTAACTTTTTACTTTTACTAATCTATAATTACTATATAACTACTAATTAGTATTAAATAGGCTTTATATATATATACTTAGTAAAATATAAAAGTAAATTAACTTTTTATTAGGTAACTAAATAAGTCTACTTTACTATTATTATATAAAGTAGTTATATACTACTTAAGTATAACTTAAGTTATTCTAGCTAACTAAAAGTATAATCCCCTCTTGGCTTAACTAAGGGCTAAATAACTAGTCTGTGCCCTTTGACCTTAAATCATGAACTATTTATGGTTGACTGACTAGGTGTTGTATAATTATCAGTATTAATATTCTAACATATACATTATTTCTTTAAGGCTTTGTGTGGCGCAAAGGCCGCTATTTGGATTAGCTAGTATGGAAGCCATGCAGTCACTCAACGCCGCATAAGACCATCGTGATTACAACGTAGTGGATCAAGACGCCGCGCCTATGACTGATCCCTCTTCCAGTCACTGCTCCAGATGAATGTTCCGCATCTCCATTCCGTTCCCTTTTCCTTTTCTCCCGATTGTCCGAGAGGCCGGGCGCAAATGTAGAACGACCTGCCTGCATGATGGGTCAGCGGCGGCCCCAAGAGATCTGAAACGAAGCAAAGAACCACGACGGCTCCGTAGGGACAAGGAACGGCATATGAGGACGGAAGAACGGAGGGAGGGAGTAGAAGAGCGACATACCACAATTGACACCTGGTTTCTTGGTCTGGAGGATGATGCAGGGCTCCCCATGCTCGCACCTTGGCACGACCCTCTTCCCCAGGTTGAACTTGGACCAAGACTCCTTGACCTCGATGGGATCAAAGACCCTTTCAGCAGTGTCGAGCCCAGACACCATAGCGGCGGTGGAAGAGGTTGCCAAGGGCGACGGTGAAGGTGCTGGTAGTGGCGGGGCGTCTGCTGTTGCTGCTACGCCTGCGGGATGAGGAGGGGCCTTTGATACTCCCAAGGGCGATGGGTGACTCAGGTCACCGCGTGGGGCTGCTGCGCCTCTATTCTTTGTCCTGCCCATCACCGTATCGGTCTCGGCAGGTGGCGGCTTCGAGGGCGATTGCTTAGGTTTGAAGAAGCCTGTGAGGGTGCTTTGCTTGGATAAGGGATCTGGTTCGTTGGCCTTTGTCCTTTTCGGGGGACCTCTTGCTGGTATTGCTGTGTCAGATGCCCGCTTCAGGGGGAATCTTGTTTGTGAGGCTGGAGGCTCTGATAGGCTTGACTGGATAGATACTTGGGACGCTGATGACTCCAAAGTTTCTTGTTGCGAGGATTCCGGGTCCTGCGTGGCCAGATCCTCGGAGACGAGACTCTGCGAATGCGACTCGAAGGCGTTCGAGGCCGGGCTCGACGAAGGCTTTCCGGAGGTCGTTTTCATAAACATGTCGCGGATGTTCCGTCTCCGGTCGAACTCAGGTATGAGCTTGGCAGACAAGGGGAGAAGGTCTTTGGCCGACCACTCTCTGAGCCGTTCGCCGTCCCGAAACATGCCGACGGGGTTCATGAGACCCAGCACAGACGTTTCCCTACCGTCGACCTTGACAGTGTCGGCCAAGTTTGCGTACACGGGGCAGTGATCTGATCCCATCAAGCCCTCCTGGATGTCGGAGCCCGTGAACCAGTCCTTGATGCCAGCGGAGCAAAGGATGTAGTCAATCCGGCTGCCGTTATTGGCTGGTCGCATGTTCCTTTTTGTTTCCCAGCATGTAAACATGCCCAGCCTTGTGGGATGGAAGATACGCGTCAGATCGTAAAGCACCGGTGCCTCTCGTCCTTCATCCCTTTTACCGGTGACTCGTCCATCAAAGACGAGATGGTTGAACAATCGCCGACTTGGCATCCCCATCCACTCCTCAACCGACATGCCCTCCTTACGCAGTGCCTCTCTGACGTTACACGTGTCCATCTCTTCACGAATCACGTTCAAATCTCCAGTCAGGATGACCTGCTTCCCCGCCGCCACGAGGTTCCGCACTCTCGCATCGAGAGCGTTGAGGTATCCGAGCCGGAAATCATTACGGGACGAGTCACGCGTGGCCGGGCTGTAGGTACCGATCAAGACAAAGGCCTGGAATTCTAGCACCACGCAACGGCCCTCGGAGTCGAGCGTTGCTTCGTCCACCTCACCAGGCAGTTGGTCCGGTCGCGGGTAGCCGCCGATCTGCTGAGCCTCGGGCAGGTCGCGAAAGCTAGTGGAGGAATTGGGGGCCGGAAGAATGCCAGTAATGCCCTCCTCGGCGCGAATCGGGCAGCATTTCGCGTTGCGGGTGTATATTGCAACACCAGAGTATCCTACCCGACGAGTTAGGTCCCGCCCACCCTGCTCAAAGCTGAGTAGGCTCACCTTTCTTGTGTTTTGGTAGGCTAAAAAAAACGTCCCAGCCGGGGACGAGAACCATATCGTCATGTAGATCCTTACGCTGGATCTTGGTCTCTTGCATGATCACAATGTCCGCCTCCAAGATTTCGAACATTGCCTGGTGAGCTGATCAGAATCGATGACCAAAAGGTATAACCCCGATACTGGGCGATAGACTAACTTGGAATGTTCGCTTTTTGCTCCATGGTTGGTAGCCAAACGGATTTCTGGAACACGTTAGATCGAGCATGCAATGGCGCTCATCCGAGACTATTGTACCTGATACCGTTGACTGCAGTTGAACATGTTAGCCACCGTTGACCTCGGAGGTATATTGAAGTCACTCGCCGTTCCACGTCGTGATGCGCAACCCCATATTGACGAACTTCCCTTCAATCCCCAAACCCTCAAGGAAAGATAATCAAACCAACAGACGCTAGCTTGAAGTCACTTCCAGTCCCATACCCAATGTATCGGAGCGAGGTGGTCGTTGGCAATGACGTTGCATCAAAGAGCGAAAGGCAAGTGACAGTGTATCAGTCTTGTAAACCTACAAGTTGTTCCCGAGAATCAGAAACTATTCCTGAACTAATATTCAACCACCGCAAGACATCGACATCAAAACGTCGAGATAGGCGTACAGTCAGACTTAGACGCCCTGTTTGACGCGATATAGTTGCCGTTCTAAAGGCGAACGCGCGCTGAAGCGCGACATCACGTGACTCATTACGTGATGAATGCATGAGCAAATGACGGTATTCACTTGCTTGGACCCGACCATCCCAATCTGACCAGTATGGATGCCTAACATACAAGGCCACAAACCAGGCCGTGACGTTCCCGCTAACCGAGCTGTGCGCCTGGCGGCCCCATACCGGAAGTTCCAAAATGACCTGACTACCGAACTTCCTCACAAGTCCTCTTGAACCACCACCAAGCCGCCGGCCGACCGAAACAAACGAAGAACCCTCTCCCCTCCACCGATAACGAGCAAAGAAAATGCAGCGTCAGCTTCTCGCCGCCGCCGCGCGCGCCGCTCGCGCCCCGGCCACTCGCTCCACCGTCCAGCGCCGCTTCGCCAGCACCTCCGACAACGCTTTCATCAGGGAGCGCGAGGCCGCCAAGCACCACGCTGCCAGCACTACTGGTTCGTCTCCTCGAGTCCATGCGGTCTATACGGCTTCCTTTCTTCCTTCGTGACTGGGCATGTCAATTGAAGCCAATTGACTCCGAAGCGAGGCGGCGGGAAGCCGAGATCAAATCCCGGAAAACAAACGGCTAACCAATTGACCACCAGCCCTCTGGCGCAAGATCTCCATCTAGTATGCCCTCACCCAAATCCAGTGATCTCCTACCCAAAGACCGAAAATCCCATCCGCGAGAAATCTGCTTAGGAATTTGTGTGCCCGTCTACGACGACTAGCACATTGAAAAGGACGGAGACGATTGAGTTTTGAGCGGATGCGGGATATGATTCGGGGGTCGACGGGAGCCTTGTATCCGGACAGGATTGCTGACGAAATATTTTCCCACAGCGGCTGCATCCCCGCCCTTGGCCTCGCTGCCGCCAACGCCTACGTCCTCTGGAACGAGCACTGGGAGCACTGGAGCCACCTCCCCCCTCTGGAGGAGCGTACCGAGTACTCTTACCAGAACATTCGCACCAAGAACTACCAATGGGGCAACGGTGACAAGACCATCTTGTGCGTATTCTTACCCTCCTAGCCTTTATCCGGACTCGCACTCGGGCGGCATGGAACTGGGGAGCCCGGAGAGACATGGCTAACACTCCAAACAGCTGGAACGACAATGTCAACTACCACAACCCGGACAAGGCTTAAATGTGCCTTTGCAATGCACCACAACCGGAGCGAAACGTGACATCGCCAATGTAGGGGATGGGAGGAGCGATCCATTAGACTCGGGAAGACACGCCTGTTGAGGGGTAGACTATTCTGTACATTTTCCCTATGTCACAGCAATCGAGAGAATGCCGTCCTTTGAAAAGGAAATATCATCGCAGTACTCATGGTTCGCCCACGTGAACCGCTTCGATTTTCCATCTCCCTCTCTTTCTTTCTTCCTGCCTCCATGTGGTGGTATAAATAAGCTCATATAGAAAGGGCAGCTGCTTCCTTGCGTAAAGCTACATAAGCCGCCGCATAATCCGCCGCCAGGACTTTGTCACCAGCAACCTTCATGATGGTGGCCTTTTTGGCCATCATCTCACACTGACGCGTAATGTCCTCGATGCTCGAGTAGTGATCAAAAGCCTTTTCGATCGCCCCAGTGGCCCGGGTCAGGTATTCCCTCCGCTTGGCCGACTGCGGCGCCATCTTGCCTGCCATGCCAATGTTGGCATCGGCGAGATAAGAGTATAGCTGCCCGCTCAGAGCAGCAGAGTCGCACTCGAGACTTCGGGGAAGGATGGCGGTAAGAAGCTGCGAGGAGGCCTCGAACTCTCCCAATGACGTTAATATATTTGCGATGGCACCGACAGCCTGCCACAGACACGAGACCAGCCTTGCCCGCCAGGCCATGCTGGCGGCTCGCATGGCGATCGTAAAACCCCGCTGCGGGCGTCCGCACTTGTCGTAAAGATGAACCTTGATCAACATGAGTCTTACGCGGAGCGCGATGTCTCTCTTATCGTCGCGTGTCGCGGCGAGCATATCTTCGACCTTGTTGAAGGCCGCTTGCAAATCCCCCCTTCGGGTTAGGCAGTCTATGTGGAGAAAGTCGACGACGAAGGCCATGTCCGGCTCTAAGTCATCCTTTTTGGATTGAAGGAGTTGCGACAGTAGTTGCTCCGCGCCATCGAGGTTGTTGTGGTGCAGGTCTCGCTTCAGCTTGATGATTCCACGGTACTTGAACCAGTACTGGCTCGGCTTCCATGATCGCAGAGAATTGTCATCTAGCGCCTCCATCTTCTTCAGTGCCTCGTCGAACTTGCCCTTCGCCGCTAACTGTGACGCCAGACGTGACGTAACCTTTAGCTCGTCGTCAAAGATGGAGTGTCTCGCGTGACACCGCAAGAATATCTCGCAGTCCATCGCCGAGAGATGTGCAAGTCCCAACCTATCCCACAAGGCAATAAGAATAGAGAGCTGGGCGCCAAACATGTTTTTCATGTTCCGTTCGACAATGAGATGCGAGCTGCGGACCATGAGCTCTACCGACGTGGCCACACTCTCACCGTTTGCTAGACCGAGCTTGGCTTCGCTGAGTAGTACTGATGCCCAAAGAGTCCACATGCCTGTCTCCTTCGCCTTCACGCGGAGATATGATAGACTCTCCTTGGCTGTGCCGAGCAAACTGTCAGCCTCTAAGTCTCTAACCAAGTCAGGGTGTGCTCTGCCAAAGTGAAAGAGCCAACTGAGAGCAAAGTTTAAGCAGGTCATATCGCGGTTTTCGCGGGCCGTGGAAACGGTTTCGAGCATGGCTGCAACAGCCTCTCTGTAGCAACCAAAGTCTGCTTGCAGAACAGCTAGGTTCATCAACGCGTACTGGTAGAAGAGCCTGTCTCGGTTCTGCATGGTGTAGTCAAAGTATTGGTGGAGGAAATCGAACGCTGTGGGATAGTCACCGGATCTCCACGCATCAAGGAAACTGCAGCAGGTCAGCATGAGAGCGGTCAACAGTGAACATGGGAATAAACCTCAGGTAGTGCCGCAAGCTGGGCACAAGAAAGCTGTCGCCGAGAAGGTCATGAAACTGATTCCGAAGCTCCAAGGGTATACGATTGCCGAATTCTGGACCTGTCAGTCTTATGTGCCGCGACCTTTGGAAGAATTCCTCACTCTGCATTTGCTCAATTTGGAACTCAAGCAAGAGCTCGATATCATCCGTGCTTACTGGCACGGCAGAGGGAGTGCCACTCTTCACCATATCGCCGTACACAACGGACGTGAGCGCAGCCACCCCCTTCATGTCCCATTCCGCCTGTTCGCCAGCCATGAGAACATGGTCGAAGCTCAACCGACCAAACGAAGGGTTCCTCTTCCGCAGGTACCCCGCGGTGGGCTGCCGGTATTGCACAAAGTCCGTCCAAAGCTGCGTCGCATCGTGGAACTGCAGCCTTGAGAATTCGAGTTGGCACCGCCGCACAAACTGACCCAGCGGCGAGTTCCTCGAAAGCGTGATACCCGACTTCTGTTGCTGCTCCTGCCACAGCTGTGCCGCGACCGATTCGTCGCCCCCGGCTGTACGCCGCAGCTCCTCCCTTGTTTTGGCTAGGCACTGCGCCTGGCGGCCAAAGAATTCGTGCAGCTGGTCGAGAGAGTTGATGCCCCATAGCTTTGTGAGGAACGTGTCCCACAGCTTGCGGCCCGGCAGGCCGACGACGACGGAGTGGGCGCTCAGCAGCTTCTCGAAATCCTTGATGCCGATGACGAGGCTGACGGTGCTCTCGGCCTTGCGCCAGCGAGTTTCCTTGGTGCCGGCAATGACGAAGCTCTGTGGATCCGGGTCGAGAAGGTGAGAAGTGACGAAAGAGAGCAAGGGGATGATGGCCGTGCTGGGAACGTGTTCATCTGTGTAGAGCTCAATGAGGGCGAGCAGGCCAATTTTGGCGGGCGTTAGGTAGCGGGCCATTGTGCTTGTGCTTCCGGGTCCACGCGCAGTCTCAATTCAAGAATCAGTTTCAAGTTGTTTTGCCGGATGGGTCATCTGATGGCGTGTAGCGAGCCTCGAGAAACGCCGTTGACCATATTTCGAGGACGCTGGGCGCAGGTGAAGCAGGTGCTCGCGTCGACCTGCACTAAGGGCAACAGGGTCGAGTGAACGGGCTGGGTCAGTACCCCAATGTCAGGAAGCCTCACCGAATGAGGAAAACAAACTTGCGAGACACACTACACACAATCGTTTGTTCCGGTAGTTGAGATGCTGTCAGTGAGGTTCTTGAGTGATGTTTGGGGTTCCACTGAAACCTCTGGGAAATGTGATTGGTCATGAATCTCCCAACTCAGAAAGTCCTCCCACCCAAGCCACAACCCGAGCTGTCGGCTCAGAACTTGTGGGAAGTAGTTGTTAGAAAAGTGGTATTTGCATACATGTCTGTAGAAAAAACGTGAAGCCGTGGCCATGGATAGATAGGTCCGCATGTTAGCCATGCAGTGATATACGTACATGCCTTTGCTTCGTCACTGAACCCAAACACTGCTCGAATGCATATTACGATGCACTGTATGTTGTGATATTTTACAGAATGTTCTACAATACCCTGGATGAGAATCTGCTCTGAAAAGCCGTCGGCTTCCCTTAACCTCTGTTTGCTGAGCAGAGTAGACTTTTCTCGCTGGATTGGCCTTATGCCGAGGGCCTGCTCAGCTAGCACCCACCCCCCCTCTATGCTTAATTCGGTCCTCCTCACACCACGATTGAAGCCGTTTCCCCTGGTCTTGAACTTCGTGCTTCACCTCTCCTTCCACCGAATACTCTTCCCCTCCCGGTTCCGCAATTCGCTCCTCCTCGTCTCCCTTGCCTCCTGCGCGGCGAATATGTCCCCGTCACTCTCCTCAACCACCTCCTCGACGTTGTTCGTCGCCCAGATCCTCTCAATGCACAACTCAAACGGGCCCGGCACCCGATCCGTCAGCCCAAAGCCGACGGTTTTAACTTTGGATCGCAGCATCTCCGTCTGTGGTTCGACCACGAAGCCATGATTCGTCCGCACAAAGTCGTTCCACTTGACAAACACAGTCTCCCATTCGCCCGGCCTCTTCGCGAACAACCGGTGCTGATGCAGATCCGTCGGCTCTACCGAGTCCGTCTGCAAGTTGATGAAGTAGCTCCGCCTATCCGACTTGACGCGCATCGCGAGGTATGAGTAGGGGTCGATGTCCCAAGCCGACCTGCCCAACAGCGTCGCCCGTTGCTCCGGCGTCCGCCATCCTGCGTATCCTGTGCGTTGAATCTTGGGGTCGTTTTTGGGAAGGTCTGTGGATATCGTGCCGTGGAAGCGAGCGTAGCCTTTTGTACTACTTGTCGTGTTGCTCTGTGGCGAGGTGGTCGTTGTTGTAGGGGACGAAGAAAAGGGAACCCATTCGAGAGCGCCGTGAGAGAAGCCGCCAATCTCTTGGTCGCACATGATTTTGCAGTCGTCGGTAGAGCCGGGGACGCGGAAGTCGTGGAGTAGATATGGTCCCGAGGGGCCCTTGATGCCTTCGGCTTTTGCGACTGCGACAGAGGGGGAAAAGTTAGTGGTGGGTAGAAACAAGCCGTGATGCCATATATTCTCACCAATGCTTGCGCGTCGTTTGAGTTCGTCCACAGTCCGGGCCCATATGCCTTTGCTCATGAGCGACGGTGTCGCCCGCATCTTTCAAACGTCTTGCCGGCTGCGCCGACAGCTTCGCTCTTCTGGTGTACAGGTTTGGGGGTCTAGGAATCTCACGCGCGCATGGACCTCTGGTTTCGTCTAGTTGCCTAATTTTGGCGTGCCGAACTGGTGGCCACTTGCAACACTCGAGAATGGCGTAAACGGTCGTGTGAATTTACTCTGCGAAAGTGATTCTTCGGCTCTGCTGCGAAACCTCGAATAATTGCCATTGAGCTTTGCGTATGTACATGGGTATGGAGCTTTGAGCTTCGACACGGGATAAAGATGCCCCGGGCTCCGCTTCCGACCTAAAGCAAGCGAACGGCTCTTTATGCCCCTTACAGTAAATCATGTACTCGGAAGAGTCATCGTCGAGAATGCAACTCGGGCGAGGCTCACAGCATGATGTAGTTTTTTCTTTTCTTCTTCGCTCAGGATTAGCTCAAGCCCCAAGCCACTTGTATCTTGAAGATATGAGTGACCAGAGGTCATATTGTCACGGTATACCAGTTCCGTGGAGCCGGAAGCACAACGGAAACACGCAAAGCGAGATGCTCATGTCGATCTACTCCAGCGTGTATTCTTGACCATCTATCCCTGAAGGTAGTAGTGTCTGCCACACACTGAGTAGACAAGGACACGTGTGCGTGCCTGTTGTACAAATCCAGCATCTCTATCTATGACCCTGTTCCTGTCTGCCATCTATAACTGATCCGTCATCCATCATGAATGACCATCATCCAGCACAAGAAGAGATGGGTCACTATCCGAACTGACCGTCGTACCTGAGAACCCACACCAAATCTTTAGTTGTCATCGCAACAAAATATGAAGAAGAATTGTCTGAAGAAACGTATAGCCGAGAAGAGAAGAACGAGGGGAAACGTAACGGTTTCAAAGAAGGAAAAAATCTGGATGAAGGCCGCACAACAAGAATGATCAGTTACTGCCCATCGGGCCCTAGGCGGCGTAAGTCTGGGTGCTCTCAGTCATGACAGGCTCAGACTGAGTGCCGTTGGCCTGGTTGCTATTCATCTGGGCGGGAACCGGTTGAGCAACGACACCCGTATTGTGTTGTGTCTGGCGAACGGGCGACGAGAGGGCCGCAGCTGCGAAAGCAGCGGGGTCGACGGGGAACGGAGTCCAAAGAGGAGTGCCGTGGCCGTAGCCCCAGAACGGCATAGGAGTCTGCTGAGGAGTGGCAAATCCGAAGGAAGAGCCGGTGCCCTGGGAAAACGCGCCCTGAGAGTAGGGACTACCAGCGAAAGGGTTGGGGTTGTAGGCCATGTTATTGTGCATGGGGCTGCCGACCTGAGTAGGGACAGGAGGGGGGGCCATGGGGTATTGCATAGGAGCCTGGCCCATGAAATGACCAGTGACGGGCTGCACCTGAACACTCTGAGGGATCTGCTGCTGAGCAAGGTACTGCTGTCCGTGATGCTGCATCTGGGGCATGTGCTGCTGCATATGAGCCTGTATCTGTTGCTGCATAGACTGGGCCGCTTGGTGAGAAGGGCCGGCAGGGGTCATGACGATGCCTTGGTTGGCAGGCTGCGAAGCATTGTGCATCATGGAAGGAGTGTCCTGGGTAGCTTGGCCACCAGACATGGAGGGACCGGCCTCAATAGCCATGGCTCCTCTTTGCTCGCGAGCAGGCGTAGCAGGGGGCATGCCGCCAGTAGAACCAGCATTGAAGGCGTTGTAGTTGGCGCCGTAGCCCGAGTTGTGACCGTTGCCCTGGCTGCGAGCGTGAATACCACCGTCGCGGCGACGTCTATCAGTTCGGCGCTCGACGCGGATCGTGTAACCCTCGATGCGGTTCAAGTTCTGACGAGCCCGTTAGTACATACAATGTCTTCGACCAAGTAGGCATTGGCAGGCATCGAAACTCACATAACGCTCAATGGCCATGTCGGGGTACGAGGCATTGGTGAACTCAACGAAAGCGATGAGCTTGGGGCCTTCCGTGTATGTGTGAGAGTCAGCATTAAGCCACACGGGTTTGAAAACATGACGGATACTCACCACGAACGTAGTCAAGACGCTTGGTCTGAACCGAGACTACACCACCGATCTCCTCCATGAGGATACGGATATCGTTCTCACTGAAGTTCAGAGGGAGGTCTCCAATAAAGATGGAACGACGATCGCGATCGTACGAGTCAAGAAAAGCGCGGTCGGCGTTGCGAGCTCTGGCCTGCATGGCCTTTTTGAAGTCGAAAGGCTCGACCTTGTACGTCTTGTTGAGACGGAACGCACGAAGAACCTGCTGAGACGGGTCGAACACCTCAAATTGAACTCTGATTGTGACGGGAAGCTGGAGCTGGTCCCGGATCTGATGATCAAGGACGCGGAAGGTCTCGATCGTGCCGAAGGGACGCATGAGCTCGTTGGCCTCTTCCATGGTTATTTCGGTTCCGTCACGGCGGTAGATGATGTATGTACCTGTTTCAATGAGCGTCAGGGACAAGAATGGCGGAGGAAGCAAGGGTAGACTTACGATTGGCGCGAACCGTCTCCGTGCGACAGGGGCGCCCGAGGATCAAGGAACCCTTACCGTTGATGCGAGCATTTTCAGCATCCTCTTTGGTCTGCAAATGTGTCAGTATGGGTATGGTGACCTCGGACGTTTCTTGAAGAACTTACAGTGAACTGGCAGAAGCCGAAGGGCATACCCTGTGGATCACGACGAATCTTGACGAAGACAACTCCGAATCGCTCAAACTCCTTGATGACAGCCGCTTCAAGGGTGATGTCATCCTTGTACTCGGGCAGACTAACATAACCTTTAGTGTGGCGGACACAGCATCTTGGAGCTTTGAAACTTACTTGGCGACGAAGATGCAAGCACCAGTTGGGTAGGTCGCCTGAGGGTCGACCGGGTTGCGCATGTAGGAAGAGCCGCCCTTGATGGGAGATCCGCCAACGTACTCGTCGCTATGAGCGAGACCCTTGCCCTTCAAGCCTGGCTGCTGTAGATGGGCCTGGCCAAGACTGTAGGAGCCAGTAGAGACAACCAAGGGGCGCTCTTTTGAGCTGATGAAGGTGTCATTGAAGACATCATCCTCCTCGTCGGTCTCCTGGGGAGGATACTTGTACGTCCGGCTGTAGAACGAGGTTAGCATCCGCCGAAGACGTGAAAGATGTTAGCTTACACAGCGGCCGTGGCGGAAGAGGTAGGACGTAAGGCCTTAGCTGCAGCCTGCGAACGGCGGCCGGAACTGCTGGAAGTGATTAGGTGTTGTAAATAAAAGTAATGTTGAACATGATAGAACTTACGCGGGACTTCCTCGAAGGGATAAGGCATCCATGTGAGCCGAAAGACGAGAGTCAGAAGTCGCATCCTCACCGAGCAAGGCGTAAGGGTTGTTGGCGGTACTGATTGCACTGGGGCCCGTGAGGCTGACTCCGCCACCGCGCTCAGCATCCTCCGAGAAGGGCGAGGACGAAGACGTGCCAACCGACTTGTGAGAGTCGAAGGCAGTAGTATGGTGGCCCAGGAAAGAGTCAGAAGCCTTGGAAGGGGCCGAAGCAGCCTTCATGGCTTGCTCGCGCTCATGCTGGACGGTGAGCTTTTGGAGGTGCTCCAAAAGCATCTTGTTGCCAGTAGACGACGACATGGCAACGATTGGGTATCTCTGCAAACGCAAAGTTCGAAAGCCGCGGGATTCGAGAAGTGTTTGTGAAACGGTGCGTTTGGAAACGAAGGTATTCAGCCTCGAGATTGGAGAGGGGCAGATATGGGGGAAATGGTAAGAGAAAGTATGAGAAGAGAAGTGCAGATGGGTTGGGCTGGATTTTGTAGAGAGGAAAGGCAACCAAAGAGGGCAGAGTGTTTTTGGGAGGGTTGAAGAGGAAGTTGAGAGTGAAGAGATCGTGGGAGAGATATTCTATACTCAGGGCTGTCCTAGGGTTAAGGACTATTGGCCTTGGAGCAGCCAGGCCTCTCCCGCTATTCACGATAGCTACAAGAATGGCGAGAGCAATGACCCTGTGGAAGGTGCCCGCATTATCTCGCCCTTTGTGAGCTTCATCTTGGTGGCTCTCGCCACTTAAGGCTAAGCTAATGCACACAACACTGAGAGCCCTATGGCATGGAGTCGTTTATGTTGAACTACTTGAGCAAGATATTTCAATGCCTCCTTCGTTATATTTGCTCTAAAGACAGCCACCAGCTTTCACCTGGTGTGAGACCCGGATTGATATCACTCGTTAGTATGGGATGAAAGCTAGTGCAGAACATCAAAAGGGTGTGGCGTACAGGATTTGCATGAAGAATTGTGAATGCAGTCTAGAAGTAGACAGCATTCTTCAATTCTCGCTGTCGCAAGACTTTCAGTATCTAGAGTTGCGTATGCAGTCGTGGGCAATAGTTAACTACAGGCGTGAACCTTGACTGGCGATATCCTAGCTACGATCATAAGGTGGCAGGCAGCTGCCTCCCTCCCCCTGGAACACTAGACTTTTTCAACGCAATTTCACCTAATGTAGATGCAAGTTGGCGCATCAAACAGTGTCCCAAAGTCACAGCCAGGCAATCCTCGTTTCTTTGTGGAATATAGCACTTGCTCTCATCTTTGCAGCCGTGTGATGCCAGCCTTTTTTTTTCTTTTGTTATATGTTTAAAGTGAACAATGTTCTCTTTTGATTTTAATGAGCTAGGCGAGTATGGATTTTGTCCGATGCACAATTTGAGGAAGAGTAACTGTTGAGCTTCCCATATACTGAACTGACTATTGCTGAGGATCGCAGAAGAAAGGATGCCAATAACCTTATGATCTCCTTGGTCAACTGAGAAATTTAAAGCTGATTTCAGCTCAGCTTATTGGCATGTCATGGAAGGGACTGCTCCCGGTTTCCCCGTCGAAGGACCTCACCCTTCCTCTCGTCTGAGTTATCAGACCACTAAGCCAGCGAGACCCGAAATAGAGAGGGTTTAACAATCGCGGATCCAACTTCCAAAATAACGGCCCTGGCTCTGATAACTTGCCAGATAATGTGATCTCGATACTGAATATGAACAGGACTGTTTGCCAGATCCAGACCAAGATCCTCGGCGACCCTACGCACTGGTTCAACATGACCTTAGTTTGTATCATGATGGTAGGCAACATGAATACCATCGAGGCATTGCAGCATCTCAGTTCACAACTGACTGATGTAGGCTCAGAATCTAGGAAGTACCGCTGCTTGGTCGGGATGGATAACTCTCACGAACAACCAGCCCATGAAATACTTCGCCTTATACTCGATCCATCAGACTGACTTGGTGGCGTTAACCGCGTTGATCAAGAGCTGGGCCTGCCCAAAAAGGACCATCGTCGTCGGACGGCTTTCAGATCTATACGAACGCAGGTGGCTACTTATCAGCACCTCCTTGCCTGGGTTTGTAGGCAGTAATCTGGCCTGCGTAGGTGGCAGTATTGGCGTTTTGACCACCTCCAACAAAGGAGAATTTGCCCAAGTACGTCGACCCAGTGGTCCAACAGGCTGGCCTCCCTCCTCCATCTGTGGAGTTGCTTTACGCTGCAATCAAGACGGGAAGTGCATAGGAAATCCCAGATGTTGACTTGCCGACGTTTGATGCAATTCACAGCGCGGTATCTGATGCACACACCAGGTCATTCCCGACGATCTTTTTTTCTTTCACTGATATTCGCAGTCTCGATGTGGCTCAACGTGATGTTCGTGTCATAGTTAGAAACTTATCTGAATCCAAATGTCGCGAGGGGACTGCAGCCACCTGGAGGGTACAGCGGCAACAGTCATCAGGACGAGGAACTGGAAATTAAGTTGGGAGTTGTTTCGCGGGATGCATGAATGACACAAGAATGATGGGCTGGACTCTGGACGAAGGCTGGAGGGTTTTCAGAGTGGATAGTAGTTGTTTTCTCCAGTAATAAATCAAACAGAGGCAAAGAGCATTGAGTTGAAGCCTCGGTTTACCCCGTTGGACGGAAACTGAGAAGAGGCAACGTCAAGATATTCAGGAGAGATTTCTTCCAGGTCAAATTCAAAAGTTGAGAAGTTGCATGTGGGCTTCCACGATTGGCAGTGATACCTACCCTACCGAAGTTTTGGTCTTTTCTTCTTCTTTTTTTTTTTTTCTTGCGCAAAAGCCAATTCCCCAAATTGGTACCCTGGAAAAGAGGCCTCAGTCTCACACCCACCGCCCACGGGGCCACTTCCGACCCAAGCTCCGATGGCGGGGCATGGCGGGATGCTGCCGACGTCGCTCTGTTGTCTCTTTACCAGTTCAAAATAAAAATAAAAATAAAAAACTACTGGGCCAGGACCGCCGCGGACATGCCACTCTCGTCTTGACTCACATCGCCAACCTTTCCATCTCCCCTTCTTATACCCCCAATTACATTTCTCTCAATCGACGAACGAACGCCTTTTGTTTTTCTGTTCGCTTGTGGTTCTTGCTTTTATTTTTTTATTCTTACAATCGATATCCCCCACCCCTCTCTCCTCAACCAAACATCCACAATGGGCGAATTCCCTGTAAAGAAGTGCGGTACGTCTCCCAGGACCCCTCCATAACCCCCGCCAACCCACCCCTCCGTCACCGGATGCCTCGACGTCGAAAACCCACGAACGACGAGATCGCAAACCCAGACCCCCCCCTCGACAATGATGTGAGACAAAATCGTACTGATAGGAAGGGCTCAATTGCAGGCGTCCTCGGATGCACCGGCTCCGTCGGCCAGCGCTTCATCCTCCTCCTCTCGCAGCACCCGTACCTGAAGCTCGTCGCCGTCGGCGCCTCCTCCCGCTCCGCCGGCAAGAAGTACCGCGACGCCGTGCGGTGGAAGCAGGCCTCGCCCATGGGCGACGTGGCCGACCTCGTCGTGCGCGAGTGCAAGGCCTCCGAATTCACCGACTGCGACGTCGTCTTTAGCGGTCTCGACTCGGACGTCGCCGGCGAGATTGGTGAGTCTTCCCTTGCGCCGCCATCCCGACCATGGCAGGAGCGGCGGCCCGCGGCAGGATGTGACTGACACAAACTCCGGCCCGCAGAGATGGAATTCCTCAAGGCAAACCTCGCCGTCTTCTCCAACGCCAAGAACTACCGCCGCGACCCCCTCGTCCCCCTCGTCGTCCCGACCGTCAACCTCCCCCACCTCGACCTCATCCCCCACCAGCGCAAGCACCACTCGCTCGAAAAGGGCTTCCTCGTGTGCAACTCCAACTGCGCCGTCATCGGCCTTGTCATCCCCTTCGCCGCCCTCCAGGCTGCCTTTGGCCCCGTCGACCAGGTCTCCGTCGTCACCATGCAGGCCGTCTCCGGCGCCGGATACCCAGGCGTCTCCTCCATGGACATGATCGACAACGTCGTGCCCTTCATCTCGGGCGAGGAGGACAAGCTCGAGACGGAGGCGCAAAAGATCCTCGGAAAGATCACGTCCGACCTCACCGCCTTCGAGAACCAGACCGACCTCAAGGTCAGCGCCTCCTGCAACCGCGTCCCCGTCCTCGACGGCCACACGGCCTGCGTCTCGCTCCGCTTCGCTCGCCGCCCGGCCCCCTCGGCCGATGCGGTCAAGAAGGCCCTGCGCGAGTACGTTTCCGACGCCCAGCGCCTCGGCTGCCCCTCGGCCCCCGAGAGCCCCATCGTCGTCTTCGACGAGCCCGACCGCCCACAGCCCCGCCTCGACCGCGACCTCGGCCGCGGCTACAGCGTCAGCGTCGGCCGCGTGCGCGAGGACGAGAGCGGCATCTTCGACATTAAGTTCGTCGCCCTCAGCCACAACACCGTCATCGGCGCCGCCGGCTCTTCTATCCTCAATGCCGAGGCCGCCGTGCTCAAGGGCTTTGTGTAGACGGGAGGCGATGAGGAGGGGGTAATCGCATTAAAAGAATTAGGCAAGAGGGGAATCTAGGTGTAAATGGTGCATGGTTGGTTGCATCTACGGCATGGAAAAAAGTAAAAGACGAGTAACTGCACTAGAGCGCGAACGTCGGATCCAAGTTGGATCAAGAACGGTATGAAGTCTGAAGCATTTATTTCCAATCTCTGGTTGGCGAAACGAGTGACAGCGCACGTGTGGAACAATTTTTTAGGAGATGATGATTTACTATTGATATACTATTGATATTCTGGGTCTACCCTTTTGCGGCTCAATCTCGATCTTTAATATCTATCTCTGGAGGGCTCAGCCGGCCCGTTGTATATGCAAAGGTCGTAGCCATGTACCGTGTGGCACGCTCTTCTATGCCACGGAAAATGGGTTAATGGTATTGTGGTAATGAACATTTGTCCAATCCTGCCTATGGTGGCACCACAAGGCTGCTTTTCTCTTTCACCCAAAGCAATTGTTTTACCCAACGCCTCATCATTCATGTATCTTCGTCAAGGCCTCAAGGGCCCGTGTATGTAACGCAATACTGTAGTGAGAGAACCGGTCTCTGAACGTTAACGTCTGCGATGCCTTCTAATGCGGTTGTTGCAACCGGCGCTTGTCACCCTTGGTCGCGTTTCAAGGCTTGTGCGTCTTCTCTTCGATGGGCGAGACATCGCCCCTGATTTCGTAGTGCCTCTCTTCGTCCTGTTCGTTTATGGGAGAAATGGCGACATCGTTGGCTGTGTCGCTGACATTGTCGGGCCGAACCATTTGGCCAGGTGTCATAACGCTCTCTTCCGGAACCTCCTCAGTGGGGGTCATAAGACGGCGCAACTCGTTGGTCGATGTCGCCCGCTCAGGGGTCGGCAAGTTGTCGGTGGGACGCCCCAGGTTAGGCTGCGAGCCGGAATAAGACCGCTGCCTCAACGAACCGTTGCGCTGATGACCGAAGCTGCTGCGATGTGCAAGCGACGGTGCGGGCCTATCGGCGGTGGCATCCCATTCGGCAAAGTCGGCCGAGCTCCAAGAGGTTCGGTGAGGTCTGGCGCGGCGCGGTAAGCTAGTGACGGAGTAGCGTGAACTGACGCTATTCGTCCGGCTTCGTCGGGTGTTGGTCCCAGGCGCAAACTGGACCGCCGGGGTATTGTGCGGGAGAATGATGTCTCCGATCTCGTCCTCCTCGTCATCGTCATCTTCAATCTTACGTGCCCGGCGCACGCTGTTAACCGAAAAGTACGGCTGTGGCGGCTCCTGAGGCTCTTGCGGGGTAGGCTTCGGCGGCAGATCGGCGGCTCTGCTTTGGATATGTTCGTAATATGAAATGCGGCGAGCATCCAGCTTTTCGGGGAACTCCTCGCGGTTCCGGTAGAGCGACATCCATGACGAGATAACGCTCAAAACAACTAGGACCAGAACCGCAACGACGAGGAAACCCTGGACGACGATGATGATTATGCCAAAGACGGTCGATAGGATGCGGCCGATGGCGAATTCAGGCAGAAAGGCAATCGAAAACCCAGCCGTCACGACCTTGGTAATGCCCAGCATCCAGATCGCCAAAGATGTGTTTCTCTGACCTTCCAATGGGTTTAGTTTGATGAAGACAACAAAGGCGATGATTTCGAAGATGAACAGTCCGTAAACTTGAGCGAGGGGGTTTCGAGCACCGCCACCGATGAAACAGGCGCGAATGAACTGGTAGCTGAGCCAGCATGCAAAGAACCACCATCGGGTCCGGCGGTACCGAGCTGAAAGCCAACCGAACCTCTTGATATAAAGCTCGTCTTCGTGTACACTTTTTCGGTTTGGATCGTCGTCGACGAACCGGATCCTGACAAATGGCATCGATCCGTAGCGCTTCGCGGTCGTTTCCTCCTCTCCAATCTTGCTGGCGCGCGTTGTCGCAATTGCTGGAACCGAGCCAAAGAGTTTGCCTTGTTCAAACATGATGGTATCCGGGCCCATTTCATACTTCCCAGACCGGAGGCGGAAGTAACAGGCATATGCCACGATGCCTCCCACGCCGACTAGCAACAGGATGAAAACAACAGCCGCGATGGCCGTCGGGCCTGCAGGCGCCCGAACATTGAACTGGAACAACGCCAGAGTCATCAGCGAAAAGAAGGAAACGAGAAGGGTTCGGAGGATCCCTGCCGCCAGGTATCCGCCTAGGTGGTTGCGAAAGTAGAGGAAGCGATCCTCGTTGAGCAGCTTCACCCCTACCAGCATGTCGAGGGTAAACTTGAACACGGTGATGGAGACGGCGACGAGCCCGATAGCAACCAACCACCAAATGAGACCTAGAGTGAAAGCATCGGCTGCCGGGATGCCCAGGGCAGACAGGTCTCCAGCGAACCCAATCCATGTGCCTGGTGTAGGCATTCCTGGGGATACCGGGTCGCCTGCCCAGTAGTACTCGTACGGGTTGCTTGTGTTGTAGGTCCGGGCTGCACGCTGGGCGAGGCTCTGAATGGGTCCAGCATGGCCAGGTATAGGAAATGTGTCCAGTGAGCGGCCGTATATTTGTTGCACAAGACCACCGCCGGTATTGATAACGGCTGATCCCGCACCGCCTACTTGGCTGGCATTACCGGTCACGCCAGCGAATCCGTCGATCGAGCCCACCATTTTCTCGCTGTATATCATGCCAGCCGCCCACCCGAAGTTGCTCCACCATGCCGGCAGAACGCTGGGCCAGTCAACAGACATGGCGCCTGAGAAGAAAACAGTCTGAAAGGTCTCGAAAATAACCAGAACGGACAAGGAATGAGCGTAATGCGTCCTCATATGAGGAATGCTGACGCCGTATATCGCAGTCGCAAAAGAGGCCAGGAGGGCGGCAAGAGTGAAGACACCCAGTATGGACGAAATGGCCGCCGGATGAGAAAAGCTGTTGCCGTTGCGCATGACGGCTTGGAAACATCCAATCTGAGTCTGACTGGAATTCGCGAATATCTGAATCCGGGCGGAACCTTCAAAGTCAGGTATATCGAGGGCGATGGATGGAATACCATCGATTTGAGCTGGTGTAAGAGTGAACTCGGCAAATGCCGTGATGGGATTGCTGGCGTTCAGAGGGCACAGACTGAGAAGGTCAGTGGGCATGTCAATTCGGACGGTTCAAGGACACAGACGCACCTAGCAATATTTACCATGCATGGGTTAAAGTTCATCTCGTATCTTGTCTCGCCGTCTGGCCTAAGTTAGCATACCCATCCCATTGTAATGGTTCGTCCGAAGTTGGCTTGAGCTTACATGCTTCGACATTGATGTGCACTGCAACACAGTTAGCATCCGTACAAGATATCGGAGGTTTGCCTCAACCTACTCATCAACGACTCGTTCCTAATGTTGGTCGTTCCGTCCAGGTGGAATTGAACCGTCATGTTGTCAGCGTAGTAGGCGGCGTCGAATTTGGTGATGTTGAATAAGCTCTGCCCTCCAAGACAGTCGCCAAAGTCACCGGTATAAAGGCTGGGTCTACGGTTGACGGCGAGCTGCTCGGTGTTGCCATCCTTGTCTTGTCCGGTGATGTAAACAGTTTTAGTGGCTGCCGACGCTGTCGCGAGGAAGGCGAACAAGATGGCTATGCTCGCGGCGAGTGACGTCGGGCCTTTGAAAGGAGCCATCATGGGCAATGGGCGGAGAAGGCAGTTGGAGGGAGAGCTAGGGAGTGCTCGGGGTGGGAACCCTATATGCCCGAGGGATGCTGTGATGTTCGCACAGAGCAGACCGATAAAGAATCGTTATGTGGCGGGCTGGGAAATGGGATCTGAAGTATTTCGAAAAATGATGGGAGTACCGGTGGCCTTCAACGTTGTCAGGGGGCTTTTGGTTTCGTCGTTTATCGACGCCCGGAGGGCGCGGAACGTAGTAGACTGGCTCTCCGAGGCGGCGGAAACCACCTTGGAGGGAGCTGTCTGGGATGTGTCGCCCGGGGGCCCTGATCAACTGGTATGTTTCTGCTGTGGATGGTTGCGATGTTCTGTTGTGGTAACGGACGTACTCGTCAATCGAGCCGAGTTGTCGTGATAAGGGAAGAGAACTCTTTGTCAGATTTTGCGTCTTTTCCTGTCGGCGCGGGTTGAAGGACACAGGAGACAGTGTCGACAGACGCACACAAACATACGCGCACACACACAAACACACACACCAGTGGCGGCGGGTGGGAAGCTAAGATATTACTTGGTTTGCAGGGATGCGACCCTTGGTGGGACAAGAAGCTCCCCAAACCGGTGACAGAACCGACGGCAAGGATGGGCCGGCAAACCGAATCTTTGTGTCTGTGTGTGTGATTCAGCCAGGCAAGGTAGCAGTGTGAACCGAGACAGCGGGCAGGCGCAGGCGTGGGTTCATCGTCTGGGAACGGATCGGATAGAGTGGGAAAGGAGCACCAGGTCAGGGTCCATCGTCGGGTCTGGGGAAGAACGAGATGAAGGAACGGGAGTGGCACGGATGAGTGGATGGCTGAAGAGCTCGTATTCATATGATTCTTCAGCGGTACAGCGAGCGGCAATAAAGGTGGCCTAGGTAGCGAGAGAGGTTTCGATTGGAATGCCATGTCATGCGTGGGCCCTGGACTGGAACCCGTAGAAGGACATGGGGTGTTTTTCTGGCCGTCTGCGTAAGCGTCCTTGGGCAGTGTGTGCTATGCAAACTAACTACCTACCCAAGCACAAGGCACGACTTGTGCGAAACTGGTCGAAACCGGGAAACGAGCAGGGGCTGCCTCGCCAAAATGGGACAGGAGTGGACAAGACAGGACGGCCAGGGTTGAGCAGCGTGTTTTCATCTTCATTTTTCACGACTGACACGTTATCTCAAGCTTATGCACCGCCAGTGGACCCGGCCAAGTGACGGCTGGCGGCAATGGCAGTACTAGCGCTCGTCCGGAGTGCGCGTGTACTGCCTAGGTAATATGCTCAGCTCACCGATTTTTACCTGCCTAGACGGGAGATAGTGAAGAGCACGTTTTGTTGACACATGCCAGTCTCGTGCAAACAAGCCATTGCCAATTCCCACCAGGCGCCGATCTTATCGCTGATAACAGGTATGTCAGGACAAGAGCACCATCTTCTATCCGTTTTGAGCAGTACGGACACTACTGTACACTACTATAGTACCTTCCAAGCCAAGCTTGTCATCGGTACGTATCCGAGAGGTGTCAGCTGGCTAAAGGTACGTACCTAGATACCAAGTCGTGGCTATGCCTCCCTGACGCTTGTCTCTGCCTTTTTTTTCTTTTCTTTTCCTCTTTGCCCTAACGATCATCCTCCGGTATGCTCGTTCTTCTGTTTCCACATGCCTTGGTCTTCAGACATAGTTGGGCCTCAGAAGCGCGGCTCTCGAGGACAAAACATCTCTCTGCCGTCTTGTTCTGTTTACAACGACGTGGAACCCCCCCACTTGCCTCAAACCCTCCTAGCCCGACTGATGAAGCCAGCCACCCGACCGCCGACCGACAGCTTCAGCCACTCGTCGTCTCCAAAGAACAACGCCACCGATGCAAACCTAGCTTACGGCGTCAGGAATCATCGCTGCTTACCTATCGTATTCCCGCCTTGCCCAGGCTCGCAAACGTCTGACCACCACACGTGTGTACATCGGGCACACCGGCTTTCGTAACTCTCCACCGTCCTGGGTGTTCCAAACGGACTCGGTCTTGAACGGCCTGGCCAGGAGCCCAGAGCCCAGCACAGCACCGGTAATGTCGGCTATGGACGTGCTGTGTCTGCTTGACCGTCGCTTTCTTGATTCGAGAGGCAAACTCCTCCACTCCTCACCTTGCTCCACCGAGTCCACTCAGCGCCTATCTCCCAACCACTCAGGAGCTTGCCAACGCGACGCCCCAGCACCCACACACTCCAGTCGTTTGCCCTCATAACCGAACCGGGATAGCCCGATTCCTACCTGTTGCTAAACGCCATTAAACTACTCACCGCAGATCTGCGTGTCCATCTCCCAATAACCTTCCTCTCTCTCGGCCGCAACGGAAATCCTTATTGTTCCCAAATGCCAAAACGGCCGGCAGTTGACCTGCGTCATTCTCGGCCAAGACCGACGGCCCACGGAGCGTCCGTCTGTCTACGCATCTACCGAAGAAACGGACATCTTCATGCCTCTTCTCTGTAGTCTCCGCATACGATTTCAACGATGAAAACAACACGGCTCGCGTCCGTATCTGCGATGCCAGTCAGAATTTGACACAGGCGCTAAACTTCTCGGCCCGGGACTGCCAGCAGCCTGGCATTCGCTTCAATGCTACTGCATTCCAGGTGGCCGCGCTAGGTCCGTGCAAGAACCATGACTTCACCACTCGGCATGCTGTATAGGCAGCGCAGGAACCGGTCTTGCAGTAGGCTTTTGGAGTTGTCTGCAGACGTTCTGTTGACATGTGGCATGAGGCAACAACCCCCACCAACTAATCCTAAGTTGCTAGCACGACAGCCAACCTGCCGGCCGTGCGTTTCAACCGGTATGGGTGAACTCTCCAAAAATTGCCAGGTCTCGTTGGTGGTAGGCTCGGTGTGCCGCTTCTAGACAATCTTAGGGAAAGGGCCCAAGCGAATGTTCGTCGGCCAGTTGCAAGTGTCAACATCTAGACCGGCACGAATGGCAAGTAATACTCATTAACGGCCGATTTCCCACGATTGGTTTGTTGACCACGCTTGATCGTCTCGTTCGTTTCATCTTGTCAAGGACTAGAAGTCGATTGCTGAGGGAATGGGCCGAAACGGACTAACGTTGGAAACATGGTCTGGCTACCAAAACCGATCCCTGGTTTGGTCCGTCGGCAATCACCCAAAATGACTAGATTGGGCATTTCCCCTAAAGGCTCTCGAGGCCTATATCGTCAAACGGATAGACCCTGGGGTGCGCCGAGCTGACAGTCATGCTGCAAGCGCCGAGTTCTCGAGAATATCTAGATGCAAACGATCGGTTACGAGTAAACCAAGTTCCATGCTCCACGTACCAACCAAGGTGCTTAATGTCGGACATGCTTTCGCTCCTTTAGGGTCCATCTAATCTAGAGACTATAGGACGTTCTGAGTGTAATGAAGCTCCCGGACGTCAAAGCAGAACGTCACCTTGATATTGGCACGTCGAAAGGGGCATCTCGTCACCACATATCACTTTGTAGGCGCCAGACGTCAACTCCAAAACCCTCGGCACCTGCACATAAGGGCCATCGACTTGGACACACCTCCAGGAGGATAATCATTGTACAGAGGCAACTCCGCTGCTGTAGATACCCCCTCGGGACCCTCCTCTGGCGTCATAGGGGAGAATTGAGTTTTCACTTCTCGATGCCGGGTGTGGAACAAAGTGAAGGAAACTTCGTGGAGACGAAATTCATGAGACGGTAATGCCTATTGACTGCGGCCATTGGCCAATGATGTCCCGCACCAGCGGATCTTCCGGAACTAGTTTTCGGGAACTTGGTTGCTGGCGGGGTCTGGGCGGCAATAGAGTGGACTCGGAATGTCATCAGTATCCAGACAACTGCAACCACCGAAAACTGGAGATCAGGATCTCGGTGGACAGAGCGACATCGGGCCAACCCCGCAGCCGGCAGCCGGCCACCGAGAGCCGCCATGCCGATTGACGCGGACGTCGGGGACTGCCCCACCATCCTGACCGAGCTGACCGGGGCGTGTCTTCACGTCTTTAAACAACTCGAGCGGCCCCGATCTAGGTGCAGGTGGTACAGACCATGATCGTCATTTTTCAAGCGTGAACCCGACGCTTCGGATAAGGCGTCTTTGACAGCAACGTATCTGTGGCTTTGCAGATCACGTCTGCCAACCTTAGTCCGTAGCCAAGAGGCTGGGCACCAGCACGCCAGATGAGGCGGGAATTGCAACTTTGACGGCCTTCTGCAGCGATCACTGCATCTCCTCCTGGAGCTTTCATATTACAGCTGCCTTCCAGGGTTGGGGAGCAGCGAGGCGCGGGGTCCCTGGAATTTGACCTCGGCGAGCTCCAGCCACATTTGGCGGGGCATGCCGTTGACACTCCCTCGCGCCATCAACCCGTCAACGAGAGCCCCCCAGCTCAGGGACAAGGTTTTTGGCGAGTGTCGCGGGATGTCTGCCATGTGCTCGACGTGGCAGGTTCAGGTTTGCAAGAGGTTGCTTGGTCATCTCAGCGCGGGTGTCTACGTATCTTTAGCTCAGACCGTTATTACCAATCCCGTTCCCGACACAAAGAGTTGCCGGAACACCGAGCCGCGACATTGCCAAACAGCGACCCCACGACTTCATGGATCTCCCATGGTCCGATCCCTGTGTCAGCCATGCAAATCGCATGGGGCGGCGGACTTTTCCTGCGGCAATCGGGTCTCAGTCTCCATTGGGAACGAGATGTATTACACTGGCAGTTATCGTGGCGAGCATGACTTAGTCGCGGCACCGAGGAGGAAAGCTACTTACACATACTTGTACGGGTAGCATAGGTAGGTTCCGCCAAGGAGGGTACATGCGCAAGGTAGCGATCACGTCATTTGAACTAAACAAACAGCCTCCATTTTTACCTCGACTGACGGGGTACGCAACCACGCAAGACCGGTTTGACGCCGGTAACGAGCGACAATTTTCTCTCTGAGTCGAGCCCGCATTTCGCAATTCTCGAGGAATAAAAAGACGTTTCTATCCTCTCCCGTCCCTCCCATAGACTCGCCTCTCTCTTGCTGGTTCTCCTGTTTCTACTCATCTGTGCTTCCCCTCCAATCTTTCCATACGTACCCCTCCTTGCAAGACCAGAAGCCAAGGGCTCAGTTGGTTGTATCTTCTCTTGACGAAACTCTGCAGGAGTTCCTCGCAGGCCATCATTCTCTTCTCTGCCACGCGCTTCCTCCCAGCATTTCGCAATGGCCAACTCTCCTCACGGCGGCGTCCTCAAGGACCTCTTCGCGCGCGATGCGCCGCGCCAGTCTGAGCTCCTCGCTGAGGCCGACAAGCTCCCTTCTCTCGTCCTGACCGAGCGCCACCTCTGCGATCTCGAGCTGATCCTCAATGGCGGCTTCTCTCCCCTCGAAGGTGCGTGTGTTGACGTGTTGCCTCCCGAGCCCATCCGCAGCGATGCGCAGTGATGGTGGGGTTGCATAGCGGGGAGGCAACCCCGCTATGATTTTGTTTTGGAGGGGCAGCCCCCCCCTACGATTACGTCCTAGGCCCCAAGAACAGTGGAACTGACCAAGACACATCTTTTACAGGCTTCATGACCGAGAAGGACTACAATGGGTATGTTGAGACCAATTGAACGAATACTAGGGCAAGAATGACATGGGTCGCTAACGCGTGTGACGCAGCGTTGTCAAGAACAACCGTCTCGCCGACGGTAACCTGTTCTCCATGCCCATCACCCTTGATGTTTCCCGGAAGAGCATCGACGACCTCTCCATCAAGCCCGGTGCTCGCATCACTCTGCGCGACCTGAGAGACGACCAAAACCTGGCCATTCTCACCGTAGAGGATGTCTACAAGCCAGACAGGTAGGTTTTCGCTCCCGATCGACGCGCATTGACCCGGTCTGACATGTGCTTGTTCAAGAACCGTCGAGGCCATCGAGGTCTTTGGCAGTGACGATGACACTCACCCCGGTGTCAAGCACCTCTTCAACAACACCAACGACTTCTACGTCGGTGGTAAGCTCGAGGCCGTCCAGCGTCTTGCCCACTACGACTTCCTGGACCTCAGATGTAAGCCCATATATCCTCTTGTCACAGCTTGAGACCCTCCCAGACTAACCAACGACCAAAAGTCACCCCTGCGGAGCTGAGACTGCACTTCGAGAAGCTCGGCTGGAACAAGGTCGTCGCTTTCCAGACTCGCAACCCCATGCACCGCGCCCACAGAGAGCTCACGGTCCGCGCCGCCCGGTCCCAACAAGCCAACGTCCTCATCCACCCCGTCGTCGGCCTGACCAAGCCCGGCGACATCGACCACTTCACCCGTGTCCGGGTCTACAAGGCCCTACTCCCCAGATACCCCAACGGCATGGCCGCCCTGGCCCTGCTGCCTCTGGCCATGCGCATGGGTGGTCCCCGTGAGGCCATCTGGCACGCCATCATCCGCAAGAACCACGGCGCGACCCATTTCATCGTAGGCCGCGACCACGCCGGCCCCGGGAAGAACAAGAACGGCAAGGACCACTACGGCCCGTACGACGCTCAGGTGGCCGTCCAGAAGTACTCGGACGAGCTCGGCATCACCATGGTCGAGTTCCAGGAGATGATCTACATCCCCGACCGCGATGAGTACCAGCCCGCCAACGAGATCGCCCCCGGCACCCACACCGCCAACATCTCGGGCACGGAGCTGCGTAACCGCCTCAGGACGGGCAAGGAGATCCCCGCGTGGTTCTCGTACCCCGAGGTCGTCAAGGTCCTGCGCGAGCAGAACCCCCTCCCGGCCCAGAAGGGCTTCACCATCTTCCTCACCGGCTACCAGAACAGCGGAAAGGATCAGATCGCCAAGGCCCTCCAGGTCACTCTCAACCAGGGCGGCGGTCGCTCCGTCTCCCTGCTCCTCGGCGAGACGGTCCGCCACGAGCTGTCTTCGGAGCTCGGCTTCAGCCGCGAGGACCGCGACAAGAACGTTGCGCGCATCGCCTTCGTCGCCTCGGAGTTGACCCGTGCCGGTGCCGCCGTCATCGCGGCCCCCATCGCCCCCTACGACGACGCCCGCAAGCAGGCGCGCGAGCTCGTCGAGAAGTCGGGCCCCTTCTTCCTCGTTCACGTTGCAACCCCGCTCGAGTACGCCGAGAAGACGGACAAGCGCGGTATCTACAAGAAGGCGCGCGCCGGCGAGATCAAGGGCTTCACCGGCGTCGACGACCCCTACGAGGCGCCGTCCAAGGCCGACCTCGTTGTCGACGTCGAGAAGCAGACGGTCCGCTCCATCGTCCACCAGATCGTGCTGCTCCTCGAGAGCCAGGGCCTCTTGGACCGGTTGTAAACGTTTGCAAGCGAGCGGGTCGACAGATTGTTATACGTCATTGCAGCGGTAAAGAGAGAGGTATCATAGGACGGATTTACACGACGGAGTTGAAAGACAAACGTGGGATAAAAAGCTGGTGATGATCTTACGAAGACTGTTTTTTTTTTTTTTTTTTTTTTTTATATACGGATGGAAGGAACATGACATCATATACTGACCCCGGGACGAAGGGAGGGAATCATGTTTCGTATAGCACAGCTCGTCTCCAGCACGGCTGCATAGATATAGAAATGTCGAAAGAAAGTGCAATGGCTTTTGAAAGATGAGTTGGTTTGCTGGAGTGTCTTGAGATGCAATCGTCCCAGTGCCATCAATCATCATGTTGTGGCTCGGCCGTGTGGGTGACTAGCAGCACCGAAGAGTAGACTCGGGGTTTGAGAAGCATCAGACCAGCAAGCCAGCCCGTGCGTGCAGATGGAAAACGCTCCGGCGGGGCGCCGGAAATCAATACCCGGGTCTCGGACGATGAGCGTGTGAATGCGGCAGGCTTGAAGGAATCCTTTTGGTGGAGGGAGGATCCCGATGGGACGGAGAGGGAGCGAGAGAGGTGGGAGAGAGAGCGAGAGATGGTGTGGTCGTTCAAGGTGTCTTTCCCTTGGTGGTGGTGTGTGCGAGAAGCACGAGGACGATGCAGCACGGGCGCTTAGGCAGGTAGCTCGGCGCGGGTGATTGGGTGACGCTACCCTGGGCCGCCGCCTAGGTACCCAGGTAGGTAGGTAGGTAGGTACCTACCTACCTATCCACTTTGCGCGTGGACGCACTGGTGTTTCTTGGTGCCCGATGACATGAGGAGACGGTTGGTGATCTGGCGGGTATCAACACATGGCGGCGGAGGTTGATGAGCCGTTCGTTTGGTTTTGGTTGGTTGGTTGGGTGGGCGAGGACGGGGATGGGTTAATTTTAGGAGAGTTAATCGACTTCCTAGCTTACAACCCGGTCTCAGTTACGTGAGACTCGGGCATCTCTACATGAGGCGGCGGCGTGTCCTTGGCCTGACGGGGACGTAGGTGCAGTTTTCTTTTGGAGATTTGCTGGCGGTGGACGGGGATGATTCCAGAGAGCCGGATGTCTCGAAGCGTTTGGGTTTCTTCCTCGAGGTTTGGCTGGCCGCTGCTTGGTCCGAGACACTGACTGCGTCTGTCTCTGGGGAAGGGGGGGGGAGGGCCAGTTGGTCAGTGATTGTCGTTTCCCGTCATCCGTGATACTCGAGTTCCAGAGCATCACGACACGCAATATAATTGGACATAGGCCTATCGTTTGTACGGATAGGTTAGGTTAGGTGGTGTAGCGTTGGACCCCCAAGGGAGAAAGCAGCTAGCATCTGGCTCGTGTCGGTCGTACCGTGCGATGTCGAGCCTCTCGATTGCTGAGACACGGTCCCGTCTTGCAGGTGTTTTGCATGTGGACGGCACCGCACCGTGTGCAGGGGAGGGACAAAGTGCCATCTGTGTTGGCCCGAGCTTCCGACAGTGTCCGTTGTGGACCCCAAGGGACCTCAGCCCGGTAAGTGCCACGTCAGGCTTGGGGGGTCGGTCTAGCCAGGCCTGCCACCTGCTTAGGTACAGTAGGGTAGGTCGTTTAAGTACAGTACCTACCTAGGTATCCGTAGGTAGATGCCCAAATCCCAAATGCACCCGCTCCTTCAATCATTTGCGCCGCAGCAGAGAGGGGAGAAACAGACCGCGAATGTGCCACCGCTCAGCGCCTTTTTTTTTGGTCGCCCTTGCTTCTCTCATGCTCATGCTCATCATTATGCTCATGCTCATGCTCATGCTCATGCACCCACCCTCCCCGTCATCACCTTTTTTCGAATGTGTTCCCAGTATACCTATCCATTGTGTCCAGTGTTCCTCTGGGCGGCTGGTTCCACTCTTTTCCGCCACCAGCCTACCAACCCGCCTCCCCTCCTCACCCCGGCCAAGCTACAGGGGGGCTTGGTCTCTGGTCGAATCATACTTGGCTGCGTTGCTCGATGAACTAAACTCGCAACCGCCCACCCGATCTGTCGACTCTTCGCTCCCCCCTCTCTCTGCTGCCTGCCTGCCTACCTGCGACGGACCGACTAATATTAGCTAACTGACTTTCAACATTTACTCACCCTTCACGTCACTCCTTTGGGTGTCACCGCCGCCGCCACCGCCTTCGTCGTCGTCGCCGTGGGTTCTGCATTCTACAGCAGTTTTTTTGGTTGTTTTTTTCCACAACACAAACCCGACGCAATAGAAGGCGCTTTCTCTACGACTCTGGCCCGGCCAGCAAACAGCACTGATGTGAAAGTTTGGCCAAACGGAATCTCCCCCTATTCGTCAACGTTCGTTCCAAGCCAGGGGGTGGCCATTTTCCCTCAAAATTCCCCAACACAGAGTTCCCCAGTTTTGCGACAACTCCCGAGAGTGAGTTCGCTTCAACGATTACGGGTCGGTGAACAATCCCCCAGACCAGGTCCCGCCTGCTTCACTTCCCGCCTTTTTCATCCAAAAAATCATCCAACCTGGGTCCTCCAAGTTCCAACACGACGGCCCGCTTTGCTATCCGCCGCTCTCCCAAAACTTTCCTGCCCGGCAAAGCTCACTCCGTCAGGCTTCATTGCTTGCTTGCTTGATCCATCTGGTTCCTGCCTCAGTGAACACGCCCCAACCTGATCCCTCTGACCGCCTCCAAACCTCCCCCGCCTTCAGTACCCGCAATAGACAGCAACACCAAGTCGGCCTAGCTTTTGGGCTACGCCCTCATGCTCCGCCATGTCTTCCAAAGACCGTGACGTCGACGTCGACGTTGATCGGCCTCCGCGCGACAAAACCGACAAGCCAGAGAAGAAGGCCTCGAGAAGCAAGTCGGACCGCAGCAGCAGGACCGACAAGGAGCACCGATCCCACCGCGTGAGCTCGCGCTCCTCCAGATCCAAAATGACCGACGGCAGCGACCTTCATTCCCACTCCCACTCCCACCGCCGTCACCGCACCCGCGAAGAACGAGACCGCGACCGTGACCGTGACAGGGACGACCGTTCCTCCTCCATGACTGATCTCGTCCCCGAAATGTCTCGCACCTCGCTCACCGGCCCCGCCTCGACTGACCGCATCTCGGTGCCCTACCCTACATTCAGCAAGGCTCACAGCAAAGAGGCCGTCCGTGGCAGCCGTGAGGATGTGTCCGGGTCCGGGTCCGGCGTCGGTGCCACGAGGAGGCACGACCCCTTCACGCCTGAGGCGACGGACCTGGGCGACAGCGAACTTAACCGATCCAAGAGCGCTGATCAGTCCGAGAAGCAACGCAAAGTCTCGTCCAAGAAGGAGTCGAGACCCCCCAGTCCGCCCGATACGGACTTGTCGGGCAAGAGACGGTCAGGCACGCCCGAGGAGCCGTCCAGAAAGGTTCGCGAGGAACGTTCCAGCTCCAGGCTCAGCGGAGAGGCATCGAAGAGAGATCGGGAGAGTAGACCGAGCTCGCGACTCAGCGGCCTCTCACGATCGGGCTCCAGGGCCGACGACAAGTCCAGGCTAAGCTTCAAGTCCAAGACCAGCAGCCAAGCTACATATGTCAAGTCGCCAGCATTCCCCCCTGGTGTGCACGAGAGCCTAAACATCAAGCCGAGCGCCTCCCGAACGTTGTCGAAGCGGAGCTCATCAAGCAAGAAGAGTCGCCGATCTGATCACCACGACGACGACTCGTCCCCCGAGAGCCTCCAAGACTCATCCCCCAGGACCCCAACGCAAGCGCCGCCATTCCCGCCGCCTTTTGCAATGCACGATAAGCCACCGGGAACTCCTCCTCAGGTTTACCGCGAGAACGACATCACACCGTCCGCGACACCAATGACCGACATGCCGCCGCCGCCGCCGCCCACCGGCCCTCCCCCTCCCCCACCGCCTCCGCCCGTGGACGTTCAGGAAGCACCGCGGGTCGACTACCTTTTGCAAAACGGCGGTCTTATTCAGCCTATCCCCAAGACATTCCTCTCGGTCCTGCCCCGGCAGAACGGCGCTCGACCATCTAACCCGCCCCTGGTTGGTGCGCAGACGTTGTTTGCGCCATTCTTTAACCTTTTGGACCAGTATAACTCGGTTCTTAATCGTAATGGCTCCGTAGCAGTCGCGACCGGCCATAGATCGGTGGCCCGCCGTCTGCTGGACCGCCTCGAGAACGTATTCTCCAGAGAACTCCCCGAGGATGGATGCATGTGTGTGGTTTGCGAAAGAGGACCCGACATTCAGCATCGCGGTTTAGGCTGGGGCGAAGTTCTCGAATGGGTCAGCGGCCGTATCGATCTTCCCCAGTGGCCGCCCTTCGACCTGGCAAGCCTGGGATCCAAGGCTGTCGAGGTATCAGCAGACCTGCCGCCCCGTCCCGACTCGCCGGTCAAGATTGACCCCGATATCGCTGAGGAATTCCGCGAGCATTACCTCAGACAGTCTAAGAAGGTCAGGGGCGCCGTGGACAAGTGGCTCAACACCTGCGGTGAAACGACCGCACCCCCGCCTCAAGATGTAGACGACGAGACCCTGACGTTTGCTATCCTGACGAACCTAGACCCTGAGGACCAGCCGTACTTCAACGCCATTCTGTCTGGATCCAACCACCCCAAGCCCGCGACGAGAGCACCGACGCCCTTGCACCGAGCGCGTCCGGAGCTCCTTGTCAAGACGGGCTTGGCCCTGCAGCGCCTCTACCGACTGACCCAAGTGCCGCGAGATGCCGAGGTCGCCATGTACCTTGTCAAGAACCCCCACACGCACGATCTACTCATCACAATGTCCGACATCAACGCGCAAGAATGGGAGATCTTGACCTCTGGCAGATTCGACGGCTTCCTCTGGTCCGGAGCCGACGGCGACGATATCGCAACCCCAACAGGCGAATCGCGTGGCGCGACACCCGCGAGTAACTTTGCCCCCTCTCGGCCCTCCACAATGAGCCCAGGCGTTCGGGGAACGCCCGGTTACCCAGGATCTCGCAACACGACTCCGTTCTCTGCCTACTCCCGTGGCGCTACCCCCGCCTCTTTCATCAGCAACGCATCGTCCGCCGCGGTGAATCGCCAGGCGGTCTCTCGAGACGAGGAGATGGAGATGGCCGTCCTAGCAGAGGTGGAGCGCGAGATCTACCAAGGCATGGAGGCATTGGAGGACGCGTTCGAGGCGCTCCACCTCAAGGCCGAAGTCGTCCGAACGGGTCTGCGCAACCGTGGCGCCGGCCTGATGCACAGCCTGCAGAGCCGCCGGCGCATCGACGTCCTTCCCAACCCGAGCTCCGGCAACTCGCAGTCGTCGGGGTACGAGCGCCCCAGCTGGGCGCAGGGCGACTACGACGCCAACAGCGATAGCGAGTGGGGAGGCGACGACTTTGAGCTCGCGCCCGACGACTCGGCGAGCAACATCAGCAGCTCGCGGCACCGACGGCCCAAGAGGCGGACCGAGAGAAGGACGCCGGCGCCGATCGAGGAAGACGATGAGGAAAACTGAACTCTTGAGGGAAAGGAAAGGCTCGATGGGAAGTGAGGATTCACGAGCTCCCTGATGGACAAAGGGTGAGCAGTGAGATGCTTTTGTTTCTTGAGATACGAAGATACGAGAAAAAAAAAAAGGTTTCGAGAAAGATGAAACGACATGATGTGAAAATCAAGAGTTTTTTTTTCTTTCTTAGATTTTATCTTTCTTGTAATTTTTGTCTTGCATGGAATACTAAGGCTGGAAGGTCCACGGTCCGAGAATTTGTTGTTACCGTTGCTGCCGATGTCGTCGATGCCGAGGTATCAGGCCGCGGGCCTGTCCCTTGGAAGGAGAAAAGAGAGAGAGAGAGAGAGCAGGACGGACAGATCCCTCCCCTCTCTCATTCTTCTCTGATGGGCCATCGGGAGGGTCCAGTCGAAAGTGGTTCAGGGAAAGGGGCTTCTCTTCTCATTCTCAATGCACGAGAGGACATCATGGAGCGCGAAATCATCATGTGCGCCCGCCCAAGTTTGTCCTCCTTGGTAGCCCGCGATGCAGTCGGTCGGTTTGTTGCATTGTCATGGAGTCTTGGGCATTACGCTCTCCCATTATGGCGGCGTGCTTCTTAGGTTTTTTTTTTATTTTTATTTTTTTATTCTGAACGAATCCAAGATTCCCTCCAGGGCGATGATAGTTCGTCTTTTGATCGGCTCGCCCCCAAAAGATTGTGAAGGTGTGATCCGAGCGCGTGAGGACCTTGATGAAGGTATGTCGTCGATGTGCTATGGTGGTCTACCAGATTCGTCATGGGGTGAACAAGCAAGGGGCATTCGCCTTTGACATCTATCGGGAACGACAGGCTAGCTTACAGGCTAGCTTCCATGCCATCTTAGATATAGATTCGGGGTGGAAGCAGGCGCGGAAAAGGAAGCGGCCTAAATTCATGCAATCGCCGTTGCTCTATAAATTGCGTAGGGACGGCACTGAGGCCACTATCTGTTCCTAGTCTTCTCCTTGCCTTAGCTACCACGGTACCGCGGACCTGGTTACTTCTCCGCCCCCTCCCAACTAGGACGAGCGACCTGTTTCCATCAAATCCTAAATGCAAATCCAATGAGAACTCATGACGCGCCAGAGAAAGTGAATCCTGATGATCGGCTGCTTCTGGGAGCTGCCGTGTGGTTGAGTGCCATGAAAAGGGGGAACGAACAAGAAGGTTGTAGGTAGCAAAAGATACAACACCAACGAAAAGCTCCCGCGATGGTGGACATTCGATTGGGATGGAAGTGGTGTTGCGAAGAGAGAAATCTCGGTCGGCAGCTGGAACTGAATCATCCAGTCTTGAAGAGCAAGGTGATTGATTATCCAGTGTAGTCTCCTGATCAACTGATGTGCTTGGGCGCATCCACCTCAGTTCCCCTGCCCCGAGGTATCATTCTTGCCACAATGGCGGCCTTCTGCCGCTCCAATGACATGGCGCAGATGCTCGAAGCTTTGCTTTAGGACCTCAGTATTTTTTGTAGCAGACTTGAAATCCTTCAGTCCCTTCTCGGCACGCTTCTTAGCCGATTTGAGTGCCCGCTTATCACCCTTGCTCGACTTTCGGAGCGCGTTGACTGCCTGAGAAAGAGGAAGAAGGGCCTCCTGAAGGCATTCTCTGAGGACTTGGTTATCATGGCGGATTTGTGCCAGAACGGAGTCCTGCCTCTGCAGTTGCTCAGTATGCTTTTGAAGTTGATCTGAGTGGTCTTCCAGATTTTCGGACAATTTGCGAACCCGGGCTGCTTGTTGGAGCTTGATGGAGTCACCGGCCGAGATGACTGCCAGACTGTTGTTGACATTATCGATTGCTCGCTTCAGTTCCCGTCGGGAGGTGTGCTTCCTTCGCCTGGAAGAGATCGAGCTCAAGGTATCGATTTCATGTACACCCCTGGGTGACGGGCTCATGGGGTTGGGAGGCTTGGCGACCAGAGGCAACTTGATGATGTCAACAGGTTGCGATTTATTAATAGTAGCTGCATTGGTGTCGATCTCGATACTTTCTCGATGGAAATAGTTGCCCAGACCGTTCCTTCCCGCCTTCTCTCCAGGAGCATCGTAGACATGAAAGCTGGTCGCTGGTCGGGGTATAGTTGGCTTCGGGAGCTCTCCCTCAGTCTTAACGATTACTTCGGTAATCTGTGACGAGGAGTCTCGAAAGTTTCGATCAGGAGGTACTGGTATTTCTGGAGAATTCCTGGCCTTAGAAGGTTTCTTTTGGAATACAGCTGCGGCCGTTTTCTGCTTCTTAGATTGGGATGAAAATTCGTTCTCGTCTTCGATACTGCGCTTTAGTCCTGCCGATCCTGCGCCGAGCTTTCTCTCCTCCCGTGTTAGCTTTGGGTTGCAACATTTTTCTGCATCCCAGCCGGCCTTGGCCAGCATATCGACGATTTCAGCGGGAATGACCAGGCCGTTCAGGATTCGGACTGCTTCCATCATGGATGCGGGAAGTGGCCAGCCTCGATTCTTGGAGTGTTCCCAATGGTCCACAAGCTGTCTGTAGGGTAGCTGTTGGGAAATGTCGGCGGGCTTCTTGCCTTCCTCATCCCAAGACAAGCTACCGATATATTCGTCGACAGTCTTGTTGGAGTGCCGAAACGCAGGCTCACTATAGACGGTGTTTTTCTGTTTCTTTGCCCATCGTTTCCATCCAACCGACGTTTTGGCGTTGGTTATCCGGATTGCCTTCGGCGCGGCCTTCGGCGCGACCTTCGCAGTAGCTTCTGATGAGGAAGCCACGACGTTCTGGGAAACTGCCCGGGGAGCAGACTTCTGCGTAATTGTGAGTGTATTTTGGGGTCCGACGGTCACGGGTTCCGACTGAGAGTCGGCTGTCTTTGCTGGAATCTGTTCAAGATGCGTAGGTTGCGAAGCCAGCGAGGTCTGATTTGTGACTGGTGTCAGAGGCAAGTCTACCGTATCAGAACAAGGGACAATGGGTTTGGGCATAACTACCGCCACCTGTTTCGGTTGGGGAGTCATGCTTGTCTGCAGTTGTATGCTTGTGGAAAATGAAGCTGAAGTCGAAGTTTTGGGTAAGTGAAGTGATTGGACGTCAGGGGATGAGTGCAAAAGCAAAGGATGGGCAGAGTAGATACAGCCCTCCGCTGTCGGTTGCAGCTTCCTATCTTGTGAATTGAGGTACGGGTTACAACACTTGAAAGGGTCCCACCCCTTCTGGGTGAGTAAGTTAACGACATCGGAAGGAAGCACCAGGCCGTTGATAATCCTCAGAGCCTCCAATTCCGCGGCGGAGGGAGCTTGGTATATCTGGACTCGCGATGGGCCGGAAAACATCGAGAGGTAGATCCTTTGCTTCGTTTTCTCTGCAGGTGCTTGTGCTTCCTCGTCCCATACGACTTTCTCGAGTCGTCGGATGACTTCTTTGCTGGCATTGGTTAGATAGCGGCCCAGCTCTTCGTCAAAGCTATGAATGTTCGACATGTCTGGCCCGGTTTCGAAGAATCCCGGGTGAATTTGCTGTTTGGCCCACAGTTTCCACGCCTTTATTGTCATATCGGGAATTAGTATTGTCATGAAATGCCGCTATTTTGTCAGAGGCTTGTGTTAACCTGGTCTGGAGAGATACCATGTCTCGCGTATGACAAGGAGTTGCAGTGATGTAGAGGCTGGAAAATAAGATATCAGAGGGGGGAAAATCCGTGGCCTGAATAGCTGGCTTCAAATTCAAGGAAGGTGCCCTCGAAACAGATCCTTTGGAAAGGCAACTACTTAGTGAACGAACGCCTGTTTCCGTCAGAACAATGACATTAGAGTAAAACGGTCCGAATTAAGCGGCTAGGCACACAGGACGAAATATACTTCCTCACTTCTATTGTCAGAGAAAACCAGTATTATATCGAGGTCTCTCTAAAACTGTTGAATTGATATGCTGTTTAAACTTTCAAATTTGGGTGGATTCTCGTCAAGACTTGGTTTTTGCGCTTGCATTGCTAGCCGTCTTTATATTCGGAAGCTGAGCTCAGGATATGCTAGAGTTCAGGCACACAGGCTTCACAGGATCAGCCAGTTTTGTCTTATGCCTTGTCGTATTACTTGTTGTGTGCCACTATCCCTAGTTTCCATCGAGTCCATGACTATCTGCTTTGGCCAACGTGCCTTCAACTCAACACAGCTTCACGACTACTCCCTTTTGCTCTTTCGACTTGAATATGAACTTGGCAAAAAATGCCCCGGCCGAGCGTTTTGTTGCATTTATCGTCGGGTATTGTTCGTTATGTGTTAATCTGATAGCCGTCTTGAATTCATTCCTTCCTCCGGTAGAATCAAGTTCTGGTCGATTGGTAGTCTCAGAAAGCAGATCTCTGCCCTAGGATGTTGAGACACAGAAAAAAATGTACCTTGCAAATACCACTTTGTATCAAGTATTACAGCTACTGTATCTTGCAACCTACAGTTATTCACCCGACAACGATTGTGCCCGTTTGACCATCCATTTTCATTCCAAGGCTAGTTTTTGACCGAAGGCTTCCCAGTCCCAGAAGGAATACAAGTGCGTCATACACCATTTGTGTCGTCGTGTGTCTTGTTATGTTACAGTGCTGGAACTGTTTTCTTGAGTGGGGGAGCGAAGTCTGCACTCCTTAACTCAAATAACTTTTTACCGCAGGTGACCTCACTTATCCCGACTTTAAAGAAACATAGTACTTCCTCTAGGGTAATTCCGTATTCAATGAGTGCTATTGACTATCCTTGAGTATATCCAGATAAGGTCATCTCCCTTGTACTAATCATCGAGGACAGCCCCCTCCCCTGCTGATCAGGTGGTGAAGGGGCTGGATGGCACCACACATCCTGTCTTTCTGACCCTGCTGCCGAATACCAATGGCGAGTCCCATATTCGTTATGTCGACACCGAATACATAGAGAATTACGTTAATATTCGCCCGAGAGTTGGCATGTTGTTCGCGATTAAGGTTGCAGTGTCGATCTTTTTTGATGTGGTCGTTTTGACAGCGTCACCTCATCAACCAGTCTGGTCCACTTTGCCCAGCAAACAAACTTCACCTATGACACCCCTCTGTCAACTAGCCTCAGACACGCAAGCCCCGAATCTTCGTTTCTCCCGACTTATCTTCATCAATATTAATAATTAGGAGGGCGTCAAAGAGCCAACGACTGAAAGCTGATGCATACGAGAGCCACCGGGGAACAGTGACCTATGAATGGCAGATACTCGGGGTACATTCGACCCTCCATCGTGAAGCGAAGTCTTCAAGTCATGTTGAACTGGTTTTGAATTCTTGAAAAGGTATGGGAGGGTTTTAACTACCTACGACTTTGGGGCATCATGAGCTTTACTTCCACATACAAGCGGGGACCTCGTACGATGCTATGCCATGCCAGCAGCGAACCAACGAACATGGCGACGACGACAAGCGAAACATGCTCCATGGTGCTACACTGAAAAACCAAGCAACGGCTCCCGTCTTCCTCTCCTTGCCGCCTCTCCAACTACCGACAGCGCCACACGACCACGATGGAGTGAAATTCGTGCTCGGAGAGCCACCAACCGGTCTCTTACCCTAGCTCCTGTCATATCCAGTTGGCCTCCGGCTGTCGTTTGCACGCTCTAATGCTCTTAAAGATCTTTTTCCCTTTTGGACCTCTTATAATCTTTAGGGATGGGGGTAATCAATCGTAATTCTTTGCCTCGTCAGTCTTTCTCCTGCAGCCGCTCATCCATAACAGCTTTTGGCAGCTTCGAGCCTTGTCCACCAGCGTGCATTGCGGCGGTGACTCCTTCGGATCATCTCGCGTCTCCCTCTTTATACTTGAGAGCTGGGATGGCCAGAAAACATTACGTCTCGGCACAGTCCTCACAACTCCTCGAGGGGCCCGGCTCGGTCATCGATGACATTGCCCGTAGGCCCTTTAGCTGGCACCGCCGTTGACCGGTGCAGCACCTTGTTGGGCAAGAGCCAGCTGGGCGGCCTGAGCGTTCTCAGTCGCCTTCTGCATGACACCCTGGAGAGCGGCCTGGTCCTCAGCTGTAAGATGGGAGGCCAGGGACTGGTAGAACTGGGGCTGCTCTTCTTCCATCTCTGTTCGAGCATTAACCATGGTTCCATGTCAAGTAGAAATAGAAAATCACTTACTCATCAGAGTCGCACTGAACAGCTGGTAAGGGTCTACCTTGTCCAGAGGAGACTCGAGCAGGACACTATCCTCGCCAAGGTCGTCCTCAGACTCGATATCCTCGACGCCGCGGCTGAACTTCTGGGCCTGTCGCATGTTAGTTACGTCAACGGGCAAAAGCTGGCGGGATTGCAACTCACCTCCTCGTTCAAGAACTCCAGGTAAGCGGTGCTCTCGTCGCGGCTCTCGTTGGTCTCCTCTTCGGCCTCATCCTCGACATTCCAGTTGGCCTCGTCCTCGGCCCACTCGTCCTCTTCGCCGTAGTCGTAAGTGCCGGCCTCGAGGTGGTAGTCGTCACGAAGAGCCTCCTCACGGTTCTTCATAGCAGAGGGCAGAGTCTTGAACAGCTCAGTGACGCCCTGCAGCAGGCGAGGCCAACCGACGGCAATGCTCTGAGGGACCTGGTCAGCCTTGAGGCTAAGTAGAGCTGCAATGGCGACGATGCAAAGCTTCTTGTCGTGAACCCTGGTGAAGTTGGACATGCTGCCAAACCACAGGCTGAAGAACCTGTTCGTCCAGCCCTTGGTCTCAAGGATATGGAGGGTGAGTACGGGGTTGTAGTGGATCGAGTTGATGACAAGCTCCATGAGGTGGATCTTGTAAGCCTTGACCTTGACGTCCTGAGCAGTAAGGACTGTCATGGCGAACTCGATGAACCGCAACACGTAGTTGTCAATGTGGCCACGCAGGTTCAGCATCATGGCCTCGGCCAGCTTACAGGCGCAGATACGGTCAACGCCACCGACCTTGTTGTCGTTGAACATGTCCGAGATCATGGAGAAGAGAGCCTCGATGTACTCGGGCTTCTGCACCAGCTGGCCGGCACCATACTGGACAAAGTTGTCCAGGGCCGGAAGCATATCCTCCAGGTAGAGCTCGGCACCAGCCTTGAAAGTAGCGTGAATGAGCTCGAAGGCCTGCCACATGGTGGGCGAGATGCCCTTGGCAGCGAAAGTGCAGCTGTCAATGATCTCAAATACTTCATTGTAAAGATCATACAATTTGTTCTCGAGGGTGACTTGAATGACGGGCATGAGAACAGCCTCAATGTGCAGAAGAACGTCAGGCGTGCTCTCAAGGGTGAGAATGAGAGTGCCGATGGTCTGAAGGACACCTAGAGCAGTGATGCTCTTCTCGTCAAGGTAGTCTCCAAACTCATCATCACCGTTGTCCTTGTTCTTGTCCAGTACTTCACGGACTATGCGAAGGTAGGTGTCTCTCAACTGCTCGCTAAGAGCAACCGCAAATGGCGTCAACTCGGTAGCGAACACCTCGACGAAGTCCTCCATGACGTTGGCTAGGGCGTCAATATCGGCCTCGTTGGCGAGCTTGAGGAGCTGCTGCATAATGGTAGGGATGCTCTGTTGCATACTGGTACGGATGATGTCGTGCCTGATGAGGGGCTGCAGGGCGAGAGCTGCAGTCACACGCACAGGCAGGGCCGGGTCTGCCATGCAGTCAAGGATGTGACGGTAGATGGTGAGAAGGTTGTTCTGGTCCTGGAAGTTGAGCTGCTCGAACTTCTCGATAGTGTCGCAAGCACGCGCACGCAGGTAACCCTGGTGGCTCGTGAAATCGGGGAAAACGTAGCGGACGAGGAAGTACTCGACCTGGTCGGCGATGGGGCTCTTCTTGCCCAGAATAACGGGAGCCAGAGTGCCAATCATCCTCAAGGCGCCTTCCTTGGCAATGTGGTTCTTCTTGTCATCCGGCGCCTGCTCGTATTCGTTGACGACTGCGTTGACGAACTTGAGAATCTCGAAAGTCTGCTTTCTCCGGTTTTTGGTCAGGCCGACGAGGAAGTTGGTGGCGGCGACATCGGGGGCCGAAGCCTCCTCGTAAAAGTTGAGTTTTCTGTGGAGGTATTCATCCGGCTCGTCCTCGAACTTCTCGATGTCCTCCTCGGACAGACAGAGGACGGGGAAGACGAAATGCGTCACCAGGTTCTGCAGGTGAGGCTTGAGGTGGTTCCACATCTCCTTGGGGCGCACCGACTCATCGAGGAAAACAAGGGTGTAAGACAAGCAGGGTCTGCTGAGCCAGGCCGTCTTCGCAACCCACTTCTCAATCTCGGCCAGATAGTGCTTGAGGATCTCGGGCGCAATTGTCGCGGAGAACTCCTTGGCGAAACGGACCGCATCCTCGTCCTTGGTGTTGGTGATAGATTGGGGGTTGCCGTGCCTAGTCCAGTGTAAGCCAACACTTGCGAGTGCCGGGGGAGTCATTGAGCCATCCTACCTGATAAAAAGTCTGTTCAGGTTGAAGTACGCCCACTTCTTGGCCTTCCACCAATGGTGCTTCTCACGCTCGTATGAGTCGTCAGCCATGGCGCTGGCCGGCGTAGTCTTGGACACAGTCTGAAGGAAAACGGTGCACCAGCCAAAGTTGGTCTGTTGTGCGCGGAGGAAGGCAGAAAGCTCGAGCTGGAAACACTGTCAGCTAACGGCACCAAAACAGGCGCAGCAGATGTTTCTGTACGTACCCAGGTCGCGTGCTTGTAGGCTTTGAGAGCCAGGTGAAGCATCTCGCCGGCCTCATCGCTCTCCTGAGCGACGAGTTCGTTACAGATAGCCAACAGTCTGGGGAAGCTAGCCTCGATAATCTTGTCAAAGTGAACCCTGTTATCGCCGTCCGAAGACTTGAATCGGTAGGCGCGGCAGATGGCGAGAAGGCACTGCAGACCGGCCAGGACGGAGGCAGCATCGTTTGTGTTCAAAAGCTGCATCGTATAGTCCATAAAGTTGGGCCACTTCTCGGGAAAATCGAAGTGTAGGATACGCTGGAGGACGGGGATCAACTGCTGCCGGACCAGACCCTGAGAGGCGGCCATGATGGGCAGCAGGCGGTCGCGGAAGCGTGCCTTTTCATCTTCGGCGATTTGTGTCTCGTTCGGGCTGTGCTCCGACTTTTCCCATCCTCGATTTACGCGGTTCTTAATATAGATAACGGCTAGAATGAGGGTAGTCGTTTAGTAAGTCTTCTTGGCCGACAGGTGTACGACGGCAAGGACGGGAGGTCTCGGAGAGTCGTATACGTACTTGATAGTCGCACACTGTTGTCTTGCTCGTTCTGGAGGACGTCAAGGAGAACGTCCATAAACCCCGGGTGCTCTTCGATCTAGATGTCGTAGGAAGATGTGTCAGCTGGCAAATCCAACAACAACAACAACAACAACAACAACAACAGGAGGCGCGATGTGCGCCGTCGGTCCCCGCCTACCCGCCCCTCAGGAAACCAGCACCGGTCGTCTGGAGCGGGCTCCGGAACAAAGGAAAATGAGAAGCAGGTGGCAGGTGAGTGGGCGTGCCGTCCGTGTTGTATATGTGCGTGCGGCGTGATGTAGTGCGGATCGGCTGGGTGCCATAAGGGGGGCCATTTCGTGGGGGAGAGGAGGATCAGGACGAGAAGGGGGATGTGGGAAGCGAGAAAAGACGGCCGGAAAAGAAAAGGATTGCTTCTATTACCTGCTTCAACTGAATCTCAGCCCTCCGTCTCGTGTCGGCGTCGGGGTCCAAGCTGGCCGCGAGCAGGCCTCGAATCGCCGAAGTGTCCATCTTGGGTGAATTGACAGGGTGATGTCGAGGCGAAGGCGGGATAGGAGTTGAGAAGAAGGAAAGCGGTGCGGGTGGTGAAGACAAAATTTTGGGCGGGTCGTCTGTGTTGCCTCGAAATGGCGGGGCATGCCACGGCGGTGCGAATGGCCAGGAGAGTGTTTGTGCGATGCGTGCGCTGCTGTTACTGCCACTGAGAATTAATGGATGTCAAGCCAGGTCAAGGAGCCTAAGGGGGTCGACAGGGACAATGTACAATACATTTGGCGGGAAGGGGAGGGTGGGATGAGGTACCTGGTGCGTTACCAAAGCTCTGCAGTTTAACCAGGTACTCTTGTTGTGATAGTATTCTATCCGTAACGACCTACCTCTTAGCTAGTAGGTATAAGGCAGAGTACCTGTTCAGGCCCGATGCGTAGCCGATTGTCGCTAGTGCGAAGCGTCAGCTTTGGCAGGCTAACGTAAGGCGGCGGCGGCAGAAGGGGCAGCGGGCTAGACTTCTTCTGGCCGAGGGTGTGCGAGACGGGAGGTCACTACCTACAACCTAAAAATACCCAGGATTGAGGTGGCAGAAAGTTGTGAAGGAGGAAATGTCCGTGTGCGTATCTGATTTGCGTGGGATGAGACGGTGCGGCTTGAAAGGCACACACACAGGTGTGGTGTTGATGTGTCGATAATGCTGGGGTTGATTGGCTCGCAGCACGTTTCTCCAGATCTCGACGATCAACAATGAACAATGATCTCGTGCGGATAGATATGTATGTGGTGTACTATGCGTATCCTCGCCTTTTTGGTGTACACTATGTCTCCTGGAAGAAGGGAAGAAAGCATGGAGGAGAGAGACCTGGAGGCGTTGCTAGACTAGCCCATCTTCGTGTCTCTGCTTGCTCCATGCTGTTTACCTTTGGGCATCTCTCCAAAAAAGAAAAGCAAAAGGTCCAGCCAACCCTTGAATTTAATTATTTACATCCCCCCCCCCCCCCCCCCCTCTCCTATAACCCGAGCGGCTGCCGAACGGCCAGTGGTCCAGACGACTGCATCACCAGGGGACAGACAGACTCGAGTTCAGTGTAGGCCAGAGAACAAAAGATTTGCGATGGCCGGAAGAGCGCAATCGCGTTGAGCCACCACCTCGACGGTGGACAACCATTGAATGACGACGACGTGTGCTACACTACCTATCTAGGTTGATTTGACTGCCATTTCCCCCCAGGTAGAGGGACAATAGCGCGTCCCAATGGAATGAAGAGCGGCAAATGTGTGGAAATACCGTCGTTTGGCCAGAATCTTGAGCGTACTCAGTATCCCTCGGTGGCCGGTGGTCAAAGGACGACCAACCGTGGACAACCAACCAGCCAGTCATGACCAACAGGTCCAGTCAGTCATTATGCATCGCTCATCATGCACCGACAATGGCAGCCCAGCCTGGGTATTATCGGCAGAATAAAGCAGCAAACCGCAAAAGTGCGCTCAGGGGCCCACCGCCTCCACCCGCCCCCCGAAAGCGGTATGGCATCAGGGCAGCCTCAGTTATCGGGAGATGATGTTTACTGGTCGGGCTCGCCGCGATGTGATACCGTACGGACCCACAGTCAGAAGAACCTTGCACGCTCCTTCTCCCCCGCCTTCACCGCCTTCACGACTCGCACTTCATTCACCCCTCTCTTTCTCTCCTTCCAACGTCTGTGCTTGCAATGGAGATGGAGGGGTAACGACAACCAAAAACGACGGCACTGAAGGCAAGGCTGCTTAGGGCGGCACCTTCCTAAACCTCTAGCCTACCTAGGCGTCTCGCTCTCTCTCTCCCTCCACTGGACATCTCACCAAGCTCATCAGGATAGACCGTTAAAAAAATAAAAATAAAAACCCCTGATCTTGGCTTATGGCCCTGCCGCTAAGCCGGGCTGTAACCGCCGTTCCGTGTTCTTGTGCTCGTCCTTCCTGTGCCTCTCCGACCCCTGCCCATTCATTTGACCATCACCCGTTCCATCTTTTGCACTGCTGCGACAACATACATGCCAATGGCTGACTTTTGCTGGCTGCACCCCTGACATGATACATTCTCCAACAAGCATGCGCATTCTTGCAACGACGATCACTTGTACCTTCTTCTACTGTACGGCTACTCAAATCGTACCAAGTTGTCCAAAGTCGCTGTCGTTGGTTCAACCCGGTTCACCCTCTGATATTCCGAATCATTGAGACGATTGTATATATCCGTCTTCCGGGGTCTCAGCACGATTAAAAAAAACTCGGTATACCAGCAATTCCCCAAATTCCGTGTAGCTCCTGGATCAGGATTTCCCCCTCTCGCGCCCCTCTTCGGGCTCTCGCTGCTGCTGCTGGTGGGAGGCAGAACCATATCATCCCGAGACAGGCGTAGACTCCGGGTGCACTACCAGCTCTGCATCCGGCTGGATCCGAGCAGAGTCGCCCTCTCTCTCTCTCGCGAACGGGTTGCAAGCCGCCCAAGACAAGGACCACCGCAGCACCCAAATCCTCTCCATCTTCAGATCCTCCACTCTCTGCCATTCCACGGAGCACATGTATCGATCCCAAAGACCACCATCTCATATGGCAAGACTGCCGACAGCAGTTGAAAGGCGCCCCCCACTCGACGGGCACCTCCTTGATATCCTTCCTTCGAAAAAATTGCCACTCCCGTGCTAGATGACACAGAGAGTTCCGCGGATCTCCACATCGGAAAGTGCTATGGGGAAAGATAGAATTGGCATCGGAAAGGTAGGTAAAATGGGGGGGGATGGAAAACAGGAAAAGGCTAGAAGAAAAGACAAAAGTAGAACAACAGTAAGACTCCGAAACGGAGGGAGGGGGGCGAGTTGGTCCCGATCGAGATCTTGTTGGCACGGAATCGGCCAAGTCTGGAAGGGGAGGGGGCGGGTTCATCTGCTTTTGCAAGTCAATGGCCGGCGCGGCAGTAGCAGCACATCATGTGTATGCGCAGGTCCTCGTTGGCCCGTCTGCATCTGCCGTAAACTCAACCCCGTCGCGATGAACTCTACCACGGGCGCTGCTGCGGAGGCCATCCTCCCTCACTTGGGCCCTCGAACTCAAAACATTGTCAAGAGTCAGGGGTGTGGTTGGGGTCCCCGACCAAAACTCAACCTTGTCTCGAAAACGCTTTTTGTTTTCTTGTCAACTCGGCCCAATATCTTGCAAGCTACCCCTTACCCCATTTGAAATATCTGGTCCCAAGAGAGCGGGTGCCTGACATTTGGTTACTTCCGCACACGCGACGGCTTGACATCACGCCACGACCACCAACTAGGGTGATGCCAGGAGGCCGTGGCCGCGATACTACCGTCGTAGCATTATGGATCGCACACTACCTTTCCGGTGAGGAACGAAAATCATGGCCGAGGGCCGAAATTGGCGCGTCAACAAGATCCAAAAATGCACAGAAACAGGCTAAGATGGTCGGGGAAACATTGTCATCATTCAATAGCCGGCAGCCGCTGCTTTCCATATGCCAATAAAACGCCAAAATACATCAACAGATAACCAAGGGATAAACAATTCAGCCACCTTCTCATTTCCCAACTCCAAAAGACTCGTCGACAGGGAAATCACAGAAAAATAAAAGGGGATCTCTCACTCCCCATTCACGCCATGATATGCAATACAAGATCAAGTCAACTAGACTCTTCCATGCCTGTCTCCCAGCGAGAACAGAAACCCTTGCTCCTGTGCCTTTATTCGTCCAGTGGAGTGTCTGTCCTGCAACCTTTCAGTTAGTACTCCCGCGTTCGGTCTCCTGAAGTTGAGGGTAAGGTAGTCCAGTACGGAGGGTACTAATAAGACCACAGAAAAGGGGGGGAGGTTAAGAAAGAAATCAACGCAATTAGGAATAGTGGTGACTAACGAGCTGTTCCGAGAGACTGCCAGAAAGGCTCCACGTAATCCGGCAATGATGCTCCACAAGGCTGGGCAGCCAGGTTCCATGATGGATGATCCAGAGGTTTGTATGAATGTCTGAATCCCAATGCCAGGTCAGGCAACCCCAATTATGCCCCCAAATCTGGGTCACGGAGAGTATTGGAACCACGAACCGCCAGACTTGTGTCCCATGGCAGGCTATAACAATGGTCGAGAAAAGCATAGAGTGACCCAGGAGTAGGGTGTCGTGGCCAAGTAGTTATAGACGGCAGTCTCACATTCCGGATGGAGTGGCTTGACTAGCGCGTGGTGGGGCCGGATTGTTTGGAGCTTACCCAAGCAAGGAGATGTGAATCTCCGCCAAAAAAAGAAAAAAAAGAAATCTTGTTTCGACTCGATGAGTCGAGCTTGAGTCCCAGTGGGAGTATGGAAGGGGCGCAAAGTCAGCTAGCCTCCTGTCCTTGGCATCTGCCCATCGGGTGGTACAGCCACGATTTGGTCCGATGAGTGGAATCGTCCGGAATCCTTCTGGGCAGTATGTGAAGTCCATAATGGTCATGTCCAAGGGCTTGAACGGATTCATCTGCCAGTAGTCCATGGGAATATTTCCAGAAGTTTCCAGTAGGGTGATGATGTCCAGTGAGAGCAGATCCGGCTTACTGTGGCGTTAGGAATGAGTGCTCCCGGACAGGAGTGGGAATAGCCCCATACCCCCTTGAAAAGAAAGAGTTGAAGTCGTAGAAACCTCTTTTTGAGGATTCGTGATATGTACAGCTCGAGGACTCACCTTGCTGTCCAGATGTCGACCTCGCCGTTCTATTAGGAAACACCGTGATCACCCGAAACTCCAAAATCCAAGAAAATGAAACCCAGATCAAGAGACAATGGCATCATATTCCACCATCAGGACGAATCCAGACAGCAAGGTGGTCCGATAAAGTTGCCAGCCGCAAGTGTCAACTGAGAGCTCTTTTTTTTTTCCGTTCCAGGTCCCGGGCCATACACACGTGCAAACAAGCCACCATGCTTGCTAAAGGAAAGTTAATCGAGTAGCAATGTCGTGGGCCAAATCCATATATGCGGTCGTTAAACGTCCAGGGTATGCGGTAAGAAATCCATCCTTGGTGAGAATCCAGGCAATAGTCCGGGTGAAATCCAGGGTAAGATGGTAGAGAACTTGAGGGAACGAGTCCAGAGTAGATGGAGAGCCAAGGGAGCTCCGAGCCAGCGCAAAGCCAAAACGCCAGGAAGCGGAGTGTGAGATGCAGACTTGCAACTCACGAGGTGGTTTTCCACACCTCAAAGTCCAGTGAGGGTTCTATCCGGAAGAAACAAATGATAAAAGAGGCCGGCGCCGGTGAGTCTCCAAGTCCCAGGGTCATTAGGATGAAATTCATAACAGACGACTCGCGAGACTGGCATCTCGCGCAGTCGTAATGGCTACAACAGTCCATGGGTGGGTAACGTATTAGCGGCGAGGAGGGCGGTGGCGGTCGGATTGGTGATGACTCCTGTCGGACTCCCTCTCACGGCGGGAGTGCGATGATCCACTGCTTGACACCTGAGCTTTGGCATTCGTAGGGGTGGCGGAGGTGCGAGGGGCTGGGGGTTGGTCATACTGTGATCCTTGGCCAGAGATGGACCCGCCTGCTGGGGACGCTACATAATCAGATCAAGTTGTTAGAGGGTAGTGAGAATGTTACGCACCGCGTCCGTACAACGGGTCCGAGGCTACGGGCGCCGAGCCGTAGGGAGCCGAAGTCGAGGGCGGGTAGAAACCAGAGTAACCAGCCGGAACCTGCGATCCGGAAGAGTAAGTCTGTCCCTGCTGGGGGGCCATTGTGGTAGGAGTCCGAGAAGGCTGTCCGGCGCCGTACGGGTCGGCAGTGTAGCTGCTTCGAGCCAGATTCGCGGCGGTAGCCATGTAGGGAGGTTCTCCATATCCCTGAGCCATCTGTCCTGCGTATCTGGGGTCCCTGGGGTCCCTGGGGTCCTGTTGGGCGTACGAGCCTCCGGTATAGGACGGATACCCAACACCTGAAGAAGGGAAAGAGGAAGGTTGCTGGGCGTAACCCGCAGCAGATCCTTGGTAGCCCGGAGCGGAGTTTCCCGAGTATCCTGGGGCTTGAGATCCTGGGTATCTGGGGGAGCTGTCATAGGAGTCACGTCCTACGTCCGGGTAGCCAGTGGCATCCGTAGGGCCATAGTGTTGGCGTGCGGAGTGGGTCTCCGACTGGCGGTACCCTGCTGTAGGGGAGTTAGATCGTATCGACAAAGGAGTCGCCGCGTCTCGTGAGACCAAGGTACCTCCTGAAGTGTTCCGGGCGGCCTGCTGCCGCCTCTCTGCTTCCCATCGCGCAGAATCGGCCTTCAAGTCGTCGATCATGGCCTGTGAGGGTGTTGCGTCAGCTTCGTTGCATAGAGAGCGTGCGGCGGCGGACGGAAGCACTCACTGTTGTCAGGTTCCTGTAAGCAGTAATGTAGTAACCCTGGACTACTTGACCGGTCTGGGGGTTTTCGTAGTGACCCGGGCGTACAAGAGCATCGTTTCCGAGGTAGCGACAGATATCGGCGGTGATGACCTCGCGATCAATACCATCTCTGGGAACGAAGTACTCGTTTGAGCGGCCGCTCGAGGGGGCTGCAGGGGCCGAGTTGGCCGGAGGACCGCGTGATTGTCTCGACATGTTGAGGTCTGGTGTGGTGGACGAAGACGAGGTAGAGGACGATCGGTCGAGAATGACGAGGAGAAGAGAGAAGGGAGGAGTGAGAAGAAAGGGAAGAGGGGACCTGCGAGAAATGGGATTGTCGACAAGATGGCAGGAGAAAAAGAGAAGAACGAGAGCGAAGAAAGCGGGCAGGGAGTGGGTGGTGGGAGAAGAAAAGGAACAGGCCAGAGTCTGGCTCTGCACTTGGGGGTGGGGCTTTGGCTGAGAAAAACCGGGACCCCCAGCGTCAGTGAGCGGTGCGGCAGGCCTAAGATCCTGTCCGGCCCTGCGGTAAATCATCGACGTGGACCAGTGGCCAGTGATCAACAGCCAGCGAACAAGTCTGTGAGTGGTCACTGACACCCCCCCTTCGCACTTTTTTCGACTACTGACTGTGCTGGCCCGTTGAGGCATGTACTCGGTACTCTGTACTGTCCACACACGCTCACACACACACACGACATACGCACACACGCACTACATGATTATCCTGTTACCAGTGTGCCAGTGAGGAAGAGGAGGAGGAGGGAAGCCCTCGCTCCAGTCTCACTCACACTGCTTCATCCAGTCAAGACGCCGCGCGACCGACCAGGGAAGAGTCGGCGAGGCTTGTTGGCACCACGTTGTTGGCTGGCAGTCAGTCCGATGCGGATTTTTCTCTCGCTCTGCAAAGTAAACCCTGGCAACCTGGCCAATATGCCACTCGACCTGCCCCTTAGCGTGTTTAAGAGGGGCTAGGAGGGGGTGGTACTGCGTCTCTGAGAGCCCGTCTAAGTCCCGCCTGACCAACCGATGAGAGCCTGCCTGTCTACGCCGGGCCCTTTGCCCCCTTAGTGGTGAGGATTGTGTTGGGAAGAAGAAAAAGAGGACCGGCAGGGCTTACAAAAGCCACTTGGCGGGAGATAGATGGCGGAACGAGAACTGGGTAGACAAAAAGAGGCGGAGAGCGGTTGGGCGGCAGCAGGGAGGGAAGCTGGGTGGCGGCCGCTCTGAGTGGGCAGAGGTAGGATGAGATGCAGCTACGGAACGGAGTACATAGGGGAGAGAGGTTGGGTTGACTTGTCGCTCCCCAGCCCAAAAGGGATACCTAGCGGACTTCCCTGCGTCGTACGCGCACTAACATGACAGAAAACCCACAGAGACGGCTGGGAATTGTTGGCCAGGGGGGGGGGGTTGGCTTCGCTACTTGTTTCTACCGCCGCCCAACGCCCATAGCACCGCGACTCCCATGACCAAAGCAATACTGACTGTTAAGCTAGAGCGAACATCGATACGGTTCTGCAGGGCTACTGTAGTGTATGCATGGGGTTGGGAGGGAAAAGAGGCAGAACCAACCCGAGGAGGGTTGCTGGAGTCGCTGAGCCAATAAGAGGCCAGAAACCCGAATGAGATCATGAGATGTGGTTGGGTACTGTAAACGATGTGGCTGCTAGATCACCGGACCAGATTGGGCCGCGTCCAAGTCAGTTTAGATGGATGAGGTAACCGTCTACAGGTTCTGGGGTTTCGAGCCCCTCCCCGAAGTAATACACCGCGAGCTGGACACGGGCTGCGAGCGACACAAGACTCCTCCTGGTTTGGGGCGGTGATCCGTCATTTTCGTTGGCGCAGTACGTATGTAAGGCTTCAGGCTCCCGGGATTGTCAGTACCTTGACCGATCATGATGGAGCAGCCAAGGAATAAACCACGGTGCCAGTTTCCAAGCGACACGAGAGAGACGGGACGGTTACGAACTGCGGCGAGGACCAGTGTCAGGAGCGTTGTGCCCGGGGGGTTGCGAACAGGGCTCCAATACCTCGCACGGGCTTGGTTTGGTGGCATGTTTTGTTTGTCACCGCCTCCGCCTTTTCCAGGTGATACGGCTAAGCTATCATTGGCTGCTTGATGAGTGAAATAAACGGTTGAGCCGAAGGCGCGAGAGGTAGCAACATTTGATAATGGTGCAAACTCTCGCTTTCCTCGATGACAGGGATTTCCCTGGGAATTCTTTCAACTCGAATGTACATAACTCAGACCCCTCGCTGAATGCGCGTAGTGTGGTACCTCGTTACACCTGTCTTCCTCTAGAACCAGATATGTCTCTGAGGCTGAAATGCACTCGTTGGCTTGGGATGAAGTGGTTCGCAAGAGATGTGGCTCGTGAGTAGTCCGTTCCAGATTCGGCCTTTGTTTGGACTATTGCCCTATCGAGACAAACGGTCGACTAGCGCAGTGGCGTTTTGGGGCACACGCAAATTCCGAGGTGCCGACACTGAATTCCCCATACAAGTAAGTTGCTGAGGCACATGGGAACATATTCTCCTTTTTGGGCAAGCGGACAAGAACGCTACAGAAGACGGAATGAACGGATGCTTTCTGTCCCAGTAACCGTCTGAAATATGCTGCAGGCCGGGCGCCGACGAGGCGGAATTCCTGTGGGCCCTAGGCCTCGAGATATTGTGAGCCGCAATTCTTTAATTCTCGCATGCTTGCTGCACCGACCCCCCTTCATGATCTCTTGTTTCGCATTTCACTTTGCTTGCGATGAAATGAGGTCGAGCCAGTCATTGTCGTGCCCATTTCCAAACCATTTGCCGACAAGACCGTCCCAGTGTTGATACCCTACCAGGAAGGGACATCCCAGTTTCTGAACGGCGACAGTACGGCAGGCAAGCAGGCCCAAGGGCACGAAGCTGTGCGAGGTAAATCCTGACACCTGTTCTCCGAAAAGACCCTGTGGACGACTCGCCTGTCTTGTTTTGAACCCTTGCTCTCTCGACTGCCCGCCACTACGTGACTTCACCGCGCAGCTCCCGTCGTCAGCCCTGTCATGAACCAGGCTCCGGTGGTTGCTGCGGCGTTCTCAGTGATTGACCACCACGGTGCTGTGAACCCACCACTTGGAATCGGCAAGGCGGTCCCTTGGTCCCTCTGTCAACCATCAGCCTATCGCTTCCGACTGCCGGGAATGCCCCGTCTCTACCATCTTTAGGCCATCCGCGTCGACCGGCAGCCAAAACGGTGTGAGGCGCACGTACGTGCTTCTTCCCACAATGTCCATCTGAGCTAGTGCGGGCTGATAGTCTCTGCTATCTTAAAGTTCCATGGCAGTTACCTACTCACGTTCCGTATCCGTAGTGTGTAGTGGTACCCGTAATGGTGGTTGGTTGGCGTCGTTGGGTATCAATGCTTCGCGCCAAAAATGTGGCCCGATCCACTTTAGCCCAAAAGATGCCTAACGCGCGACCAATCACTCACAGATGTAATCCGGATTGTAACAACGTGACCAGGCGCAGCCAAAGCGATTCGTAAAGAACAGTCCAATCTTGGCACGAAACCGACCTCAGTCGGAGACGTAGTATGCATATCATCATTCTACTGTCTGGACCCCATCCATATAGTTTCTTCTGGTTCACGAGGCCGCCTGGTACTGTTGCTATGTCCAAGGTCTTCCTCGCTGCGGCCTACCGCCCCTAGTACTCACCAAGTCCAGTCGCGTTGATCCGAATCTGCCACGGTTGATTGCAGGCGTGAATCGGAATGACGACACTTGCGCCTCCTTGAAATCCACACGGAGCCATTAAACCCGTCCCTAGTGCCGAATGCTCTCAACACATGTCCGTCCCTGTCCCGTCAGGCTGTAGTGACTAAACGGTTCGCCGGGTCGCCTTATTTGCATGTCTCACATCTAGGTAATCCGGTAGATGCAACCCAGCATGACTCCGGAAGCAGCTCCAAGGTCCGCAAAAGTGTCGCCTGGGCGCTGACTGCCCGTTCCGGTGGACCTGCTGGCTCCCCAGTTCCTTCTCCGGATGCCCAACTTGGCCGTTGAGACAGTTATACCAGGTCCTGTGCTCATATCGGGCTGGTCAGTGGAACCCATTGTACTGTTGTGAGATTGCCAGTGATATAAATAACGCCCATCAGGAACCATTGCTGATGTTCGCAAGGGGTGGGAGGGGGCTCACATTCAAGGCCAGCGGTACCGCGGCCACCCTTGAAATGAGTATCAGGGTGCGAGCTTTACCAACTTCCAAGTCTCGCCAGGTATCAGGCGGCAGGACCCGCTCGACAGACTTTTGGCATGATGCCGGTATCTTCGGATACTAAGAGGATTCATCCGAACTTCAGCTTGCTTTGTCCTTGCTCGAGCTTGCCGCCGCGTCCCCCGCGCTTGCCCGATGCACTCGATGGCCTTGTACTGGAATTGCGGGTGGTGGAAGAGCGGTTGGCAAATGCAGGCTTGCCACGTTCCTCATCCTGAAGGTCTTTGGCAAAGTGCCAGTCCTCGTGACTCTGGTGGCCTTCCGGCGTTTCGAAACGTGCGTTACACCGTGAACATACAAAGGATGTGATTGGTACCTGGCGAGAGCTGATGTTCTCCTCTCGGGCTTCGAGATTGCTCTCGGCGGCTGCATTGGCGATTGGCGGTTCGTCGTCGGTGGAAACGTTCCGTGTGAAGAAGCGATCGATCGACCCTCCATCTGTCCGGCGCCTTTTGGAGATTGGCATCTCTTCCGAAGTGGGCAGATGGCTTGCTTCACGACTGCCCTGCCTTAATGCCTGGGCTTCTTCTCCTTTCAACAAGAAGGCGCCGATGCTCATGTTGCCCGTGATGCCATCTTCAAATCCGCCCACGCTTAAGCTGAGGTTGGCGCAAGGCCAGATACTACCTTCAGCCATGATTTGATTCAAGAGATTTTTCGAAAGGTCAAATAAGGCTTGCTCATCAAGTATTTTTCCTTGAGGAATTGGACCTTGACGTGATTTGGTTTGGCCATCATGTCGATGGTACAAGTTGATAGTTCTCGGCCTACGTTTGTTCTCCAGAACGCCCTCCTCAATCAAGCGGGCAAATATGTCGGCAGCGAAAATCCTAAGCCATCTAATAGCCTGTTCAGGAGTATTAATGTAGGGTCGGAAAGACTTGGCGGAACACATCGACTTGATTTGCGTGCGGGAGTTGACCTCGCTAGTGTCGATGCCACGAATGGTGTCATGAACCCAGTTTCCTGTGTCATGACCCAGCCTGGCTTTCATTTGGTCTAGAGGGATAGCTAGTAGCTCACGGACGGCGTCAGTATCGAAGGTTGATACTACGTTCTCGCCGAGCTTTCCTCCGAGATTGCGTATCTTGGTGAACTTGAAACCGGACAAGAAATGGGTCACGGCTCGGTTTCGAATAACAGTCTGCTGGTTAGGTTTCTTGTGACCCGAGCCCAATTTGCTCAGTAGCTTGTTCTTAGCTATGCCTGCTGAGCATGTGTACTGTAACCTCTCCAAGATCTGGCCCCGGACATGGCGCACAATTTCAGACCCGATAAGAATCGCGACGTCGTCCCAGTCTGGGTCCACGGACTCTTGCTCATCGTCCAGGTCGACGAGGGCATCTGCCTGCCAGTCCAGCGCTGCCACGGAGGGTCTAGGAAGATCCTCAGTAGGGTCATCGTAAGGAGGCGGGTTTGCTAGCTCGGGAAAGCGCTCCAAGAGAATCGAGTGCACCTGGGCGGAAAGATCAAGAAACACCTCGTCGATGCCTGCCTTTTCAATCTTTTGGAGGTCTGGGGGCAGGCTTTCCTTGATGACACCCAGAATCCTTCTGCTCTGAAGACGGTAAGGGTCGAGCGAGACCTTGTCGCTCTGGATATTGACAGCGGCATCATCACGATATGCCCACTTGTCGTCGCCCTCGCGCCATGTGGCCACATGCTGAGCAACCAGAGTAGGACAAAGCTTCTTGGCGTCCGGCAAAGTGCAATGGCGGCCGATTCCATATTCACGAGCTGGGTAGTTGACGGCAATCAGGCCTTGCCTGGCGAGTCGATCAGTTGACAATCTGACAGACAGGCTTATCCATACGTACCACTGCTGAACTGCCAGAGGTTGGTCCTTCGGCACACCCAGTCGTACCATTTCACATTGTGCGTAGAAGGCGTCCAGGTCAACGTGAGCTATGACTCTCAGTGGGCACGACGTACTGCATGTTGCCAGCTGGGACAAGTGCTTGTATTTGAATTGAGATTTCCCCCTGCCTGTGCCGAGAAGAGGGGAAGAATCCCGAAAGGGTTGTGAGGACGACATGGTTTCGAGTATTGCAGCGAAAGGCTGTCAGCGCCGGACCAGCCCCTGTTCGCCTGCCAGAGTTTGATGGTAGATTTCAGCGCTCGGCATCAGTGCACAGAAGAGACAAGACCCATATGTCATGTGATTCTTGTGTTCTTGTTTTTCGGATGTGGTTTTGACGGAGAGCGTGCTCGAATCCACGACGGGACTGATGAGTCTGCGCCGAGAGATGATTACGCCTACGAAAAGTAGGTAGTAGTCGAGTTTAACGCGCTTCGGAGCGCGTTTGCCCTTCTGGTCTACCTAGGTAACCGGGAGGTACTAAGGTTAGGCAACAAACAGTACTAGGCACATCCCTGCGTTTGCCAAAAATAGGCTTAGCGTGGTTGAATGGTTCCACTTTGTTCCAGCGATGACCAACAGAACATCGTAGTGCACCAAATTGTAACTTACTATCCATCCTTCAAGGGGTGGCGCTTTTCACAAATGTGCACTTGTCTCCGTCTCCATATTATAAGACCTTGATTCTACACAATAAGTTTTGATCGTGGCCAACAGCCCAAACGGATGTGAACATCAAGAGGGGGAAGGGGGGCACATTACTGGTGGCTGAGTGGATACAAACGTGTAGGTATAAGCTGTCCAAATATAGATACTGAGATGTTCGATGTTCAACTGAACAAACCCGAGAACTCCCTTCAGACCAAGGTCAAGGAGAGCTATCCAGGCTACTTTCATTTTCTGGCCTGCTGGGAAGACAAACCACGCCAGCGATACATTTGACATCCTCTTCAGGTTGGCTCCTGCCTTTGTTTCCCCCACGGGTCATGTTCTGGGTAAGTAGCCAACATATTGCAGGGGAACGGGGAATCTCATTAAGAACTCGACCCTTACCATCGAATCGGAAACTTCTCATTGACTAGCTTCGGCGATGTCGAATCACCAAAGTCAAGGCGCCTAATGTTTCTTCTCTCTGTTGACACTCTGAGATACACTACCGACAGGCTGCTAAATTTATCAGGGTTAAAGTATGATTGACTGTCTTTGGCGAGAATTTCAGACACTTGGTTGTTCCTCGCGACGGGCTGGGGGGGGGATGTGTCAACACACACACTCCCCTAAGTCAAGCTGATCTTCCAAAACTGATCGGCGAGGAAACGACTTGGCCATTCATTTGAGTAATCAAATGGCATTATCATGTGTAATGTACCTACTCAAGGCACTTTCGTCCAGTTCTTTACCCGGGTTATTGGGATCTATTCCAGCAATGTTGCAATTAGTACGTGTGCCTCCACATGTTGTGAAATGAAACATGATACGAATTCAGAGAGAGATCGTCCGGCTGGGACAAATCTGTGTTTCTGTTAGTCAATGTCGGAGTTTGACCCGGCTATTGTTACCATTACACTCGGTGGTGTTTGTTCCGCCTACTGTAACAATCTGCTTCGGCATTACAAGTGGCTTCCACCTTTCAATCTTGACCATTTGATTACATAGTTATTGTGTGTATGGTCTCTTACAAATGGATAGTTTGACTACAGTAGAAGAATGCCCCATAAGAAACCTTACGATGCACTGGATTTCTCATCCGCTCCTAACTCCAAGGAGGTCGGGCTATTCCCAAGACGCCGGCACAGCTCTTCCGTCTCGCCGCAGACCGTACATGTAAGATGAATCTGGGGCTTATTTCGAATACAACTAGACGAATGACACCGCACATTCCGGAACAGACCATGATGGAAGGATGGGGCGTTCAGCTGCGCCATGCAACTACAACGAGTGTCAGGATTGCACCGATGCCGACTGAAGCAAACTCTTCAGCTCATGGTCTAGTTTGCAGCCGGGGGTGGAATGGGACACCTTCTGGTCACAATCCGGACATGGCCCATCTTGTACATTTGTTTCTCGCCGGGGACGGATCCGCTGGTTGTGGAAACAGCCCCGCCGCCCTCGGCGGACGCCAATCCGCATCAGTGGGTCCACTCTTTGCCGATCCGGGAGATTCAAGACGCCGCGCCAACCCGCCGCAGAAACGGCAAGCCCTGCCACAACTGAATGAATTTGCGGAGGATTTTTGCAGACTCATCAACAGACGATTGTAAGGAGATAACGCTGGGTCGTACTAGACAATGTCTGACCTTTTGCAATGAATTGATAACAAAAATAAATAAAGAGATTCATTAACAGGTCCACGTGGTTGCATACATATACACACCAGAGTCAAACGCTGAAACCCTCAAAGTAGTCTAAACCGTTCCAAACGCCCGCCCGAAAACTATATATAACCCATGGGTATCTCCTCCCTTGATCAATGACCACCGGACCGCATCTCCTGCATCTCCATCTCGCGAGAGGGCTGGTCGGGATCAGTCAGGCCATACCTTTCACGGAGTGTCTGTATGAGAGAGCCCATTTCGTAGTCGCTCTCCATGCTCTCGTGGTTGGCGCACGGTGACCCGCGTATAGGCAGAAGCCAATCCAGCCAGCTATACCCCATGACGGAGATCCAATTCCTGGTATAGCCGAGGTCCCATGGGTTCTCATCTGGCTCCGTCCTAACGATAGCAAAAGTACGTGTTGCGAGACGATCACGCGGAGTCTCGCTATCCGTAGTGGCATTTGAGAAGATCGGCACTTCCCGCGAGGAATTCGGTAAGGGGTATGTGATTGTCCCATAGCGATTGCCAGGACGGGTGCCGTTAGGCACCCTGATTGCGAGTTGGTGCACCCACGATTTGCGGAGGGCGTCAATATTGGTGATGTTAAGGAAGATGAAGCGCCATGAGGTGGCAGTCATCAGGAAGGTAAAGAGACCAAAAAAGGCGGCGATGGCAACTCCAGAGATGGTCCTGCCGTCGACGGTGCCATCTCGCGCCTGCAACGCAAGACAATAAGCTGCCTGCGCGAGGGCAATCGCGCAGTACAAAGTACAGTAAAAGGTGAACTGGGCGAAGAACTTGAAGGCTACGATTGGTCAGCATCAAAACCTTACAATGGACCGATCGTGGAACATCAGTACTTACACGTCTCCGATACCATGCCGCCGACCCAGGGGCAGTAGTGGTCCATCTTTCGCACGCATCGTCCCACCTCGCTCGAGTGGTGGGCCCGGTCAGGCTTCCAGTTGCGGCATTCGGAGCACCACTTGGGCCGCCCGTCACTCTCGCACACAAACACGTCTTTACTGTAAAACGCCTCCAGACCGGGGCTGTCTGGGTCTTGATCGGGGCCGGTGAAGTACGGCTGGCTTTCCAAATCGCCCTCTTTCCTCCGTCTGCGTTTTTTGTTCAACTCCCTCGACGGATGTTGGGCCTGAGGACCGAGAGGTACCAGACCTGGATCCATCTTGATCTTAATGAAAGTTCGAAGGTAGGTGGCGATGGTGAGGAGGTAGAAGAAGAGGTAAATCGTGATGGTCGATACTGCGGCGCCGACCTCACCCCTGGTCCTGTAGAGGTAGTCGACTGCAGCAAATGTCAGTTACCGGATGCGCTCCGGAGTCAAGGGGGGACCGACCGCCTAAGTAGGCCACAATCACGTAGGTGGCATAGCCGCTTGTGCCCGTGATGGTGATGGGGATGATGCGCGTCACCCATCGCGAAGCACATTTAGTGCTGGTGGCTTGCGACATTGCAGAGGTGCGATCATTGCCGAAACATTGGGAGACGGGCCAGGCAGCAAAACGTTACCGCCGTTCGGGAGCGATATGCGAAGAGCGACGAGGGACGGGCTGTAAAGCCACGTCAGGCGATGCGGCGATACGCAGAATTGAAGTTGGTCGTCGAAGACTCGAGGTGTCATGTATGCAGAGGGGACAGACGGTGACAGGACGACAACGGAGAAAGAGGCTGGGGCACAAGCGCGGGTGCAGGTCATGGGTGCGATGCAGAGTAATTTCCACGGGCTCTAAACTTTAGGCGTTCGTATTCGAAATGTACCCAGGCGCTCAGGTTATGGGTGAAAAAAAAAAAAAAAAAAGGGCCGGTCTCCCATCTCACCTAACCTGCCTAGGCATCTACCTACCTACTAACACACTACTTTTCCTACCTATCTATTGGTAAAAAATAAATAAAAAAAACGATATATCACTAAAACATGCATAAAAGTCTGCATTATGCCAAAATAATAACAATCAAGTTATCGAACGCGGTGGGGGTATGATAGGCTTCTAAATACAGGTACTTTTTGGATGTGTTTGAGACCGGTTATGTTTTTGTTTTGTTTAACCCGAGTGCCGCGCTGCAGACTCAAGTACCCGTACGGAGTACGGATACCTAGGTACCTATCTTGGTAGGTACTATGTAGAAGTGGATCAAAAGGCACCGTCAGCCCTACAGCCAACCTCCGCGACCCTCCCTGTCTTACCTTTTGCATCTCACACCTTCATCCTCTCTCACACTCCCTTCCCACAATGACTCATTCAGCAATTAGCGAATGGACATATTCCTCTCCGCTGCCGATAGAATACTGTCACTTGGCCAACAACAAGAGTGTATGCAAGCCAGCCGCATCCCTCTGCTTCGACCGTCAAACCTCCACATCCGTTCGGCGATTACGCATCACACCAAACCAACCAGGTTTGTTATCCAGACTCAGGAAACGCCGTTTGGTGATCAAACCGAGGATTAAACTTAACCCAGTTCAAATTATAGGGCCAGAATTGCCGGGTGAAGCGTGCGTTGAAGATTCTTGATGGCTGCGTCTATTCGGCAACGGCAACTTTTTTTGGCTCCAGCTGGCAAGTGCAGCTTCGCCAACCAGCTGACAGGGTTTAGAGTTCAACCAACATACACCCGTATTTCAGCTGCCCCGTTGCCGGAATCATTATTCCATGTTGCCCAATACTCGGATGTCTCATGTCTTGAATCGCGAGTTCAGAAAACCACCGCCAGTATCCCTGGAAGCTGCACAATGGTGACGCAAACTGAACGTGGCCTTCACCTTGATGCTTCTTCACAGAAGAAGAACGTAGGTTTGCGGCATCTGGAATTCGTAATAGTCCAACATGCTGCCACATCAAGAGTATGCTCATTCGCCATTTCACGACAGCACTGGCCGACACTGCTGCCCTTTAAGTTAGGGCAAGCTTGCTTGTCCAGAACCATATGGCCCTTATGAGCGCTCGGTTATTGGATTTTACCGCGAATGGCTGTTCAGAATGATCCGGTGCTTTCGATTGGCAATAGCTTCTGCCCTTCGCCTTGGATACCATTCAACGTCGTAGGGCTTCAGTAAGCAAACTGCTCAGTCATGCCTTGCCATCTACTACCAACACGTTATAGAAAGCCAATTGTCTCAAGCTTGCTCTGATCTGAACTTCAGCCGCAATTTGAATCTCTCAATCTCAGATTCCCAACCGGGGACTCAAAAGACCAAAAGCAGAGCCACGCGGGAAGGACTGTGGGTCAATACTGAGGACTGACAAGACCAAGGAGATAACAACCGTTTTTGCGATGCTCAAGCAAATGGTCTTTCTGCCTAAGATTTTCAACTTCAGGGTTCCCTTACTATCTGGCCTGAGGCTCATGACTTCATATTTCATGGTCATAGGACCAGCAGAGCCGCATGATGTCTCCATGTACTTAAGTGCCTCGTCACCCCAGCCCCAGATCTCAGACCCCTTCTCCTCCTCGACCAGCTGTCATTCTCGTTGGCAGTACCACGTCGAAAGACAACAGATCGGTTTTCAAACTTCACAAAAAAATTACCTCCTTGACTACAGAAAAGCCCTTCGATCACGACCTCACCGAACTTGGAACAGCCAGCCCAGCTGCTTTGAGTTGCTGACGATGCAACACGACTTGCACTATCAAATACCGACTATGAATCCTTGATTATAAGCCGCTCGGTGCCAAGCTTCGACTTTTGACCAACGACACCGACTATCAGTCCACAACTATCGCTTTACTCTACCTACGGCCTGAAGAACACTATTCCGTCCTTTGTGAACTGGGAAGATCCCCAGACGAGTAACGCTGACCATGTCCGCAACGACGTGTACGATGAGATGTCACTGCATCTGAAGGAGGAGAACCTCATAGCAGAGCTGGGAGGCTGACGAGAAATAGTCCTCTCAACTGGTTTTCCCCTTGTGCCAATCGACAAGAAGATACATATCTCTACAAAACTATTGAAGAATGACCGTTTCGCTACTAACTTAGCCCCAGGTGAAACTATATCAACAAATAGTCACCACTCAACTGTTCAGGGTAACTCTACTTAGACCAAGACCTTGAAACAGCAGCCACCGAACACACATAGAGCTCATCATGTGATGCAGCATTTATACGTTATCCGAGTCGCATTTCCGGTGCCGCATCTGATCGAGTCGAGGGATCGCTGTGCACAGTTACGCAATCATGCATTAGACATCTGCAGCCTTCTTCCGCCCCCTCAACTATCCGCACTAAGAGCCAAAGCCTGGTCCTAAAGTAAACGAGGGTTGCTGCCTACGACCGACTCACTTTCGACTTGCGAACCGGTTGAGTCAATTCAAGCCAAGACATACCATTTCAGGCGGTATTTTTTGGAGTATCATCTCACGTTCTACAAGTTGGGCGCGCATGTGGCCGTGGGGGGCATGAGACTGCAGCTAGGGTTGGATAGACGACTTGTTCCACCGGCACGGCAGTGTGACTTCAAATCGAGCATTTTCCGCAGCCCCTCGAAGCGACCTGGGTCAAAGACAGGAGCCAGTCGTGGCATGCGGCTCTGCTCCGAAGTCTGGTCCCGCCTTGATTCAGCCTCCGCGCATACCTCACAGTCGAAGTGGAGCAGTTGCCTAGTTGCTCGGTGTGGTCAGCTAGTTTCAGGGCGGCACCTTTACCGCGTTTCCTGGGATTTGCACAGCCGTCGAAAACCGCAGAGCCGCACAAAAGTACGGTGCATCGGCCCTGCAGAGCCGCAAACCCTCCCAGAGTTCCGACGGCACCTCGCATCTCGCGCGTCCCCACGAAGTCTTATCTGGCCGCCCTCCTCCGTACTTTCGGCACAATGCGAGGAGTCATCGGGGTGTCCTGCCCCTCATCCCGCGTCCCCTACATCTATGACAATGTCTAGGCTAATCGTCCCAGCGTCCTGCCGTCTCAAGTTCTGCCTGATTCACCGTAGCATCGTGTACGAAGACCCCCGGGTATGAAGCGCATCGGCACACGCCCCAGCGAAGCAAACGCTGCATGCTATTTGATGTGCAGAGAGGCGGGGTTGGCGATACCCCCGGGCGGCAGCATAGCTTGTTTTGGTGCCTTCACAACCCTGTCAAGGTAAAGAGGGTGCCTTTCGAAACAAACTACGACGCTCACCGATTTGGTCTGCCAGAGACCCCACCAAATAGACCTCATTCACGCCGTCGGCGACTCCGCCTGAGGTTCCTTGTGCAAAGCCGCCTAGAGGATACCTTTGTGTGGCTTGGACTCTTGTTGGCCGGCATTTCACTTCCACAATGGCATTGGACCTGGCCTCGTTTTGAATGCATATGTGACGCTTCGTCGAGGAGACTTTGTCGTGCTTGCTGGACACGTATAAGAAGAGGGGAGAATAGCGTTCTGGTCGAGTGTTATCCCATCATCAGTTTCAGCAACACTTTTCGCGTCATTGTAGAGACATATCTAGATCAACTCAGAGTTTCATAATCTACTTCATCATCTTTTCCCAACCGCGCCAGTACCACTTCAACCTTTCACGATGCCCAAATCGTCTGGCAAGGGTTCCGTCAGCATCACAGTCTGGACTTGCGTGAGTGTTGACATTGCGAGAGCATGTCTGGAGAAGAGACTGACAGCGCGTAGTGCCAATGTGGTGACTCGGGCATGACCATAAACATTCCGAGCTGCCCGTCGTGTTACTATAACCGTTGCGTAAACTGCCCTGTCCAGGTGGTCAAGGGCAGGAGCAGCAGATAGTTGGCCTTCGGCCTGTTTCGTGCCCTGATTTCTGTGACGGGCGAGAGGCGGTAGAGGCCGATCTGACCCAGAAGTCCTCGATTACAGATCTCGAAAACGCGCATTTGGGGGGGCTCAAACAGAGGGCGGCGAGCCTCTCCTGTCGAGACTCCAGGAGTGTACACGCAATGGGGCATTGGTTCGTCTTTTGATGTTGATCGCTTAGGCTTTTCTTTTCATTGGTCTAGACAAGTAGTTGTGCTCTCTCGGTATCTCTCGTGAGTCACAAGTCAGGGGTGGACGACTACCACTGACCAGGTCGGGGGTGTGACAAAGCATACAAGATGTAGGAGACCACGACTGCCGTTTCTCACCTGCCTCATTTTTTTTCCGTCTTTTTTTTTTTTTTTTTTTTTGTAATGGGAGAACCAAGGTTACCGCTGGTTTTGTAGATAGACTAGAAGTTCCACGACAACCTCCGCAATGGAATTGATCTTGTTGTCTCGTCTGCGGCTTGAGTCCTCTGCATTCTACCACCACATGACCGTCCCTGGCTTCCAACTTGCCTGGGACTGCAAAAATATGTAGCCAGAGCAAATCGGGCTCACACATCAGTGTCAAATCATGCAAACCGTGATCAACGATCGCAGGGTTTGGCATTCACCAATGCAGCTTTCAGGGGCATCTTCCACCTCACGAATATGACGTAAACCCCTATAGCGCTTCCCAACTTCCAAGACTGGACTGTTCATCATACGCCGTAACACTCCCTGTTGGCTTTGGAACGAAATTGTCATTGACGTAATCGATTGGAATGAAATACGAAGTAGCGGAGTCTAGTCTACAGCTTACCTAGATGATCGACGAAACTCCCACCTCCTCAGAAGTAGCAGGAGCTTTGGAAATCGCGAGTCTCGCCAACGGCACCGCTCCCTCCGGGCCTAGTCCCAACCCCTCGAAGACCATTCAAACTGCTGCAAACCGCGAATCGTACATTTGGCCTAACTGCTCAGAGAGGAAGGTGGCTGTGCATGGCCCGCAGCTCACCGTCATTTCGATATCTTCCTCAAGAAACCTCAAAGTCCGCCTCAGTACATCCTCGCAAGCCGTACAATCCACGTTGACGATCGGTGCTGCCCTACTTATATGGTCTGCTAGCCATTGAGGAGGCGGACGTGGCCTCGATGAGGCACGTCGTCATATTTCCTCTAAATAAAGTGCACATTCGGTCACGAGGGGCCCCTGCATGCATCGAGTAAAGAGCCCTGGCATCCCGCCAGTGCGAGGGCTTTTCATTGGGAGGAAGCTGGCACGACGAAGAGCGCGGATGCATCAGCCAGTCGATGGCCACTCATATCGTGTAGATGCGCGTACGTAGAGCCAATCTGTTTAGGCATACACGCATTCCCACCATGCAAAAGAACCTTGCTTTAATGTCTTCCACATATAGGGCGACCGTTTGGTGTGCCTCGGCAGGCCGACCGAGCCCCAGGCCTTGGAAGGGTCCTCACGTGGCCTCGGGGGTGGGCGCATCCGGTGTAGTGGTTCGCATGCCCTGACCTTCTTTGCATACGATACGGGGGGGGGGAACCCCTAACCCTCCGAGTCGCAGGTGAGAGTGCGTTTCCGACAGCACGGGAAGGATGGGAGGCGCAAGGCTGCAGGACGACTACGCCCCTTCGATGCACGCCCTATTCGCGAATGCAAAAGGACTGGGCAGCACAGTCCAGGATGGAAGCAAAGTCGACGTATGATCAGGAAGCACGGTTTTTCTTCTTCTTGTCTTCCTTTTGAGGCAAATGACAAGGCAATTGTACACTTGAGGATTGAGGAAAGTGACAGGCATTCCAACGATGGGGCGTGTTGATGATGATTGGAACCCGAGGAAGAGCCATTCTGCTGAGGGAGGCAATGCTCCTCCAAGCCCCTCGCCCCGCTCTCTCAGAGGAGACTCCATCCAGGAAGCAAGCACTAGCTTGCTCTTCGCCGGATTCCTCAATCATGAGGGATGAAATAGGGTGCGCACTTGTGCGAGTTTGGTTGCGAGCGAAACTCCAAAGGCCGTAGAAGACAGCGTCGAAAGAATTGAAAAGGAACGACAGCGCCGCCCCTTTCCAGCCTAAAAGTCGGCATCTTCCCATCACACGATATCCCGCCACTGCAGCTTCCAAGTACTCGACGCAGAAAACATAAACGATCGACTTCGTTCCTCACAATCATCACCTTCATTCAACCCCGGTCATCTTAACCATGGGCTCACATCACAAGTCTTCCAGCTCCAAAAGCCACGGCGGCTCCTCCCACGGGAAGTCCTCCAGCAGCAAGAAGAAGGCAGTCGTCCAAATCAGCGTCTGGTACTGTGTTAGTGAATCTCTTGCTCGCCAGAGTCGCCCACTGCCTTCTGTCTCTGTGCTAACTTCGCTTCTTCCAGGATGCTTGTCACTATGGACCGTGTAACCCTTCCATCGATATGTACTGCCCTAACTGTAAACACCAACGCTGTGGCGGATGTACGACGGAGGTGATCACGCAGCGCTCTGACCATTGAGTATGTCTAGTCTCGGCAGGCCCTGAGCTCCGAGACTAGACAGCATGGCGAGCGTTGGTTTTCCCCGAGGACGGACATGCAAGGGATGATGGAAAAGGCAGCCGCTGGGCGGGCTTGCCACGGATCGCGAGCATTTGAAGCTATCCGGTTGAGCCGGTACGATGTTTTCGTTTAGACCGCCAAGAATCGGGCAAGACAGGATCGGATAGACAGGAGCTACGCCTAGCGATGGGCTCGAAAGAACAGACAAATGACTTCATTTCTGCCCTGCTCGCCCTCCCCATAGCCACTTTGTGGCTGGTGGGAGATCCTTTACTGCTGCTAGTCGCCTCGTCTCACAAAAGTGAATTGTGAAAAATCGCATTTCTTGAACCGTATTGACCTCGTTTCGTACTAGTCGGACCGCAGCAGCGGGGCGCTGGCCATCTGCACGATGAAGAAAAGTACTATGACTATAGAGCAGAAAACACTTGGGGACTCGAATCCAAACCAGCAAGTCATCCGGCAGTGTAAGCGCTTCTTTCGTTGTCACCTCTCGCTCGTTCTCAGCACGTGCTGTCTCCATCTGAGCTTAGAGGGTGTCTGAACCAGTAGTAGGACGGACTGATAGTGAGCGAATGCACGAAGTGAGGAACAATGAGAAATGGTACCCGTGAGAAACGATGCGACAGCCATTGACGGTGTGTCGAATCATCACACCGAGGTGGCCATGTATGAAGCAGCACTGGCCGCAATGACGGGCATCTTTCTGACAGGTAGACTAGACGCATGTACGACACAAAAGACTCGACGCTCAGCCCATATTCGGTATGCGGTTGATGGATACCTCCCTCTCTTAGCACCGTAAGAACCCGCGAATAGTGGCTGATGGTCGTCGAAATCAGTTGCCTCGTCTTCTGTCATGGAGTAAGGTAGTGAGATGTGAGTCAAGAATGGTACCTGTTCCCCTTGCAAAGGAGGGTAACTTGGATGGGAAAGAAAAAGTTTGAGGCGTTCCCCTTGGTGAGGCACCTGTTTGAGGATGATTGGTACTTGGTAGTGTGGCGGAATCGAGCCCCTTATGCTTCATTGGTAGTAGGAGCCAACCCAAGTAGCGTAACATTCTGTGATGGAATGGAGTCAGTGGCCATCTGGAAAAACTAGGCAAATGACAAAAAGACAGCAAGTGAGGAAGCACTGGGGTCCATTGGCAAGTATGACTGGATGTAAAGCGAGGTGGAATTAGGTGAAGTTGAAATTCTCCTCACCGATGAGGCAATGCAACTCGGCCAAGCCCCCCGGCCCCAGCGAACATGGACGCAATTTCGAAAAAAAAGACAAGACATATCCACCGAAGTTGCGCAACAGAGATGTGCGCAACTGCGCTCCGTGCCTAGACTTTTGAAACGAGATTTTGAGATATGTTCGAAGGGTTTATAAACAAACCCTTCGACCATCGACTTCGAAGAGAGTTGAAGCATCTCGCCATCAGCCCAGACGCTCGGGATACAAGACGTACAGGTCTCGTACCCAAAAGATCCGAATACACAAGACGGCATTGAATAACCTCTGCAACTCGCAAACATGCCCCAGACCCCGAGGACAAGGACTAAGGTGGTATGGTACTGCGTGAGTTCGAGACCCAGAAGCACAAGACAAGTTCCCTAGGCCCTGACTGATGCCTCTTGACCCATGTAGCACAATTGCAGCCACGGGCCGAACAACTACAAAATCGACGAACACTGCCCCGCTTGCCATATGAGGAGATGCCGTCACTGCACCGTCCAGGAGATCCGAGTGCGTGTCGACCACTAGGTGAGTCTCGGAGTGACAATGCAAACCCGGAGGGATGGGCGGTTCGCTGACTAGCAAAGTACCAGGCTCACAGCCCGCCCATTACACTGGCAAACCACCGACATGGCATATGGCATGGAGCCTCTGCTCAACAGAAGGGAATCAACGCCCTCACCGGCATGGCAGCGGGACGGAGAAGGACGGGAAGAGAAAGAGGAGGGAAAGGCACACTCCAGCTGTCTCGCAGACCAGCATCACGACGATCCGGCCAAAAGAAACAACAAGATTTACCCCCCTCCCAGGACGTACCAAACGTCGTAGAATTAGGAATCATAGACAGAGACCACGCCGCAAGGCAGGCGGCCCTCAAACAGTACATGATGAATTTGCTGGTTTTGTTTCTCCAGGTAGTTGACCGTGGACGCGTGGCTGGTGCCCCTTACGCCCTGATCGCCTTGTCTTACGGAATGAATTGCTTGGTAACGAAGCGTCGGGAGCTTGAGATGATGGCGGAGCCCCCCCCCCCCCCCCCCCCCCCCTCCCCAGCTAGGGTGTCCCTCGGTGTGCGGTCACCTAGATCGCGGACTACGATGACGACACACCAGCGCCGATCCACGCCGGTGCGCGCTTGTGAGGAAAGAAAAAAAAAGAGAAAAAAAAGGAGAGGCCTTACTTACAGATTGTGACGAAGTTCTGCTCTGCCACGGTGGGTCACCTGGCCGTAGGCGTGGTTGATTCTGCCCATAACAAGGTTTCGGGGAGCGATGAGCAAAGATGGCGGCGATGGGAAAGGAAAGAGAGGGAATGGACGGCAGCAGGTGAGGGCAGAGCAGAGCCGCAACAATCAGCATGGTACACACTATTGGTGGTCAAGGCGGACAGAAGTGCAGAAAGGGAATCGACCTGATAGGTGTGAAGAGTCCGAAAAGCGGATCCCTTCCGAGGCGCCGTTGCCCGATGGGTCCGCCTACCCCAGCTCCGCTTACCTAGGTAGGTAGGTAGGCAGGCAACTACCGGTAACTACACCCATCAGCTATCTGTATTTTGGCCCGATTACACACAAAGAACCCGAGCAGATAGAGGGTGTTGCAGGAGCACCCCCAGAAAATTTGGGCAAAAACAGACGGTAGAAAGGACAAAGAACAAGCATAGTGGGTCGCTCCAGAATCCCCCTCCCCCCCCCCCCCCTTCCCCCCCCAGCCTCCGGCCAAGGCTTCTAGAAGCATTCGCCGAAGCTACTCAACTCCAGCAGGTCACCTTACCTTTTCCGAATGCACACAGCCACATCTCTCGTGGGTTGCCGCTGGTCATTGGCCTCTGGTCGGGTTTCGGTGACACGATTGGCTCCAAGTCCCCTGTTCAGGGACCCAATCACCGCCTCGTCTTTGGTCATCGTCCCAAGAGTCATCATCTTCCCACTTACTTGCTTACTGAAAGCAAATCTCTGCCGCCCGGCACTAATTAGATCAAAGGACAACTCACACAGACAATCGCTCAGTGCCATAGCATTGGTGGGGTCTACTTCATCATTAAGCATGTCCCTCGTGCATTCGGACCCATACCCTGCCACTATCGAAAGATGGATTGATGCCGGTGTGAAGACTAGAGAATGAAATATAAAAAATGCCCAAGAGATGTTGCTGACCACCGCGGGCGTGAGCAAAAAGGATGATTAGACCCTGCACTGACAGCGGACCCCGGTTCCGTTCAATGTATGCAGCAAGATCCGCAGTCGATAGAATAGAAATGGTCCGACTTCATCACTTCCTCTTTGAGCCGAGCCAAGACCGACGTCGCTGTGCTTCAAAAATGCATATTCGCGACTCTCCTCCCCAACCGTCGTTGCCACTTCGCTCGTTCGCCCCCCCCCCCCCCCCCCCCCCACACCTTCCCCTGTACGTTTGATGTCTTCCCGCCCCATAATGTACAATGCTCCGTTTCGCCTGTTGAATGACCGAAAACACCTTGCAAACGCCTTACACATACAGACCCGCACTCGTTTGTCGACGTCAAGATTCAATGATAATGGGTAGGCATGACCTAATGCCTCCTGCAGCGTGGCTCATGTCCCCTAACGCCCCGCGTCTAGTCTTGGCGAGCCGTGATGGTGGCCTCGGGGCTCATGAGCTCAGGGCTCACAAGCCGGATCGTGGACCCCAAAGAGAGCTCCTCCAGCGCAGTGCGCGAAGCCTTGCTCAAGCTTCGGTGGAGCTTGGAAGTCTTTGCCGTCTTCGCATCGTCATCCCCTGCTCCCGCAGCTACAATGGTCATGCTCGGCGCCCGGTTCGCCATCTTTTTAGGCGACGTCTTTCCGTACGTCTTGAGCGTCTTGCCGGAGCCCGACTTACGGACTGCCGTGACTTTGCGCGCCGGGTTAGGAGCCGTGTACTTCTTAGGTGTAGATTTCTTCGGAGTTGTCTTTTTGGTCGTCGTCTTTGCCGGAGTCGCCTTCGTGGCCTTGGCCTTCGTCTTTGCCGGCGTGCTTGTCTTGGTAGTACTGCTCAGAATCGCCATGGCCGACACGCGCCTCTTCACTGTGGCTGCACCCTTGGCAGCAGCCTTGGTGAGCAGGCTGGTCGAAGAGAGCGACCGTCGCACCCCCTTGGCGGCCTTGACCTTGCGCTTCTTTGCCGAGCCGCCGGCTTCGTCGTCGCCGACCAGTGTTTCGATCTTGCGCTTGCTGGCCTTGACGGCACTCTTGACTACGGCCTTGAGCGTCGACTTGGGAGGCTTGGGCTGTTTGACTTCCTGAGGCTTGGGCCCTAAAATCCCTCGACAGTTTGGCGCGCCGCAGAGACACTTCTGGACATTTTCGTCGCTGAAAGGACTAAAGTTGTAGTCGTATGTGAGCTCCTCGCCCGTCATGATGGGCTTGTCCCCCGCGAAGAGCGCCATCCTCGGCTGACCGGACACGATCCATTTAATCATCCGGCAGTTGGGGGCACACGAATGGTTGACGAAGCGAGCGATGCTGCCCTTAGTGGCGTCGATGATCATATTCTGGTCGAAGCTCATGAGGTAGTAACACTGGCGATGCGTTAGCGTGGCTCGCCAGAACAAGCAAGCGAGTCAACTCTCTTACCTTGCTGTCCTTGTACTTGTTTTCCATGCGTTCTGAGCACTCCTCATCGGTGATGATCTCGCCTGTGTATTCCATGATGATTTGGTTAGGCTCGAAGCATCTGTTTGCGCGGATGCCATAGCCACGGTCAGATGTCTTGATAACCTCGACACCGACGCGGTACTTGCCGCCGCCTGACTTTCTTTCTTGGAGATCGGCGAACGCGCGGTTTGTGCAGTGTTCCCTGCCCACGTTGCAGTTCTTATCGTCGCACTCGTATAGCATGATTCTGTTCTGACAGTCCTCACCACACCCGTCTTCGGGCTTGCAAACGCACTTGGACTGGTCAACGAAGTGCGGCGTCTTCTTCCACAAGGAGTGCGACTCCCCAATGAATCGATCTACAGCAGTGTTAGCAAAGAGCTGGTGGGCAGGCGCGTCGGGGATCAAACTCTTGGTAAGCTTCCTGAATTCGTCAGGTTTTGGCTGGCCTGGCGGCAGAGGATTGCAGACGTCGTAGGGTAGCTTGAAGTCGCGGCCACTGAGAAGCAAGCGCAGGCCGTTAAACATGGGCAGCGGCAGAACCTTGTTGGGGCGGCCGTAGTCCTTCAGCTCCGGAGTCTGCGCAAGTTTCTTCTGCTCGGCCGCGCTGAGACCCTTGGTCAGGTCCGAAGGGGTCGCTTGGCCGGCATACAGTCCGCGATCGAGGTATTTCTTGGTTCGCTTTGTCTTCTTGGGCTGCGGCTCGGCGGCTTGCTCGGGTTTCTCTTCCGGTTCCTCTTTCTTGGTCTCCAGCGGCTCAGACCTGGCCTTCTTGGGCGGTGGTGCAGGGATGTTGCCATTTTCGTCGAGGATCACGAGCTTTCCGTTGGACCAGACTGTTCTTATGACAGGCTTGTCGTCGATGCCGGCGAATTCCTTCGTATCCTGAAGGCGGAGCAGCTCACGGGGGACTCTAGCCATGCTCTTCTCGAATGTCTTGCGACTCCGCTTGCCAAGGTTGGAGACCTTGGTCGCGAAATTTTCGACGGGGGTGCCGATCAGACGCGCCGTATGGCGGGTGATGCGGGAGGTCTCTGCCTTCTGCGTCTTGATCTTCTTCGGGCGCGGCGTCTTGAGGTCTCCGACGGACCATTGAAGGTTCAACGCGTCAATGCCGTCACGAACGAGATTACCAGCAGCACGCGCCACATCGTCGGCGTTTGAGTCGCCATTTGCAAGTGTCTCTCCAGAAATGGTCCTGCGTCGGTCTGCAACATCGTCACCCTTGGCGCGTCGTTTTCCGCGGTTTGCTGTGCCGCTCAGTTGTGAAAGATTGTATGTCTGCTTTCCGGAGCATGATCGGCGGGGGCGCGCTTCGGATTGGGGCTCCGAGGGTGTTTCGGGTGCTTGGTCGGTGGTGATCGCAGCGGGGATTTCGATCTGGGCCTCAACTTGGGCTTCGATGTGGGTTTCGGTTTCGAGAATGACGGGGACGTCGTCGAGCTTAGGACCATCCGAGGCTTGGCTGGCGATATCAGAAATGCTAGTAGGGGGTGTTGAACTCGAAGACGCGATGTTGGACGAGCAATCGGTAGCGGCAGCGAACAGGCCGCTGTCGCTAGGGAAGAGAGACATATTGGGTGAAAATACCCAGTCTCGACGCGACTTTGAACTTTTGTATCGTTCGTCGAGCGTCTGAGAGTTGGTAGAGTCGAAATGCGACGCGTTCCAGAATGGGGTGTGCTTGTGTGAGGTGGGAAGAAAGTCGGGGTGGGAGGTCCAGAGAAGTTCCAGATACGAAAAGCAGAAGGAGAGAGGGATTAGACCTTGGACCAGGGGTGTGGGTGGAAACGGTTCCCCCAGGCACGCAGAATTGGCTCGTTCGCTATCCTTTTTTTATAGCTTACTCGCCGCGCATTGAGTAGCAATCAGGTAAGTATCCCCCAAAGAAGTTTTGGTATGGGGGGTACCTTTGCTGTTGTGTGCTGTAGCAATAATTCGCAGCTGAGTAGACCGCGGACGGAGCTGAGGGGGAAAAGGGGGAGGGAAAGGAACAAGGGAACACGGGGGAAGATAAAAATAAAATAACAAAAAAATAGCCCGGTAAGAAGTCAGATAAGATGCCAGGCAATGTCCCCAGGTGAAGAGCTGTTTCGGTTGCAAAAGGCGGAAGTCCGTATCTAGCTGGATTTTTTTTCTTTTTTTCTTATGCTGCTGTCAATACTCGCGGGTCATTTCCCAGTGATAGTGCGCGTAAGAAGGGTTAAGGTTGAGGGAGGGGTACGAAGTGAAGAAGGCGAGGTGGGAATGCGAGAGGCTAAGTAGGTGAGATGCGCGGATGACACAGAGACACCTGAGTGAGTGAATGTATGTGAGAGGCGAGGCCCTGGGAGGTTCCGTCTCGTTGTCCAGTGTCGTATTGGGTTGAGGACAGAGCGCGACGAGTGGGGACGCGACAGAATTGATTGATTTGACGGATCAAGTCGACGTGCTTGACCCCCCAGATGGTTGATTGATTGCTCGCTTATTATGTCGGCCTGACTGCTCCTTGACTTCCTTGCTCGGCTTGGCTGCCTTGACCTGCTTGAACCAACTGGCTGCTCCCCTGCACTCGGCGTGTTGGCTGGAAGGGAGAGGAAGGGGAATGAGTGAGTGCAAGGGTCAAGTCTTGAAGGTTGATGTTGATGAGCAGGACAGCACAGTTTTAAGTCTATGAGAAAGACGTGCTCAAGGATGGTCGGGCGCGCAATAGACGAAAAGCGCGCGCGCGAGAGGGAGGAGGAGAGAGAGATATAGAGAGTGGGACAAGAGTGGATAGGCAAATGGAGAGGGAAACGAGCAAAGGAGAGGAGGTGCTTCTGGGTGATGAACGGACCGCGCTGACCTTTGTACCTTTGAGGGAAAAAGTGCCCGAGGCGGGAAGGCTTGTCTGGCGTGCTGGGCCAGTGTACGCCGCGCACCCTTTTCTAGGTTGTGTGGTTGTCTGGTCATGGCCCGCCGGTATCTTTGGTTCCGGTCTTCCGTGGATTGCAGATGGGAAATGGGGACGGGAGATGGGGATCAGGACTGTGATTGGGAATTTGGGTTCGGATTGAGGCTAAGTGAACGCGGATGAGCATGATCTGACCTCTCTTCGGGTCTCGTCTCGTTCTGGGTATGGAGAGGGCCAAAAGGCAAGCATGACTCTGGTCTGTGTTGTGCTGTATGTGTTCATCTCCCCTCTCCTTTCCTCCTCTCTCCTCTCCCTCTCTATCTCTCCTTTCTCATCGTCCTATCCTGTCCTATTCTCTCCGGGCATGCTCCTACTCCGCCTATGCATCCGGGTTGGGCACTGAATCCTTCAATCCTTCAGTTGATAAGCCGTGGCGACGTCCAGATGAGAGGAGCGATATACGACAATATGCAAATGCAGCTACTTGCCTCCCGTGCTCCGATCTACAGACCCCTAAACTCCCCGTTGTCACCGTCTCTGGAATTTCGAGGTTGAGGGCCATCTGGTTGCGCTATATGTGTCTTCTCGGACCACCACCTCCTGTGTTTCGTCGCTACTACTACCGGCGCGCCACCGCAGTGCTGAGCCTCGCCCCAATACATGCATGATGGTCAGCAACATCCACATAACTATAGTTAGCTCTTCATCTTGAACCAACCGGGGCATTTGGCATTACTTGTCAAGACAGCCTCGGTCGAACTCTGCGAGCGGATGGCCTCTGCCTGCCACCATCCCGCGTGAATCGATCGAGGTTATCTGACTTGGATTCCGAAATCTCAATACAATCACTTTTCGAAGCATCAGTTATAATACCCACTCATTGCGTGATTATGAAGAATGTTCTTGAAAACAGTTAGCATTGACAGTAATCAGCACTTATGGACAAACATATTATGTTTGCCATGGCAGATCCTTGAGTCGTGTGTCGCACACTAGACGAACCGGTTTAGTCAAAAAAGATGACCCGTCCAGTCAGATTCAACGATTGGTTAGTAAATTCGGTATTATCAGGTTGCTGCCCTCTATCAGAGTGAATTTGGTTCATTACCTCGCCTGTATAAGCCATCTCAACTCCCATGTTCTTGGACACCGCGCAGCTGCTACACTTGACTTACGCCATATCATAGAGACTGAAACCTCCGGACTGCTTCGTCGGGGTGTCGCCCGGTAAAAAATTTTTTGACCCACGACTAAAGAAAATACCAGTAGATGCTGTTCGAGATACCATAGATGTCTCCGCCTGGTGTTCGGTCGGGTTTGACAAACACATATTGGGAGCAGCTACAGCTGTTCGTATCAATCGAGTACCGGCTATGGCGGCTGAACAACAATCTTGTTGCGATCCACAACGTGTATCTTGCTTCATTCCACTGCAGATCATGAACCTGGCCGGCCATTTGGTGCTGAAATGCCACGTCGTTCCCGATCCCTCGTCTCATCTCCTCGGCGATGCGAAACGGATCGTGAGCTGAGAGCATCGCCCCCTAATTCTCACAAACACGCCTCGAAGGCGTGACGCAAAAGTCCTAGAGTTTTCCCCATATGGCTTGACCAACATCATGAGCCAGTGTCTTTGAGATCTAGCGTCAACAAACGAGCCGGTGAAGTTGTGAAGGGTGTGGGTCACGCAGCACAACTGTAGAACGAGATAGATTCCGAGGTTCACATTTGGCGGATACCTGAACACTGCGAATCCCTTTTCAAATGTTGGATAGCCTTGATAAATATCAGCTGGAAGGATTGCATACAGATGCATTCAGCGTCCACCCGTCAGCTATCTCTGCCTTTGGGGCGCCAAGCTAACCGTCCAGGGTGGCCTAGCAAGCCATTGCAATACCTGAATGATCCTTGTAGTCGTCCAGTACCTTAACTTGGAAAAATGTATGTCTTATTGAATCAGAGAGATCAATCGGCCCGGCAATCCGTCGCCGCGGGGGGTTTGGTCGTGACGATACGCGATATCCGTTCATCAATGCAATGATTCATGACGTTCACCAGCCTAAGTCCGGCCAGGATGCGATGTAGGTTGACAAGGTAGGAGTACGAATGCATGGCTCTAAGGAGCGCGTACGCTCCAGCGGCAGCGTCGTTACCTCGATTGCTGTCCGTTCTTAAGGAAGTCTCCATCACGAACGGTAGCCACCTCCGAGGAGACGGACGAGCGATGGAAAATGTAACTAAGCATTATTGGCAGCTTGTAAGAAACATCAGATGAACAACGGCGACCACAACATTAGCGAATGTAATAGGTTTTGAGTATGATTGCTTCCTACCACCATTTTCATTTCTCTGTATAGTCCTTTTCACCCATTCTCTCGTCTCTTCTCTGTCTGTTCCAAATCGAAAAAAGAGACTTTCGGATTACAACGCCACACACACACACACACACACACACACAAGACGGGTATTATGGCATGAAAAACAAAGGGGGGGAACGAAAATTGAAGCCAAATCCTCCATATCCTGCCCCAAAACAAACCCACCCAGAGGGCGGCGGTGACGAACTCAAGGCTGTCTAAAGTGATAAAGCCACGGCAAGCCGAGGCTGCCGCTTAGGCAGTAGCGGTTTTGGGCTCCTCTTTGGCCTCGACCTTGTCGTTGATGCTCAGATCGGCGACACTTGGCACCTCTGTCTTCTCGGGCAAAGCGGCCGCGGTAGGGGCAACCTCCGCCGTCTTCTCTGGCTGAGGAGCGACGACAGGCTCGGCAACCTTGGTCTCAGCAACTGCGGGGTCAGCAGCCTCAGTGGCCGGAGCGGACGCATTGGCGGGGGTGGCATCAGTGGCAGGCTGCTCGACAGGGGCCGCGGGTGCAGCATCCGCTATCTTAACGGTTTGGCCGGTAATCTTGACGCTCTCGCCGTTTCCGCCGTAGTCCTTGGGGAGTGAGTCCTTGTAGGCAGGGAGCTCTGCGGCAAGCTCATTGCCATAACCGAGAGGGTGGAATTTGGCGACAGTCTTGGGGGCAAGGAAGACCTTCATGGCCTTGAAGACCCAGCCCATTAGAGCGGGGATGTTGACAAAGTATTTGTGGACGAGGAGCTCCGGGTAGGCCATGGCGAAGATTCTGATCGTCTCCGAGGAAGCGGCCTTGACAGCAGGGTCCATGCGCAGGAAGCTAACGTTGAGGTAGTCGTGGACCTGAATCATTTGATAAGGGTCCTCACCGCCATCAGGAATGGGGGTTTGGACCCTGTCCAGGCCCAGTTTGCGAACACTGAGCTCCATGAGGGCTGCGCGCCACTTGATGAACCTGTACATGTGGTTAGTCGGGGTCTCAGTCTGCAAGCTATGGAATTTTCATGTCATTAGGCCACGACTTACTCGTCGACGTTGCCAAAGGTGGCCTTCTTGTCCTTGACAGCTCCGTAGATGTTCCAGGTGATGATCATCTCCTTGCCTTGAGCATCTTTGTGGGTGGTAACATAGCCGAGCTCGTCAAACTTCTTCTTATCGAAGGAGACGTCATCGAGCAACTTGCCGGGGTTAGTGTCGCGGCGCCAGACCAGAGCCTTCTGGAGTTGATCCGCAGCCTTGGAGACATCGTTGTCGTTGGCGCGAAGAAACTTCTGCAGAACGACGGTGGTAGGGACATGAGTGCTATCGGAGAGCTGGACACCCCACATCTCGTTATGCTTAGCCTCGCCCAGGATGCCAGGCAGCTTCTCGAAAAGAGAAGTGAGAGGAGTCTGCGTCTTTTCGACGGGTTTCTCGGTAGCAGGTTTAACCCCGGGATTGGCCTCCGTCTTTTGGTCGGCGAGATCAGTCTGCTCGGCCTGCGGCTGCTGGGCGGCGGCGGCGACCTCAGGGGCGGCAGCATCAGCGGCGGCGGGAGCAGCGGGTGCCGAAGTCGGGTCCGCAGCAGGCGTAGCGGCGGCAGCCTCAGACTCAGCAACGACAGCTGGTGCTGGTGCAGGTGCGGCAGCAGGAGCAGGTGCCGGGACGGCCGTATCGGCAGCCTGAGCAGACATGATGGACCAGCAATTTGCTCAAGTGAGGCGAATGAGGGAAGGTGTAAGGAAGAGAAATTGTGTGTGAAAGTGAACGTGAAGGCAGAAAGGAGACGGCGTCCAAGGTTCCGAGCAACGACTTCTGCCGATCTTTTCGTTGGGAAGATGAAGGAGACAGGAAAAGGGAAGGGGGGGGGGCTAAAAAAAAACCAAGGAAAAAAAAAAAGGTCCAGGATGAGGGCTCTTCCTCGTAACAGGCCCCTCTTGCTGTACTATGTAGTGTGTGCAAGGTCGAGATAAACAGCGTGTGCGAGCCCGTGAGTCCGTGAGCGTGTATCCCGTCTTGTTGGGTTTGATTTGGTAGGTGCTTTTTCAAGCGACGTGTGTAAGGCAGGCAAGGCAGGTAAGTGGGTGGGTAGGTGCGATTGGGAAAGGGTGGCCAAGATGAAGGCGCAGCCGGGTACTAAATGTAATTTAATGGACACGGGAAAGCGGCAGCAACAAACAGCGCTCATCAGATGGCGCGACAGAACAGCAACAGGGAAAGAGCAAATGAAATCCAAGATCGGATTCGACACACCCCAGTCAGCCTGACTACCTACACTACCTACCGACCTACAGTACCTACTCGGGTCCTTCCTTCCTCGAAAAGGTACTTTACGAAGGTAGACCCGGCTGATTTATGTAGGTACAAAAGTGAGCGGTACCTCTGTAACGTGTACAACCGCTTTTACTTTTGTGCTCCGTGCGTTGCTCCCTGGAGACGTCGAGGCACAGTACCTAGGTAGGTAGGTAGGTACTATGCAGGTACCTAGGTATCTATGTACTGATTCTATCCTCCTCCACGCACACGCTTGCACACACTCTCGCTGTCTATCGCATGCTCCTTCCTTCCTCTGGCTCGTTGTCTGTCTACCCATCTTGATTCAGTTCGCTTCCAACCCAGCTCAGATTCCAACAATCTAAATGTTGAGCGGAGGACTCGCTCACAGTGTTTTGACCTGTGCAGATGGGAGAGTGGAGTGGTGGAGATGGACCGACCCCCTTTATTCAAAGTGATTTGCGCCCTGTTTCGATAACCGCCGGTGCTTTGGATGGGCCCTAGTCCTCCTGACTTGTTACGCCTACGCCGTACTCCGTACACGTACAAATACTCCTTGGTCGGTTTGTTTTATTATTCCCATCCCTAGGTAGGTACCTACCGAGCGAGGCAGTTATTGATTTATTCCTGCATACTGAAAGAGATGGCAAGCCAGCTCCTTGGGCATGCCCTCCTTACGAAGCTTCCATCACACGTCACTCGGCGTCACTACGCCACAACTTGATCGATGTAACCTCGTTGTCCGTGGCCGAAATGCAGAGGGCATCGGTATTTAAACCGAAGTCGGCGAGATACTACTACTTACCTTCGTACTGTTTACTGTGCCTTACTCAACCTAAAACTCTCCCCCCCTTTCGCGCCTTGCGGCTAAATGCACACGCCCACGCACACAATACAGCAGCCTTCGCCATCAAACTCACCCTGCCTCACATTTTCCAACCACCGAAATGGGTTCCCAATACTAATGTGCCCCGCCGCAATAAACGGCGTCGGGATTCTCATCAGCCAGCCATCGCATCATTCCAGGAGGGCTCCCCCTTGTCTCTGTTCACGGACCACCACTCGTCCATGTCAGTGCAACGTTTGCCCAGATGTCACTGCTGTCAGCTCCGCGCAGTCAGCTTTGTGACTGACCCTCCCGGCCGCTAAAGAGAATAAAACGAATGACTGCCTGTGCACCTACAAGTACGGATACCTAGGTAGTTAGGCAAAATAGGGAACAAACATGGCCCCACCGTTGTTGGCCCGTGCCTATTTCCGCTAACAAACAATCAGAGAGGATCGGCAGTGTCTACACGTACCGAACTATAGTGCTAAAGCATGCCCACTTGGCCACTGAGGGTCCCATCTGCCGCACAATGCCGGGCGGTGCCGCCATGGTACCTGCAGTGCATCCCCACTCTGTCGCAGCATTTGACTGGACCACCAACGTGGCCCTGGCGTCCGTTGCTGCTGACTACACCAGTTGCCAACTTCAACCTCACCGCACACCCGGCTTCTGTCACCCAGACAGCCTACGCCGCATCCCACGCCGTCAGAGGCGCGTTATACCAAGTCCACACTGATCTACGCCGCTTCTTCGGATGAGGCTTACGGGGCGCCTGGCATCATTTGTAACAAAGAACCACTGAAACGGAACCAGAAACTACTACGCCAGAGTTCTTATTGATCGGGTATGGAGAATCGCCTCGAACTCCTATCTTGCCAAAGCAACGCATCTCCAAAGCCGATTCTTTGCCTGTGAAAGCAACCCTGAAACACCGTTTCTCCTCGGTTGTCAAGCTGAAATAACCCAATAGGCAGACCCATCCTTGTTCCCCGAGTCTCTCAATCAAGTCTCAGATGCGTACAAACCCCCAGATAGAGTCCAATAAACAACCATGTGAGGCAAGTTCCCAAGAGTAGTCAAGCTGAAGCGAGGGGGCCCCGACGCCCAAAGGAGAAAGCAAGCAGGGTAAGTTATGCAGAGCAACATGTGTTCTTCAACCAACGAGGTCGTCTCAGCACCCAACTTGTTCTAGTCGTTTTAGCTGCTTCCAATCCGTTATACTCGGCGTTACTAAACATAAGTGGGAGTCAGCGCGCGACGGATGATTGACTCCAACGTCTGATACTCGCGCATGGCCAGCTGTGACAGGGTCATTCCGTCGAAGTCGGGGCCCGCGGGGTGGTTCAACTCGCGCCAGAAGAAACCAAAGTACGCGTCCGTCTCGTTGCCGACGGTGCGGGTCTGAACCTTGTCCTGGAACGACTGCGTCTCGAGAAAGCGGACAGTCTCCTCGCGGACGATGGCAATGTACCACTATCGAACGGAACAGTCAGCTTACGTTCATCGCCATGCCGGCTTTACCCCATGAATTGCCAAGTCAAAGGTAGGGGCGTACCTCAATCACGTCCAAGGGGATGCCCGTCTTGGGAACCAGCACGTAGAGATGGCGCCATGCCTCGGCAAAGCGCGGCTGACCAAAGGCGCGCTGCTCCATCTCATTCATACCAACCAGGTATGCAATGTCGTCTTTTTGAAGAGTCGAGAAGCCCTCGCAACGCATTGCAGCGATAACGAGCCGTTTGAGCAGGCGATGAGTGAGATTGAGCTCGTCGCGTTTGTCCTGGATGCTGTTCACCAGAATTCGGACGAGATCGCAGGTCGCCTTGTGGATCGCATAGCGCTGCTGAACAGTGACATTCGCCTTCATGTGCCAAGGGAACTTGGTGAGGGTACTGATGAGACACTCAAAGGGTCGCTGAGGGCATTCCTTAGAGAAAGGGGACTGCAAAAAAGTCAGCCGTAACTGTATCAATATCTCGTTCAGGCGAACTTACTCGATGTGGGACCTCGACGTGCTTCACAAGCATCGTCATCTCCTCGTTGGAGACGAAGCCCTTGAAATTGTCCCAGGGCTCTTGGTCGTTGTCGGGGAGAATTTGAGGGTTAGTACCAGTCCAGAAGACGCCCTTGGCAGACGGGAACAAGTCCTTCATGAGAGCGGCCTCGCTCGATAGCTCAATGTCAACCGGCCGCTGGCCGATGCGAGTCATACGACCACGGGCAATGTTCTGCTGGTACTTCTCGACAGCTTTTGAAGCATCCTCCAGGGTGTGGAACTCCACATACGCATCGGTCGTCTTGCCAGTGATGCGCTCCATGATGATATGAACAGGCTCCTCCGTGTCATTGAGAATGCGGGAGTTGCGGCCGAGGACGGCAATGATCTCGGCCCGGTTGGTAATGAATGGAATCTATCCATAAGTCTGTCAGTCTCTGTCTGTTGCTTGCGAGCATCGGATTTTAGGGGCTCAGTTACGTTTCCAATCTTAACAACGCCTCGAACCGCAAAGTGGGTAGGGCGGGTGGCAGGCTCGACAAAGGGAAAGTTGGTCTCGTGCAAAGCAACTTGGGCAGTCGGAAGACCCGTAGCGCCAGCCGTAAGTCTGTTCAACTCCAACGATCGCTGAGCGCGGATGTAGTCGGGAGTGGTAGCACCATAGAGAGCAACGGGGTTCTGAGGTGGATAGCCAACCTGGTAGGGGACGAGCGCCGCGTTGTTTCCAGCGAAAGGCTGGTAGGTTCCCGCCCGTGTGCTTGCGAGAGCACTGCTATCAACGATGTGCTGGAAAGGGATGCTCTGAGTAACAACGCCGTGAGCAGACACTCCCTGAGTGGCCAAATCCTGATTGGCCATATTCTGGGTGGTATGGGCAGTCATTACAAGGCCTCTGTTACCCATATAGACTTGCGGAATCTGACCGACCTGTACACCTTTTAGAGTAGACTGTGCACTGCTGTCGCAAGGAATATCATCAAGGTTCAGGGCCTCGCCCGTGAGGATAGGGAGCGGGATCTGTCCATTCGCCAGCAGATGGGTGGTGTCGATCTGCGAACCAAGGAACGGCTGCCGAACGGTGCCTCCCTGCGAGTTAGGGACAATGAATGGGTCCTGGGCATCCACCGCAGAAATTTGGTTACCGTTGCTGACGCTCTCCAAGTTGAATTTTGGAGGAGCTCCGAGTCGAGCAAGGTTGGGCGTGGTACGCGGGGCGAAGTTACGAGGCTCTGTCATGAGGCAGTTGGCGTTCAGCACCTTGAAATTGTCGCTACCGGGACTGGCGATGTCGCACTTATTGGCGGCTTCGTTGCCTCCCTGACTGTACTGGAGGTCACTGTTGTTGTGGTGAGCAGTGGTAAGGCTATCGAGGTTACCCATGGAGGCGCTGCCACTGAGCTGGCCATAGACAGCCATCATGGGAATGGGCTGGATCTGCTCGGGGCCAGCGGAGACAAACTGGGAATCGTTCATCGTAGACTGATTGGTGTGACTGCCGTCCTTGACTGGAACACCAGGGTCAGAATCAGCGCGGTTCGAACCGTTGACGGAGAGCGGTAGGTTGGGGAAAGTAGGACAGCGTATGGTCTTACCACGATCCTTGATGGCAGAAGTGTACTGGCTCTGAGGCTGCACACCTTGTCCACGATGGTGACGGCCGCTCTGGGAAGTCGCGTTGTCAACCGAATGAGCGTTGTTGCTGGTGTTGAACTTCGGAGTACCGTCAAGTTCAGCAACTTCAGAATGATTGATCTGGATATGAGTGTCAATTTATTATGACCTGCTTAAAAGTCTCGGTTCTTGGACAAATGTACTTTACCGGCCTCGTAATGAGCGATAGTGGCAGTAGGGATCCAAGGGGAAGATGAAGGGTTAAGAACAGAAGTAGTCTTCGTCTCACCCTGGCCCCGGTTCTTGTTCTTGTTCGAGTCGATGTTGTAAGGGGCACTGTCAAGGAGGGCACCTCCAGGCTCCTTGTCATAATCGCTGTCCTCGACAACAACCTCAGGTAGATCGCTAGGCGTAAAACCACCCTGGCGAACCATGTTGCGAAGCTGGTTTCGCATCTTGAGGCGATCCGTCTTGTCTCTTTTCTTACCGGCGGGCTTCGAGTTGACCATGGTGGGAGAAATTTGAGGGAATGGCTGTGACCCTTGGAAAAAAGAAAAGGTAACAAGAAAGGTGACAGAGTGCAGAATGTGCTGGAGACAGCGGCCTACGTGAATAGGCTTGGTGACAGTAGATACTTTGAAAGCTTGGGGTTAGTGGCAGAGCCTAAACTGTGGTTAACAAAATCAGGTTATAGAATAAAGGGTTGGCATACCCAGGCAGAAGTGAGAGTGAATTAGGCAGGTGGGAATGAACCAAGAGAGCAGACAATTGTGAATTGAATGAAAGGGTAAGTTGAGAAGTGTGATGAGATACCAATGATGAGTCCAGGAAGGTGAGCCGGATAATTCTGGTGGAATCTGGGTAACAGCCCTTTCAGAGGCACCAAGTGAATTTCAGAAAAGATGAAGTGTAGGTGAGTGACGTATATATGTATATATAAGATAAAGAGTTACTTCGATAGCCCAATGAAATGGCAGGAAATGGAAAGGGAAGGTGCCAGCGTACTTCTCCTGCCTACCTAGTTGAGTAAGAATTTGCACCTTGTCTGTGTCAAGACTAATGACGAGAACAGCAACGGCTCTCCCGCAATGTGAGCGGGTACGCTCAGAAAAAGAAAGAAAGAGATCAAGGAGCTATTGTCATGAGAAAAGACACAATGTATAAATCGAGAATATAAAAGAGAAATTGAGTTGCCTTTGAAAACCCCCCCCCCCTCCCCCTGCTGTGACGAGACCATGACAGAGTAAGGAGACTAAACATGTGTGATGGCGAGGACTTAGCGGAGAGGGTAACATAGAGAATTGATAAGTGGCAGATCGCCTTCGTTCGAAAGAAGGAGAAAGAGCCAAGGAAAATAGAAATACAATAGCCATACAATACAATATTTAACAGAATTCGTGAAGCCAGTCGATTCAGTCGATCAAGGTGTTTGAAATCAAAGATGGCAACATTTTCGCCTCAGCAATCTCAGAAGTGAAGAAGGAGGAGACCGAAAGGAGCGGGCCTATTGTTGGAGGGTGATACTGAAGCGGGATGGAGAAGTGTGATGACAAGAACAAGAGAGTTCTTGGAATTAAGGTCGGAGGCCCCTGTTAGTTCATATCTTATGAAGATAATAGTTGACAGGTGCAGCAGAGAGTGTGTATCGAGCCACTGAATTTCAAGATTTAGCAAGCAGGCTCGGAATTGAACTGGGTAACAAGAGGGACGAGGTGAATGGACGGTGTAGGCGACTGGAGATGGCAAGACATGATGACTACCGGACTAGGCATGTCTGGGAAGCCAGGAGCCAGCGCAGGCAGTAGGAATGAATATCCCTAATGAAGCAAGGAAGCCATCTGGTTCGATGGTTGAGTCGTAAGTATTCATTATGTTGGTCAAATGATCTGACGTCTTCATTTATAGAAATCAAATTTCCTTAACTAGCTCCATATAAAGAAGCGAACTTCACTTACGGGCCGAATGGGCAACAAGGGGCTCATGGAAAGAGATGCTCTGCGACATAAAGAATGCAGCAGAGAAACAGAGAGCGCCCTAGAATTGTAGCTGACATATTGAGGGTTCGTTCAGTCACAGAAGAGTTGCAGTCCATTCCATGCCCGAGGGATTACCCCTAGATTGGTACATTGATTCAAGGCAACGCCAGTGTTGGCAATGTGCCAAGCACAGCAAAGCGCATGCCCAAGCGAGATTCGTGATCATATCTGAATTTTGTCGAAAGTATGAGGTTCCATGTTGTCGTTCCCACCCAGCCCCGGATTTGCGGACCGCTATCAAATTCGGAACCGTTGTGGATCCCGACATTCCGGCCGCGCTCGAGCCAACATCCAACTCCAGTCCATGATCTAGGCCCGGTACTTCAACGTGGCCGAGCACCTAGGTCAACCCACTTACAAGAACTCGTCATTGAAGTGCTCAAATTCGACCTTCTAGCTTATATAATGCTTGCTGTTGGGTATTTTAATCGAACTATAAACGTGGTTAATGGCCTAAAGACGACGCAGCTAGGCCGGAAGCACTTACTGGAGTAAGGAAAGATTCAGCAACGAATCTAGCTCTGGCGTTCAACTGCAAGATGTCAACAACAGTGTTGGTACCTCCAGAGGGTTCAGGGGTACGCACAAAGAGCTTCATCTCTGAAATCTCCTTATCAACCTCTTCCATGAACTGAATGATAAAGTCTACCAGCTTGTGCTTCAACATCTCCTCCGTATGGAAGTTGGTAATCAGGAAAGAAATATCATATCCCTAGCAAGCCTAGTCAGCGACTTGGTTCCATGTGTAGAAATCATGCGTGCGGCGTGGCATTGCTCTTTCCGCGAGCTCGGCCAGGGAGCATTCGGGTATCCCACATACCTTGATGGGCTTCCTCCGCAGGATGAAGAAAGACTCGGCTCGCTGTGTCAGGAAACGGGTGAACTTGTGGACCAGTATGTGCTCGATCTCGTCGGCCTGCTTGATCTTGATGGATATGCGCACGGAATTGATGCTCGGCTCGATCAGGACTCGCTCGTTCTCGTTCCGGGCAATAGTCAAGGGGGTCAGGAGAACCTCAGGGGAAGTCTGCGCCTCGATCTCTGGGACGTTGTGTCGTTCGGCGGTTTGGGAAGCGAAGTTGGAGAGAGTCAGGGCGGCCGTCAGACTGCTCCGAACGGCCTGAAGGTAGGGTCGAAGGGACTGAGACTGTGTTGGCAAAGTTAGCACATGAAACCCCAATGCAATTGTAAAGAATGTACTGACCATGATGGCAGGACGTGGCCGCGTCCAACCTTTGAAATGCTGAGAGGTTAGAGTTGGATGTTGGTCGCGGGGTTCGACAGGTTGGCTCAGCAGGAAGCCTGACGTTTCGTAGTGGGGCGGATAGCACCGCCGCAGCTCCACTTCGTGCGTAGCTGTCACCGTTCCTTGCTGAATCAGCTGTACCTGATAGCTATCTCACGTGATTCTAAGGCAAGCTCCTAAGTGGCGATCCCCCGCCTGTACTCTATATATGCATATCTGTATATGCATATCTCCGTCAGCTCTCCATAAGGGTCTGGATTGACAACTAATCCGTTCTTCAAAGCCAGAAGCACGGTTGGGCGCTTGGAAACTATCAGATACAGTCAGAAAGTGAAGTCTTTGAGTGGGGAAAGTTACTTTGATGACCAAGACGCTCCTCCTTTCGAAAGCTTGGAAGATTGTCGAAGGGGTAGCAGATGCAGCAAGAGGAACAGGTGCAAGGGGATATCGCAATAAGCGAATCGGCAGCTGAAACGGACCTGCAGGTACACCGCTTCCCCGCTAACAATCTGGGTGCTGCCTTGTACTAATACTGCCCGCCCGCAAAGGTATGTGTACTGACGCAAACCGCTGGGTGCCTTCAACAAACTTCTTCTTGGCCTTGTCTTGCACTTGGTCTTTTGTTCATTAAACTGCACACATTGTTCTTCCCTGCAACAAGTTCGATAGCATTGCAACAGCACAATGGCATCAATACCAGGTGAGCAACCTCAACAAGTCATCGGATTTTCAACTGTTTCCTGACTTTAGCCGCAGTCACCGTTAGCCATCAAGGCACCAAGTACCAGGTCGAAATCGACTCTTCCTCCAACGGCGAAACCTTCAAGTACCAACTCTACAGCTTGACGGGTGTCGAGCCTGAGCGACAGAAAATCCTCGTCAAAGGCAAGCAGGTCAAGGACGATGATGAAATGTCCAAGTTTGGCCTCAAGGCCGGCGCCACACTCATGATGATGGGCAAGCCATCCGGAGAGAACGCAGATCTCGCCCGCCCCAAGGAAGCGATCAAGTTCGTCGAGGACATGACCGAAGCAGAAGCCGCCCAGCAAGAGGGTGCCACCCCCGCCGGTCTCACTAACCTAGGCAACACCTGTTACCTCAACTCGACCCTCCAAACCCTTCGATCGATCCCCGAGCTCCAAGGTGCTCTCACCACATACAAGTCAGGCAGTGGCGGTGCTGGCAGCAGCTTCGGTCTTACCTCAACTGATATTGCCACCCAGCTCACGGATCTGTACAAGAATATGTCGGAGACCCAGGGCAGCATACCCCCGATTACCTTCTTAAGCACCCTGCGCATGGTCTACCCACAGTTTGCCGAGAAGTCCAAGACTGGAGCTGGATACGCCCAGCAGGATGCCGAGGAGGCTTGGTCTCAGATTATCTCTCAGTTGAAGCAGAAGCTTTCCGAGTCGGAAGGCTCCTCTTTCATCGATAGATACATGGCTGGAGAGCTCCAGTCCACCCTTGAGGTTGACGAGCAAGCCGCTAGAGACGGCGGTGAGGAACCGGTCAAGTCGAGCGAGACCTTCCTCAAGCTCAACTGCCACATTGACGCATCCGTCAACCACCTGCGCGATGGTATCTTGGCAGCTTTGACGGAGAAGCTGGAGAAGAAGTCCGCAGTCCTGGACAGAGATACGACCTACACGAAGAAGTCCCTCATCTCACGGCTTCCCAAATACCTCACTGTTCACTTCGTTCGGTTCTTCTGGAAGCGTGAGGTGCAGAAAAAGGCCAAGATTATGCGCAAAGTTACTTTTCCCCATGAACTTGATGTCGTTGAGTTCTGCACCGACGAGCTGAAGAGGGCTCTCGTCCCCGTGCGTGACAAGGTACGCGAAATTCGCAAGGACGAGGAGGACATTGAGCGGGCCAGGAAGAGGCGTAGGATCAATCCTGTTGACCGAGGCGATATCGCTGGATCCTCCGGCGGCCCCGAGGGCAAGACGGCCCTGGAGAAGGCCAACGAGAAGAAGGCGGAGAGATCTGGAAAGCCCGCTGCCACGACTTCCGATGCCGACACTGAGATGACCGAGACATTCAAGACCGACGCAGAGGTTGAGGCCGAGAAGGACGCGGCCTTAATCACCGCCAAGAAGGAGCTATATGCACTGGTCAACCAGGACCTGGCCAAGGACGAAGGCGCCAACCAGTCCGGGATCTACGAGTTGCGAGGCGTCGTCACTCACCAAGGAGCGAGTGCCGACAGCGGCCACTACACTGCCTACGTCAAGAAGACTGCCCCCATCGACCCCAAGACTGGTAAGAAGGGCGAGGAAGACGGCAACTGGTGGTGGTTCAATGACGACAAGGTGTCAGAGGTTACCCCTGACAAGATCGATGCTCTGGCGGGTGGTGGCGAGTCGCACTCCGCGCTTATCTGTCTCTACCGGGCCATCCCCCTTCCGACGATTGATAATGACGGTAAGACCGAGTAAAGGTTCCAGCTGGCAAAGGCTGTTGGGAGCATCGACTTGGCGTTTTCGAGCGGTAACGAGGTTATGGGAGGCATTCAAAACAAGCCATTGAAACAAGGATCAAGCACTAGGGCATAGACAGACGAATGATGAATGTGATGGCTGCGGTTCATTACACATGCGGCAATTGCTATAACTATGGTTACAATGGTGTACATCAGCTTTTGATGTAGTATCTATCATGCACCCATGATGCAAGATGGCGGGATGTCAGATGAGCAGCAGCTGATTGCTAGCTTCATGGCAGCGTTCCAGCACACGCCTGGGTGAGGCTTCATTTGAACAGCGGCGGCCATTTGCACTAACAAATCAGGCCAGCAACGTATGGAGGGTTACGGATGTCGACAACGTCCGCTTCGTAGTCATGGATACGGCCCGACGTAACCCGAGCGGGCGAATGGTCCCTTTTCCGTCAGCTCTCGGGCTTCTTCGTCTCCCTCTCCTTTATCCTCTCTTCCAAGTACGTGAGCTTCCTCTCCCAATTACGGCGTTCCGCAACCAAGCGGCCGCGCTGACCCTCAAGAAGGGAAATTTGCTCGTCGTACGGAGACTCCCAGAAGTTTCTTCTTTCCTGAGCGTGCCATGTCAACATCTCCAACTTGAGCCTAGGAGAAGAAAGGGGGGGGGGGGGGGGGGAATAGACAGTGGGCGGTTATGCGGCTTTACCTCTTTCCATTCCTTCTGGGTCTTGAGGCCGGCGCCGTAAGTGGCGCCGGTAAATATGATGGCGGCGCAGCCCGTGGCCGTAAGGCCGGCGCGGAACTTTGTGAAGCCGCTCATTTCGCCGTGTGTGCGCGGGAGAGATGTCTCTTCTTCCTCCCGCCGTAAACAACTTGGCTAACCAAAGGGGGTTACCAGTATTGTCTCCACAGCTCCGTCGATTCCTTCCTCCTCCTGGCTTCGATGTATTTAGCTTTCCGATCTGCCGTCATCAACTCGCCCTGGCCGAATTTCTCCCACCGAGAGCTTGACACGCGCGACAAAGATGAAGCCGAAGACGTGGTCGAAGAAGAGGTTGTCGAGTCGAGAGAATTGGCCCGCGCGTGGCCCTGCAAGCTGCCCCAGGATGATCGGTTATAGCAGCGTCTCCTGGTTGCCTGTGGCAAATCACACTCGCAAGAATCAAGCTCGTAAGTGGTACTGCCGTCTGTCGTGGTCGTAGTTGCAATCGATGTCGGCGTCGTCAGCTCTGTTGCGACGGGCGAGGAAGGCCAAGGAACAAGCTCTAGCGCAATCGCGTCTGGCCCGGAATCGGAAACGCCGTTGTAGGAGTAGTGGTTGCCCCGCTGGTGGAGAGGGAGCCCCAGGGCTCTTAGTAATCGACCTGCCAGTGCTGGGCCCGGCGTGACGTCTTGGCCTAGAGCCATGGTTGATGTTGCGGGTTTTTTCGTTGTACAAAAACGAGGTATTGGAGCAATAGAGCTGATGGCAATAAGAAGAGCCCGTTTCCCCCTTCTTCAAAGTGTTGGTTGTAGTCTCAATCCAAGCCTGGCGTGGAAGAGAGACGGAGAAATCGGCGTTTTTTGCAACATTTTCCTAGTACAACCCAATCCCCGGAGCAAGCGAGCGGGAACCCGACAGAGATAAGAAGGTAAGAAGACCCAACTGCCCTTTTCGTCTTGTCAGCAGGCTCCTTCATTTCCACTTCTTCTTGGTGCGTTCGTTGAAACAGCCTTCGTGAAAGCATCTCATCGCTCCTTTCCCCCACCCATCCTTACTTCCTGTTGCCGTCACTTGCATTATATGTCTTTGCACCCATCGCCCATTTTCTTCCTTTTCTTGCTTTGCATCGAATTCAGCAACCATGCTTTCTTGCTCTTGTCGGCATTAATTGCCGTGTTAGACAACAAGACAACCAGACAACAGCTACAGCCTAAACAGGCTTGCATGGGGTTTGCGCCGACCCTCTTTCGCCTGCCCGTCTCGCAGTCTCCTGAAACGCAATTCACGGCACGCGACTGAGGACCCCTACCTTCTCTCTCGCTAGCTCTCTCTACTATCCGTGCACTCCCCATTTTCCTCCTTGCTTTCCGTCTAATCCTGGTTTAGACTGCTTCAAACCAGACAGATGTCACAGAAGCCGATGTCAACGGTCATAGTGGACGCGAGACACATGTGGGGCAAGATCTCATCTCGTCCTCGCAGGACTCGGACCCAGCATAGAGAGATGTGATGCAGGGGGGTGCCACAAGGCTTGTCATTTTGTGGTGCAGAGGAAGATCAGAGAAACATTGGCAGACGGGCGGGAAAAACAGAGAAGATTGCAGCACTGCCTCCCCCGCATACATGGGCTTGGCTCATATACCAAAGTACCATACCGCTGGGTGAAGTCAAAGTTGGCTCTGACAGGGTCAAAGTTTCGGTGCTGCACATCCATCGTCCATCTTTCCACGAGTGCGGAGCTGAGATGGAGCGGAAAGGCGGGAAGAGCGGGACAGATGACATGCACAAAGCCAAATCGCTCAGCGGAAACGTCATCCATCGTCGTTGTTGCCGTTGTCGTTGTCGTCTCAACTTTCTCCCGTCACTCACTGCCCATCATCTCACAAACTTTGCCTCTATATAAAAGTGTCTCGGGCATTACCCATACATGCACATTTGTCAACTGGTAGCCACTGCAAGAAAAGAGAAACGAAAATAAAAAGTGGCATGAACTAACTCGGTATTCTCGCACCCCCAATAGATCGCCTTTCGCCCCCTCGCATAACTATTCCATATTCAATTTCGAAACCAGCAGGCTTTGAATAGCATTGACCGCCCGGCATGACAACTCCTCGCGTCTTCATCATCCGCCACGGCGAGACGGAGTGGTCCCTCAACGGTCGCCACACCGGCAGCACCGACATCCCCCTGACCGCAAACGGCGAAAGCCGTGTGCGTGCCACCGGCCGCGCTCTCGTGGGTAGCGACCGCCTCATTGTGCCCAAGAGGATCTCTCACATGTACGTCTGTGTTCGACCCCGATAAGATTCTGTGCCACACTTCGACTCCAAACTCCTCCAAATGATTGACGGGCCGCATCATTGTTCATTCTCCACTCAAGGCACGCAACCACACATGACGAACATCAACTAACCGCAAATCAGCTACGTCTCCCCCCGCAGGCGTGCTCAGCGCACCTTTGAGCTCTTGAACCTCGGCATCAGCGACGAGCTCCCCTGGAAGTGCCATGGTGCTATCGACGGCGACGGGCCTCACTGCAACGCCCGCGTCGAGGTCACCGAGGACATCCGCGAATGGGACTATGGCGATTACGAGGGCATTACGTCCCCGGAGATTCGCCGTATCCGCAAGGAGCAGGGCCTGGGAGGAAACTGGGATATCTGGCGCGATGGCTGTCCCGGCGGAGAGTGAGTATTTCTCTAGCCACTTTCTCTTATTTTACCCTCTTTCTTCTCTTTCTCCGTGCAATATACGCAAGCGCCGCCTCCATAGTGCTGGCTATCGGTTTGTTACTTGAGAAGGCTCTCGAAGGACGACAATATGCAATAAAGCCTCGATGACGTTGTGCATATCGACATAATAACTTCAGGAGAAGCCTATCCGGAGTCGGTTGAAGCGTTTAGAGAGATCGACGCTGACACCCCTGTAGGAGTCCCCAAAACGTCACGGAACGTCTTGACCGCTTGATAAAAGACATCCGTGAGAGGTGGCACAAGCCCGTCATTAGCGACAAGAACGCACCCAATGGTGACGTTCTCATCGTCGCCCACGGCCACATCCTCCGCGCCTTCGCCATGCGCTGGGCCGGCAAGACGCTCCAGGACGGTCCGGCATTCCTGCTCGAAGCTGGCGGTGTCGGTACTCTGAGGTGAGTTAAGCCCGCTGCAAGCGCAACCACAGCCGTCGGTCCTGCGGACATTCTGGCAGCCGTTATGTGCCGGGAAGTGCGAAGCGAGGCTGACGTGTACGATACAGCTACGAACATCACAACATTGAGGAGCCCGCTATTCTGCTGGGAGGCGCTTTCGCTGTTGATATCATCGAGAAGGAGCAGCAGGTCAAGGAGGCAAAAGAGGCAAAGCTGGTACAACGGTAAAGATGCGGAACGGGAAAACCAACGTGTAATCCACTCCCACGCACGTCGGGCTGCCGGTGCGTCATAGGCTGGTATAGTATAGTCTAGGGACCAATTCCTCGTAGAACGGCCACGCATGGCTGAAAGTTTATACCTTGGTTCCCCGCGCGAGGAACACCCGCCTCTTCATCCCCATCTCTCGCTCTCCATGACCATGCCCGTGACCATGTCCGTGTCTGTCATCATGCGTGTGCCCATGACCGTGCCCATCCCCTTGGCGCCCTCCAAGAACGATCCCACTCCCGAGCTCCTCCAAGGCGAAGTCCTTGCCCGCGCCGGCCTGCTCAAAAACGGCTCGCATCCTCTCCTCCGAGAAGCCGTGGTGCATGACCGTGCTGGCCGCCGGCAGCGCAGCATCCGCGGCCCCGTGCGGCAGAAAATCGAGGATGAAGAACACGCCGCCGGGTCGCAGCCGCTCAACGATGCGGCGCGCCGAGAGCTCCGGGTCCGAGAAGTGGTGGAACCCGAGGCCAACGCCGGCAACGTCGAAGTCGCGGAACCGGCCATTCGGGTCGAAAGAGGCGGAGAAAGTCGCCGGGTCCGTGAGGTCGCCTTGGTAAGCGTGCATCTCGTCGGTGCGTAGGCCCTGCGTTGCATAAGGAACAAGTGGTGTCAGTCAGCCGAGCTTTCCGTGCGTGAGCCCCCGTACCCCCCCCACCCCTTGTCCCTTTTTCTTCCATTCCCAAACTTGCGCAGAGTTTCCTCTAGTGTTTGGCCACCTGATGCCTTACCGTGCGCGCCGTGGCCGCGTCGGCCAAGGCCGAAGGAGGGGAGGTGGGAGGGGGTCCGGGACCGAGCCAACATGTTAGATGGGATGAGATTGTGAGATGGCGGGGAGTGCGAAGAAGTGTGTCCGCATCATTCTCGAGGCGCAGGGGAGGGGCAAGGTCAGCAGGGCTGAGATGAGACCAACGTGAGGTGTGAGAAGTAGAATTCAGACGGTCAGACTTCTGAACCGCAGCACCCCCTTTCCCACGCTGTCGCCACCCCCCACCAATTGTCTGTGCAAATGGTCTGCTCTCGCTCATGTATCTGGGGATAAATCCCTCCACCGCTCAGATTCATGGACAGAGTTGAGATAACGGTGATGATCTCTACCACATAAGGCCTCCCCCCTTTTCTCCCTCTTCCTCTTTTCTCCCCCTCTCGAGTTCGTATGCGTATGCGTGTGTGTGTGTGTGTGTGTGTGTGTGTGTGCGAGTGGATATTGCGCGTACAAATCAAAGAAGAAGCAAAACGGGTTAATTAGAGAGGCATTTTATCGCGGTTGCTCACCTGGTTCTCGGCCCGGGCGTTGTAAACTGCCACCATGTTCTCCGAGATGTCAATGCCAACACAATGCGTTGTGAACTGCGAAAGGGCCTGTATCCATCATAGTTTGTCAGTCACGGATACCATCTGCCTTTCATCCCTCTGTCCTGCACTGTGTTGTGTAAAATGATGGGGGAAGCGGAGGATTGGGAGAATTGATGGCAACCACGAATAGCGAATCGCGTAGTCAGTCGTACAAAAACGCATGTTAGGATTACACAGCATGTGAAACAGGCAAACAGGCAAACAAATGACCAAAGGACTTCAGCTTTGGAAGGTCTTCAAAGGACAACACCCGTCCGAAGGAGAGAAAAGAGAAAAGAATTATTCAAATATTAGCGGCCCGAAAAGAGAATCCCTTTCTTGTAGGGAGAATGACACAGAAAACAAAACCATGGAAAGAGCTCACCCGCGATATCAGGCCGGTTCCACAGGCGTAGTCGAGTAGTCTCACGCGCTTGCCGTCCGCCGCCGGCAGATGTGCAGCTTCGTCTTCACTGCCGCCTTCGCCACCATCGTCCTCGTCCTCCTCGTCGTCGACAACCCAGTCGGCACCGATAAAGTCCTTGCGCGTGCGAACCTCCCTCTCGAGCTGCAACATTGTTTTTTCATACCTGGCGTCGTACTCGGCAGCGAGTTTGCTGGATAATGCTCATGTCAGCTTAGCCTTTTGTCGTTATCCCTTGTGTTAATTATATATCTCAAACTTTTATATGACGGGGGGGGTTCGTTCTTGGTATTTTTCTTCCTCTTCATTCTGGTTGATGGCTTTATACCATAGGCCTAGACTAGCCGAAATCAGTAAAATATGCACTGAAGGCATATTCGGGTTCCACCTGTACGCCTCTATCTCGCCTGACCGCATCTCTCAAAGTCGAGAACGATTCCATCAAAGTACTTGTACATTGACGATAAGCGACGGGAGTTCCGATTTGGTCTGCAGGAACCCGGGGAACAGAAAGCGAACAAACCGGGTGCAACTCAACTTGGGGTGAGTAGTCATGAACCCCCCCCCCCCCTCCCCGCCCCTTTGGTGGATGGATGGATAATATGTGGGTGTGGGTGTGTTTACGCACTTGAAATAGGCCTTGTTGGCGCTGGCCGTGTCGGTATCAGCCATAGTGGTGTATTATGTCTTGCCGAACTTATGAATCGGTAATGAGTGGAGCGAGGAACCTCGACCTCCTGGAAAAGAACAAATTCTGATTCCCGTTGAGGACTCGTTATCCTATCTCTTCCCCTCTAGTGTTCAGTTCAAACCTTGAGTCTTTTCTTCTTCAGATATCCTCGCCTTTGGATTGGACGGGCAAAATAAGTAATGTTTGAGGTCCCCTGCGGGCGGGGGAAATTGGGAAAAGAAAAGAACAACACTAACAAAGAAGCAAAACCATGAAAATGGATCTTACCCCGTTGTTGTTTCTTCTTATATTTTATTCTTCTCCTTGGAAGCTCGGAAGTTGTCGATCGCCGAGAACCCCTACCAAATACGACAGCCAGCCTTCTTTGACGTTACTTTTGTGATTGCTCACGGAGAGTTTTCGGACACTTAGTAAGGGCAGAAAACGTCCGGCCTGTGGAGAGGCTAAAGCTCGGCGCTTAGAGAGACAGAGCAAGGGAGAGAAAATCAGGTTCGCACCTGATATTCCGGACTTGTTCCCCTAACGGAATAAACGGGGACACACACGGCACGGGAGCGGGGGTACAATCGGTTCCAGGTCACACATGAGGAATCACGTGAGCATTACTGTCTGAGACCGATGAGCTGTTTTTCGCGTGGCGCATATCGGGGGCTGTGCGGTGTGGGTTTCCCCGTCCAGTTCGGGCAGGCCACAGGAGACCGCCGCGTCGTGGACGTGCAGCGCAAGCGAAGGAAAGACCTGTCCCGTGTACGGATACTCCGTACCTACTCGTCAGCGCATCCTGCAGTCTGAAGGGGAAGGGGTTGGTTAGGTGGAACCAGCTTCTGCCCCCCCCCCCCCCCCCCCCCCCAACCCCTCCTGTCCTTCCTTCGTCTTCCGCCTTCTTTGCCTCCCCTCTCCTGAGACTCGAGAGCGAGCTATACAGCGGCCGCCTCGATTTTTATTGACGCTTGCGGCCATGCCATGGCGGACCCTGAAATTTCTGGCGTCTGCGTGCGTGTAGGTGTGTGTGTGTGTGTGTGTGTGTGTGTGTGTGTGTGTGTGTGTGTGTGTGTGTGTGCGTATGCGCGCGTGTCCCACTGAACCCGACCCCAGGCGGGATGCGAAGACGCACCCGGAGCCCAGATCAGGTTACAGCCGCGGGGCCGGCAAGAATAGGGGAACAGATGCCGTCCGAGATCCCCACTGCAAGCGTAACGAGTTGAACGGCAGGGTCTGATACCTTACACGCACGCATTACCTCCGTACCCGTACAGCCGCACCGCACCCTGCCTTCCCACACGGCGATATACAAATCGACCCGCCTGGCTGGCTGGCGCATTAAGTGAGACGGATCCAAAAGACACGGGGAGCTTGTCGACCGGTACTAGCAGCACGCTGTGGATGTACTCATGCAACCCCGAGCATCAAGATGCATGCCTGCAAGGTGATGGCCCCTCCGATGAGGATAGGGGGGGAGAAAAGCAAAGGGAACCTCCCTCCCTGTTCCCTTCCAAGCGGAGGCGTAAGAGCCGGGAGAAACGGAGGGGGAATGACGGTGTGACCGGGGCTGACGGGGGGTCCCGGACTTGGACAGATAGCTGCCGTGGACAGGTCTGGTGGTAAAAACAAGCGGATCGACGCCGATCCTGCTGCAGGCCGCATCGGTCCGCAGCTTGTGACTGCAGCGCCATGCGGGCGGTGACGGGTCCAAGCGGCCACGGTTGGAGTTGCACGAATATCGTCGAGACGTGTCAGTGGTTCTGGCTGCCCCCTCGTGTGCAACCTGCCATGCAGGTGGCCCGAAAGAGGGCCGGCAGACCAGCCCAGCCTGAGGTCCGAATCGGGAGTTAAGCGACGTGGACAATGGATGATGCTCGGTTACCTCGGGACCGGGCAACACAAAAGTTTGACCAAAGTACTGTACATGGTACATTGCCGATGGATGGATGGCGACCGCATGGAGAGCCAGTCATTTTCTCGTCGCCCCTCTTCATGGTCTGCATCTTGCTGCAAGGTGTCGACAACGGCGGGGAGAAAGAGGACAGGGCGGGCAAACCCCTCACTCTTCTCTAGTTGGGCGCTCGCATGGCGAGGGAAAATTCTTCGACCTCTGAGCCCAGGCTTTCTTTTTGCCGTTTCGGCTGCTTGGCTCGACATGTCCGATAGTCGTAGGCCAAGATGCAGAACATGGGAGGTATCTATCTAGGTACCTCGGCATGGCCTGGCTAATAGCGCCCTACATAATAATACTTGGCCTTCGTGTCAGACTTGATTACGCCGCTACCGCCGCCGCGTGGCTTGCGGCGACCCAGGGTGCCAGGCTGTCAGATCTGACAGGTCATTTCCGGCTGATTTGTCGACCAACAACAACAACTGTTCGTATCGCACGACAGGCAAGAGTCTCGGGACACAAGCTGCATCGGCAGAAGTCGAGTTGCCCCGAGGTGTATAACCTGTTCCCTTCCCGAAGCTCGTCTGCAGTCAGAGAGTTCTACATGCGTCAGGGAGGGCACCGAATGGACGCAGGGCGAGTCGAGTACGAACAAGGCTCGACTCGTCGTCTCTTTGCCTGTCGGTGGCAGAAGTACGACGAGGTTATATTTTCCGCTCACCGCTGCTTTGCCGCCTTCGTATGGGCTTCTGCTGCCTCACCCACCCCTTGTCCGTCCGTCTGGGTTGGTCATCTGCGTTGCGACCGTGCGTGTCGTCCTCATAGTTGAGTTGCCTCTCCCCACCATCTTATATGCACACTGCCAGGCGCGCCGCTCACTCAGCACACTCCTTCCCTTCACTGGACAGGGAATGTATCCTGCAGGCAGTAGTGTGCTAGGGTCGAGTTGGAACGCTGCTATAGCACGTCTCCCCAGCCACTCCGTCCAACCAACCGTGCTTTTAGTCCACCCCAGAGAGGAGGTGAAGCTGTCTTTCTGGACACAGATGCTCCTTCCCCGATGTGAACGACGTCCAAGTCCATCACAGAGCATCAATCAAGAATTGATCATGCCTCAGAAGACGGAACACGGTGCTTAGCCGGACTGCTGCTAGCCTGCTTTGTGTTGATGTCTCACTAGAGAGAAGTAGCGTAGCCTGCCTGGTGGTGAAGTTGCATCAGTACGAGACGTCTTGCCTGCGCATCGGCCATGGTATGCCGTAGTGCAATCGTCAATCGCCGCCGTCAGACCTGGAGAACGCCGGACAGCGACCAAGGGACGGACCATGAATGCACGGCGGGAAGTCTGTTGGGCAACCGTCAACCGTCCATCCGGCATGGATCCTGGGCTTATGGCCTGGCCCATGTGCTGCCTGTCCACTCCTTGCCCTGGCTGCTGCGGGTGTCTCCCACTCCACTGGCCGCCACCCTTCTAGCCTGCATGCTGTCGAGGTCCCGTGGAGGGTAGCTGATGTAGCCAGACCCACGGATAAAGAGACGGACACAAATGGTAAATTGGCCATGCCATCGTAGCAGTCCCGTTGGCCCAGGTGTACTGAGCGAGGCGTATCATACAAACAGGCTCTTCGTGGTAGGGTTGTTAAGGCCGGCTGGTCTAGAGGAAGAAACCGGGGACCAGACACTGGCGTCGGGCACCAAAGGAAGGTTGCCGTCCCAAGACAGGCTGTGGGTGGTGCATGGACAGAATCTCGCCGGCAGCAGTCTGACATCCATTGCCTGGAGCCGTTTTCGTGACTCCGTTTCAATTTTCGCGTATACTATGAAGGCTTGACTCGGCCTGATCAACCAATCTCCCTGCTTGTTTGAGATGGCGAGGTTTGCCAGGTTTGCCCGGCTGGCCGAATGTAGCGGCGTCGCGAACCGTGCGTATTTGTGAGATGCACACTGTGATCGAAAGTCACTTCATCTCCCGCCTGCCAATAAATATTGTCAACGGGCGCTGCATGCTCATTCCAACAGGCAGAGCCCGGCCGACGGAAAACGGCAGGCACGAAACGTCTTGTATCGTTCGGTACATACGTCCCTTTCGATTCATGCTTTGCGTAACTCGAGTGGATGTCTATCCATACGTTGTGACGGACGAGCAAGTCGTCGTGGTTGTCGGTTCGCTATAACTTTGGCATGGCCACTTTCATTTTAGTCACCAAGTTGACCGTTCTGACTTCGCCGGATGGTTGGGCTCGTTCTCGACCCAATTCGAGAGCGTGGGCACAACCCTCCCTGGCTTCCACTGCTCTTCGACGTTGGCTACTCGCCATACCATTCCACAACAAGCGTTGAAGGCTCGGCACTCGCTGAGGAGCAGAGTTTGAGAAAGAGGGTGGGAACAAAAAAGCAGACAATGGATGGAGGGCGGCAAGGGGTGGCCACATTTTCCCCCAATTCTTGTCCGACTCACTATCAGGTATTCGTACTAGTACCCTCAGATCCAAACCGAGGCAGGCCCGGGCAGGGATCGGGCAAAGTAGTCAGGCGTTCGTGGCTGTCGAAGCCTAGGTAGGGAAGTGGCTAGGAGGATAGCCTTGCTACTCACAGTTGACAAAGCAGAATATTACGTAGAGCTCTTGCGTTTTTGGAAAAGAAAAACAACCATTCTTCTTCCCATCGAATAGGCCAGTCAGTATCCTAAAGGCAGTGGCGAACGAACCTTGATCGGTCAAGCGGGCTTTCCTTTCCTTTTGACTGAGACGGAGGGCGAACAAGACAGGAGACTCGGGGGCAAGAAAGGGGGGGGGGGGGGCAGCTGGTGGTAGGATGGTTATGGTGATTACGGCAAGGGAAAGTGAAATTGAAAGTGAAGGGGAAGGAGAAGGGGGGATGGGGGGGGGGGGGGGGGGGGCTAAGGTCGTTGCCCGCTCCGTGGAGAGCGGTGCAAGGGAATCCAAGGTAAAAAATGGAGAATCTGGCGGGAACGACGGGTCAGAAGCGGCTGCATGCATAGGCTTTCCATCACGTGACGCCCTAAAGTCAATGTCCCCTGATCTGTCCAATGGCAAGGGCCGAATAGAAACCCGCCCTCCTTCCCTGGTCTGGCAGGCAGCCCCGATGACCTGGATTCCGATTGCTACTTACGAAGTACCGGTACGGTGAGGGAGACGCAAAGAGAAAGGGAGAAGGACGATCAAGATTGGTTGCGACCGTGGCTCCAGGTGCACACAAGGTGCTGTAATGGTGTCATGAAGTAGCTGGTGTATTGCGTTGGCTGTTTGGTTGGTTGGCCAAGATGACCGTGTCGTGTTCAGTGGCCAGCCTTGACAAACGAGACAAGGTCTATAAGGGTAACCTCGAGGACCGGCTAGGTAATTAGAATCCTTCTTATTGGAAGTTTCTGTCCCCATCGGACTTGATGGTTGCAGTTACGACTCTTGCTTACTTTTTCGTCAGACAATCACCAAGCTACTCCTGCCGCCCTGCCAATTTTCACTAGCTTAACCCTCTCGGCGGCTTGGAATCAAGCTTCCTTACCTGCGCGGTAGGCTGCCGGGCATACACCCGGATAGCGTGGCTTAGCCAGCCAGCCAGCCAGCGTCCTGTGTGCAGCTCACAAATGCATGCAGGTAGCATCAGCCCCATTATTGGGCTCGCCCGTCCATCTAGTCGACCGGCCTAGCAAAGTTAGCGATGCGCCTTCCTGGGGCATTTAGTTATGCTTCAATGTATGGAACGACCAATCGTGTCTGGCCTGGTTCGATAGAAGCAATGTTGGGGGCTAATTGAAGTTGGAAGTACATATAGTTATTAATACACATGGGTCCTTGCCGCCGATCAACTGAATTGCAGTTCAGTAGACCCCTGATTAGGTCCTTGAGGAGCGCAGTGATGCCCTGGGCCATGCCGTTTAGATGTCAAGTTGGAGTAAAACGACGCAGCGAGCAACGTGGCGTTCCTTCGCTGACTGGAAATGCAAAAGAAGAGGCGGGACCAAGATACCTCGGGGAGAAACAGTACAGGGGCAGTTAAAACCTCGAGGGGGGAAAAAAAATTCAATTATTAATAAAAGAGAAGGAGCTTCCCCTAAAAATCATTGCAACTCAAACTGCATGGCAGAGTCCTCAGCCAGAGAGACTCATCATTCCCCGGCAGCTTCAGCTTCGAAAAGCGCAGCTGATGCACCTGTAGCACCCGCGATCCCTCAAACTGTCCATTTCCGCCAGAATGAACAAAGTGGTTGTCCATCCCGAGCATCTCACACGGCATGAGATGGCCCATTTCCAGTGCTGTCCGAGACTATGCCACAACCAGTGAACTGGAGCCACTTTGACCAGCGATTTTCGCACCGTACGAAGCCCGTGTGAGCTGGGACGGGAACTCCAAAGCAAATCGTCCAGTCTCTCGGCAGGAATATGACGACGTAAAAGGCACTGGCCGGTGCTCATGGCCCTAATGACTGTGACGTATCCACCAGGGTGACAAAAAAGATGGCAGTTTCCCCATGCCATTACCACATAGCAATCGGCCATATTCTTGTCACCCAAGTGGCATCGTCGCCAACATGGATCGCTTGAAAGAGTCGAACGAGCCCACCATGCCCTAGAGACAGCCTGAAATAATTGATTGCCGTACTGCGCCTATACACAGATTGAACCTCTCTGTCTTTAGAATTGCTCTACTGAACACTCGTCGAAAGGCATTCTGCAAGACTCTCCACAGCTCTTATAAAAGTTTCCGGGCACAAGCACAAGCATGGGAGATAGGCTCCGTCCGTCAGTAGGCATGTCGTAGCAGACAATGAAATACAGCCAATTTTGAACTCAAGGGATGCGCTGCGAATGGATGTAACAAGACACTTAGAGATACGCCGGTCCATAGGAGGAGGGGCGGGGGAGGAAATAACTAGAAGAAAGGGGGGAAACCCCCCCCCCCCGTCCATCAAAAGAAAACCTAGCACTAACCGTCCAGAGGTGGTAGACTATAGCCGGGGTGGCATGGGCTACCCGATGGAACGCCCGTATTAGGAACCAGACAGCACCAAGCTGCACAAAACCCATGTCTTGGTGCAGGAGCTGTCGCTCACGACCTATGATGGTGGTTCGATTGGGGAAACCATCCCCGAAATACCTTGAGGAGGGCAAGGCCACGAGGGTAGTTGAAGTGGTGGAGACGCGGTTGGATTGGAGGAAATGGCAACTCTTGGTTTTCTGGCCATAAGCGGTTGGCCATATTGAGCGGTCAGGCTGAGTGTTGTGCCATGTAAGGAGTACACTAGATTAACACTATACGTTTTCAATGACCTGGTCCCGCACCACATTAATTGGTATGACGCTGCAGCTGACATCAAAACGGGTTAGAATCACCTGCACGGGCAGCTTAGCCGAGGCCGTCTTGGTCCGTCGGCTTGCACTCTACTCCATTGGACGTTCTGTCTAGAGATGGTGCACAGACGTGATATTGATGATGTCGCGGCGAGATGGACTATAGTGTAGTAGGTAGGGCTCTCCGTGTAGTCAAAGTAGATGGATATGCGGGATATGTACGACGAAACGGCAGAAACGGGAGTATCCTTTAGGGAGCGGGCGGCGCGGTGTTGCATGGTCGGCAGTCCCCGGTCCTTGCGCAAGCCCCCTGGTCCTTTTGCTTTAGCGCGTCTCCAGGGGGTCAGGAAATGTGAGCTCCATCTTGTCCGCTCATCCTTGGGGCTGGTCCCCTGCCGATACGCCGTCGCAACCGTCTTTCCTGAAGACTGTCTGCTCATCATGAGATGATCCGAAACGGGGGAGCTCGAGGTACCAATCACAGGACAGGTCTGATAGCGGGCAATTTACTACAAGGCTACTTTGATCCAAAGGTGCGCCCCAATCTTCGAGAGACAAAGGGGAGAAGGGAAGGGAGGGGAGAGAATGGGAAGGAGGGGGGGGGGGGTGGACGGGCGGGGCGGGGCTGTCTCTGCCTGACCCATGAAGTCGGTACGAAGTACTGCAATGTACCGGGTACGAGACTACTTGCGGGTACCGACAAACACCCAAGAGAAATCCATTAGCCCGGAGGGACTGGGGGTAGCCCCTCCCGCCAGGATGGACCGCTAAGGACGGAAAAAGAAAGCCTGACAGGCGATTGGGTCTGCCTTAGTGGCCCATGGCCCGACGGCGCTGTCAGCACAAGCCTCTGGGACTGGATCCAAGGGGCGGGGGGGTGGCCGCCCCCTGTTCCAATGAGGGAGGGGGGGTGTGCGTCAACGCCGTCCCTTTCTGTCTTTCTGAGCAGCGGATGGGGTGCGCACTGAGCGAGGTCATCAGTCAAGTGATCACCCGTAGGTGTGGATGGGGGCAGCGAGAGAACAAAGACGATGCTTCACTAGCATTTGTCGAGTCGACGGCGTGCATCGCCCTCTATCACACCACCCATTGAGCTGTGACCCGAGGGAAAGCGTGCCGTCGCCTCAATTGCGGGTCGCAGCCTTTTCTCGTTGTCGGGCAAAGGGTGAGGCTCCCACCCCAGGTGACGGGAGACCTTTCCCCTCCGAAGCTCTTGTAACGCGTACTTAGCTACCTACTTGGTAAAATGATGCCGAAGAAAGCTTCGCTTCGTGGCGGGAGGGGGAGGGGAGGGGAGGGGAGGGGAAGGAGCGGCACGGGCGGGTGTTCTGTTTCGCGTGCTGTGCACTAGGGTACGTACAGGTACGTTCAACGCTCTCCAAAGAGTGCTCATCTGCAACTGATCGTCGCAGATCTGTTGGCAGGCTGGCTGATGAACGGCAACTGGCCTGGTCGCTGGCTCTGTTGGTCGCTGGCTAGCGTGCTTTGGTTGCGTGCAGATGAGACGACTAGGCAATGCATGTCGGGGGGGTGGGCTGTTGGGCTGCTGAATGACATCTTGTGGCCTTTCCGTCATGACAGCGAAGGCTTTTTTACATCAGACCGTATTTAGCGGGTCGACCGACCGGTAGTTGGCGGACGGCTAGTCGGCGTTCCATCAGCTCGGTTCGTGTCAGGACAAGTCGAT